GGGAGAGACAATTGCAAAGAGGGAGCAGAACGGGCAGGGTGTTAGGGCAACAGAGGCTGACTAAGTCTGCTCACCTAAGAGTGCCAAGAGTCTAAGCAGGCAACAAGGAAGTGGAGTAGACCTGATGACTAAGACCTATCTACAGTATAGGTACCTGTGGATGATCCTAAGAGACCAAGTCTGAAGAGACAGTGCCCAGGCAGAGTAGGCCTTATATTTATACCTCTGTGGTGGAACCTGCTAGAATATCTTGCTTACTCAGCCTAGTCAGGTGATCAGGTCATATGACCAAGGATGAGGTCATATGAGGTCATGCACAGCCATGCACAGCAGGTCACCTGACCATCCAATCCTTCCAGCAGGCTCCAGCACATGCCAAGGTATACCAGCTACTTCCATGTCATAAAGGCTTAGTCATGTCTCTTGACCAAGCAATGAGCTGGTGCCCTGACACATGGTCTTTCCCATGTATGCTCAATCATTGCAGCCTTCTTGGACCTGTATGCTCCCAGTTTTGACATTGAGAGACATAATACAGCAAGTGCTTCTGGCTCTGGATTATCTTCACACTCACTGTGGTGTGATTCATACAGGTGTGTTTGGTGCCAACTTTTCCCCTGTACTCCTGCCAGACGCTCTTTGCACAGACATCAAGGGGTCCAATCTTCTTCTCCAGATCAAAGATGTGCATGATATCATCAAGCAGATTGTGTGTGACCCAGCAAGGAGGGTGGCCAATATGGTCATGCACCATACAAATGGTGAAGTCATGGAAATTCCCATTGGCAAGTCCCAACCTATTTCCAATCCTACTTTTGGCCAGAAACTGAGGGTTTGTCTGACTGACTTTGGCATGGGTGAGTGGTGTCAGGGTATAAGATTGGAACCCCACTCAATGTGACTTTGGAATGTAGCTGAGTGGATGGAAGGAGCACATTGGTCCATAATCCTTCCCAAATGGCTATGGCCTCCAGAGGTCATTCTAAACGGATCTTGGGACACAAAGGTTGACATTTGGGCTGCTGGATGCCTTGTAAGCCATTTAAAATGCTGCAGTTGTGGACATTTCAACAGGGATAGATTGTCAAGATTATGGATGGTTCACCACTGTTCAAATGGAAGGTGACAAAGAATATCACAGGTGACCAGCACTATCTCTCCATGCTCACCAAGCTAGTCGGGGCTGTCCCACCTGCGCTACTCAATGTGTGCAGCCGAACACAGCAGTTTTATAACAATAAAAGTATGCTCTCCTTTTCCCCTCTATGATCAACTGATTACCAATGGGCCAAGACCATCTTCTACACCAACTGGTCACCAAAGTAGAAAACATCTGACAACAGCTGGTGAAGCAACACCCAATGATGTCAGTGCACAGTGCAGACATGTTAAACTCATTGGTGCTGCAAATGATGCGACCCCTACCTTCTGAATGCTTATCTGCTGCTGAAGCTCTGGAACATGAGTGGTTTACATTGGCACCCAAAGATGATGTTGACCAATCCATGCTGGATTGTCATGAAGAGCTCTTTGGGGAGAGTGGTGAGCATGCTGGGCTGAGTGGTGAAGGACACTCCTTGTCCAACAGCAGTTGGAATGCATTGAGGGAGTAATGTTTGGACCTAATGCTCTTTCAAGGAAGGTGGCAAATTGTGTTATAGTATGTACATCCCTATGTTGTCTTTTGGAATTGCCAGTGAATCATTGATACACATATATGCATGAGATAATTGTGTAAAGCAGCAGGAAATGATGAAAGACAGGCAGAGCTAGGCTACATGATTCTTTGTTCCTGTTCCAGTCAAAGAGAACTGGTGTTGCACATGTTACTAGCCATAGTTATGGACCCTCTGTGGACAACAATCCACTCAGCAATAGTCTTGTTGGAAGTGCTCAGCCATATCAATGTATTGGGATGTCAGGTTGTCTGACAGTGTGATGGCAAACAGCTCCAGCAATACCTTTTGAAGACTGAGACAAAATTGTTCATGGTTTTCATTGAGGAAAGTTGGTTGTTGGAGGAGTCTGAGTGTGACAGAATAGAGATGTATCAAGGGAGCAAGTAAATGGATAGTTGCAGGTTCCTGAAACTGCTTCCTACGATAGGTCAGATAGTCCAAAAAAATCACATGTATCTGGTATATAACACCCCTTGAAACATTCCATAAATGTGAGCTTGAGCATGATCAGAGAACAGTGAGCAGGGAAGTGAGAACATGCAGCCAAATGGAAAGCAATGACAGAGGGGAACTCTAGCTTAATCATGTGCCATATTGAGCATGAAGAGAGAGCGATACCAAATGGTTTGGCAATTTGTGGAGAGTGAATGTTGGAAAATACTACCAGACTCATTAGATGGTGTCCAGGAACGAGTGCTGTGTGGACTTCGGCAGTAGTGCAAATAAGTCGCAGCTTCAGCAGTACTGAAGAAGAAAGATGAGCAAAAGCAAGAAGGAGAGTGGGGCACAGATTCAGATCAAGCACCAAAGACTGCAGTTTGTTCATTTGAGGAAGAATCCAAAGGTTAGCTCATGCTACTGTGGGCTGGAGCAAGACATGTCCAGTGTATGGTATGACCAAACTTTGAATGAAAGCTGTGTAGCAATTCTTTCCCATGAAAGCCGAAGGCTTGGCCAGTGATAGGAGCAGCTTGAAGAGATGGGGCATAGAAAAAAGTTGCTACTACCCATGTATCTTGAGGGTGAGGAGTAAATCAGTCTCCTGGTCACCTTGTAAAGTTTGTGACATGTGTGTCCCAAAGCAATGACAAGTTTCCTCAATCCCAGTTCTGTGGCCATCTCTGCAATCATGACAAGTACATCAGTGGGCACAATAGGCATGATCAAGGGAACAGATGTTGGCTGGGATACACTAGTACTGAGTTGGATAGGAGCGGTTACAGGAGACAACAGACAGAAAGCAGACATGGTCAGAATAGAGGGAGTCATGATCAGTTGTGAGTAAGTTACCAGATCATGTGTGCAAAGAGACACGTCTCTTTGACTTGTGTCTTTGTCAATGATGCAAGGTGATTCACATAATCCTTTGAGTAACTAGTTCTTGCTTGTGAAATGCCTTCTCATTCAGTGGTTGTCTATGGAGGGCAAGGAGGACTAGCTGAAAACCGACCAGCCAAGGACCTTATCAGGGCTAAAGATCACTACCAGAGGCTTGTAGCCAATATTCACACAGGCATTCTGGAGTGAGATCTTTGTCTTGCTAGAAACATGAGAGCAAGGCCCAAAATGAGCATATTCTGAGATGATCATGAAGGTTTACAACTCATAATGTTGAACAAACTCCCTCTGAGAGAAGGGTATTGCAGTTTGACACCAACTCACACCCTTGAAGGAATAACACCAAGGAGCAAGGGTCACATCTGCACAGTGGGTCTATTCAGCAGGTGTGACCCACCCTGTGAGAATCTTTCACCAACATCTCAGAGGGCACAGGTATGTCTAGTGCACAGATTCCATACAGACACTGATGTGAATGATATGCCAGAAGAGAAAACCTTCAAACTCCCATCATCATTCAGCTCAAAATGCATGAGAGCTTGCAGTATAACAAAGTTGGCTGAGGCAGAGCAAGAACTGAGAAATGGCCTTGCTGTGGATGCTCTCAGAAGCTGGTCAAAACTGTGCAAAGACTGAATGGTGGGCAGAAGATGAGGATTTGCTATTGGAGAAGATGAGGTGATTCTATGCCTTCTGGGCAGTCCTTTTGGAACAGGTGGTTGATAATGTTGTGGGAAACAATGAATCGGACTTCAGGCATCAAGCCTTTGTTATCTGGCAAAGTCCACCTTTTGGCAGTTCAGGGAAGATGGACTGAGGCTGTGGAGATTGCACATACACAAAACATTGGGAGGTTTATGATCTGTAAGAATAACAAGAATAACTGTGAATGAATCTGACATTTAGATATTAGGGGGATCATTGATCAACATGCTCAATACAATTGCTGGAATTGTGAAAGGTGCAACTTCAACAATTCGAAACTGTCTGCTGTTCTCGCCTGCACACACCTGTGGCCCACGAACTTGTGACAGATTGTTGTGCACAAGGTCATAGTTCGCCTGACAAAGTGGATAGCATTTGTCGAGAACTTTGCTCTTTCACCTCACTCATTGTATCAACCTGAATGCTGCAGAGAACTGACTTTTCAGATCAAGCTGCTGGTTATTCCCCTTCTGAGATCAGGATTGCTTTCTGCTCTCTTTTCTTTCACTTCACCTTCCCTCTCCATTGTCATGGCTCCTCTCAGCAACTCAACCAACTTGCACAGCAAAGGGAAATGCTCAAGAAAGACTTCCACCCGCAAGTGCATTCAGGATGTTATTCACAACAATGGTCCATTCTGTCCATCCCAACCCCTCTGACAATCTCAATATCTGACCTTCGAAACAGAGACTGTTGCAAGAATGTCTTATCAAGTCAGTTTGGGTGAGACTACAAGGTATTATTACCCTCTGACCTACAATAACCCCTTGACTGCTCTCATCCTGACTGCACAAGCAGTTCCAGCTCCTCCAGTTGCTGTCTATCCTCCCACAACTAGTCCAGCAAACCTCACTCCTGCCTCATACAAAACTCGAGCTGTTATCAACAATCATACCCTAACAACAATGTCTGCTGCTCCCATTGTGATCAACGTCTATCAGAATCAAGGAGACATGAACATCACTCAGACCATGACAAGGTCTCACAACAACTCTTGCTCCAAAAATGCCAACCACAGTTACAATCAGCACACCAAAGCAAACAACATGTCAGGTGGCTTTGATTGGTTGGGTTTGCTGAAGAAAGTGTGGTCTTCCATGTTGTGTGCATCTGGAATGGGTTTTTGCAAACCATGTGAATGATGCATCATAATTGACATCATAACAGTTGATCGCCAAGGTTTTGAGGATGAATGAAATACAGTAGTGTAGTATGGAATGGCAAGCATTTATTCAGTACCTACAGAGTTGTCATTGATATTTGAGCAGGTTGTCCTCCTAAGATGTTTCACATCATCAATATGGAATTCAGAATTGATTCATATACAGTAGAAGCATGGACCTCAGTTTCTGAACCACTGCAAGACAACTACATCTTTCTCTGGCACATAGTAAGAGTGAAAAACAGAAGATCTCAGGAGCAGAACGTTGGAAGGTCATGCCGGACATGTCAAATATCCCTCTGGACTTGCAAGTGAGCAAAGACAGAAAGGCACAGTAATGTAGATGAGGACCTGTCTACACTCAAGGCATCAATTGCCATGATAGGGGTCAAGATGGGTGTTCTGCAATTGAAACCCTCTGCACATAGGGGATAAATGAATTTTGCTCTGCATCAGCAGAAAACCTCATGATTACCCAGTGTCATGATTGTAAGTCAACCACACTGTACTGGATGCTCTCTTTTGATACCTCTCACACAGCTCTGCCCAATGGATGCCACAAACCTTGTGAGAAAGTACAACTTGCTAGAGAAGACCGCAATGTACAAAGGTCTGGGGAGGGTGCTGGGTCTAGATGGGTGGCTGATAGTTGGGGTGTGGGAGGTGCATGAGATGTTGAACAAGCAGTATACCACACAGATGCTTTGAGAAGGTTCAAATTGGGGAGACAAAGCAGACATCAACGTTTGAGAGAACCATGAGCATAACCCCCAAGACAAGGGTACCTATTGACCTGAACCTGTTTGTACTGGGGCGGAGATGGTGTAAGGCAAAAAATCTTTTTAGGTTCTTCACATACAGGTAGAAGGCTATGAACATGTATCATCTGCAGGAGATTGCATCGCAGCAGTATGAGGAGGGCTTCTAGGTTCCAAGGGTGCTCTTTGAGCATGGGAATGATAGAGAAGAAAGGGAACGGGGAGACAGAGAGGGAGCAGAGGATGTTACCCAGGCAGGGAAGGGTGGAAAATTTGTGTAAGAAAGCATGGGAGTGGTATGCAGGGGTGAGCACATCAGCATACATAAATGATGGAGGAATGGAAGGCACATGAAATCTCCATGCTCAAAGTGGGCAGTACACCCTTTTGAGGTTTTCACATACTACGTGACAAGCTTGGCTTTACGGGTATAGATAAGTGCTCAGGTGAGGGGATAGACATCTGCCCAAAAGCCGAGATCAAGCAGGTTGCTCATATCTGACAGCCTATACTATCATCAGCCAGATCCATGTGAGGGAGAGAAGACAAATGGCAGTGTCAGCTCTGGAGTGTTGAAAAATCATTGCCTGAACTCCTGGTCCTCTGCCTCCTTTGGCAGCTCATCCACCTCTTCTAACATCAACAGCGCACTCCATGGCCTCAACTGTGGTACCCAGCCTACATTGGCCAAGGGTCTAGCAGACTGAGAAGCATAAGTATTGGGAAACCTTGCCAGAAATGCAGTGCATGAAGTGGTCAGCATGTGGAAAGGAAATAGGGGATCCAGAGGGCAAACTCCATTTTACACAGCACAAGTTTCTAGGGAAGGCAAGGGCATGATGGAGGTGCAGAGGACTCATCCAGAGCACATCAAGCATGCCTCCATGTTTTTGAGGCTGCACTGGAGCTTGACCTCCTTGTATTTGCGCTGCTTGACCCTCTCCAATGCAGCAGCATTTTTGGGGTCGATCTCTTTCTCTTCTGTCTTGCCCTTGCCCTTGCTATTCTCTTCTGCTGGAGCAGCTACAAGTGGCTGTTCAGTGCCGGAAGCAGATGCACCTGGGGTAGGAAGTGGGGCAGAAGAGGACTCAACCTTGACAACCATTGTGTCTAAGGAGAGATCCTCAACTTTGACAGCCACAGGGACAGGCCTCACAGTCAGGGGAAGCCATGAGAGTGGTGACTGTTGCACTTGCCAGGGTGGAGCTACATGCCAAAGCAACCATGTCGTTCATGGCAATGCTCACATACTTGTTCATGCTCTGCCTGGGCTTGTGGGGCTTCATCACCTGCACTGCTTGGGCAGGACCAGAGACACCATGCTGAGCATCCTTTGCCTGCTTGATGACCAAGACAACAAGGGTGAACTGGATAGCCTGAGCAGTGGGGTGCATACAAAGGCAGTACATGCTTGTCTTGAGCCCCTTCTTCCAGCAGTAGAAATGCATGGATGTGAGCTGGCCGAGAATAGGGCTCTGGAGATGGACATTCAAGCACTGATGCTGGCAGATGAACATGCCCAGGTCCATGGCGAGGTTGAGAATCTTCTTCTGTAAGATCTCCCAGACAGTCTTGCAGATCGCCTTTGATGTTGTCTGGGATTCTGGGGATGTTCTGGATGGACCTGCTGCAAGCAATGATCATATCATGCATCTGGTCATTCCACAATCTGAGATCAACAAGATCACGAAGCAGGCAAGGGCAGACAACCTGGAACTCATTGGGGAGTACATGACGGGCATGGTTCATAGATGTATATGGCTCGAATCACTTGTTGTTCCCCAGGATCTAGGAAGTGGAGGTGGTGGGCATAGAGCCGAGGAGGAGGGAGTTGTGTAGACCCTTGCAGCTGATCTTCTCCTTCAGCCCGGCCCAGTCCCAGCATTGGAAGGCATCACGCCCCAGAGGTCAAACTGGAGCTCTCCACATGAGCAGGGCAGCCTTCAAACATCTCGTACATCCCATCTGTCTCAGCCATCTTGTTTCATGCCTTGAGCGCAGCATGGTAGATAGTCTTGTAGATATTGCAGTTAAGCTGGTGAGCTTTGCAAGAGTCAAACAGCATGCAAAGAGCCATGAACATGTCGGCAAGACCCTAGACCAACGAGCCTCAGGCACTGTATAATAGTTGACATCAATGATCCAGTTCAGGTTGAATGCAACCACCTTGGAGACTGCATGCAGCTTCTGGAAGTCGTACTGACCATCCTGGATGGAGGATGGTAGAGCGATGGAGGCCAGGTTGCAGATGGCGACCTTGTCAGGGGGGGAGTACTCCATGATTTTTGTGCAGAGTTGGAAGACTTGATCATGCCCAGGTTCTTCTGGTTAGACTTGACTGTGGATGTGTCAGTCTACCCACTCATGCTCATGCAATGAAACAGCTTACAGTTGACAGCATTCTTGTATAGCATGAACAGCCCCCCAGTCTCCATCTGCACATCAAGAATAGCATACCACAGCTTCTGGGCCTTGATGGTCTGCCTCGCGTGACCCTTGTGTTTGTAATGGGTATACAGAGCCTCAAACTCTTTGCTGTGCACCTCAGATGTGCCAGGCGCCTCATTAGGGGTGAAGAGAGATCAGTCAATGTCAGACTCAACATGCTTCATGGACAGATCTGAAATCCAGAGGGCATAGAAAAGGTCACGTGTGCACACTTCATCTGTGCCATGGTTCTTGTGCAGATCAAGGAACTCAAAGATATTGGCATGCCAAGGCTCAAAATAGATAGATAGTGAAGGCACCAGTGCACTTGTTGCCACCTAGGTCAATGTAGGGAGCAGTGGTATCATAAGCACAAAGCATGGGAATGATACCGTTTGAGTAGCCATTAGTGCCTGCAATGTAGGAACTGAGACATGGTCAGAGCAGCAGATAACTCATTGCCAGATTACTCACCCCTTGGCACAAATATTGTGGATGTGCATCCCAATACCACCAGCAGTCTTGGAAATCATAGTGCACATCTTGCAGGTATCATAGATGCCCTTGATACTGTCATCCTTCATGGCAACCAGGAAACAGAGAGAGAGCTGAGGGTGGGGCATGCCGGCATTGAAAGTGGTGGGCTAGGGTGTGTGAAGTACCTCTCGGACATGAAGGTGGAGGTTGCCAATCCACAGTCAATATCTTGACTGTGGATGCCAATGGCTACATGCATCAGCATCTGCTGGGGTTGCTTGGCAATTTGATAGTAACAAACCCATCTGCACACCAGAGTCAGTGAAGCACATGTTGAGAGGAGAGCAACTTACCCATGTGCGTCAGCAACACAAAAGCATGACATCAGTCAGCAAGTCATGTGACTCAGCCCAGCAGTGAGCTTGAATGCAACTTGCACTTCATGTGGGATGTGTTGGTTATATTAAACAACAAGCACATACCAGTGCCTTATCACAAACTGTGTCCTTTATAAGGGTGCAGACAGCTACTGCAAAGAGTCTGAAAGGGAAAGCCCTATGATGCCTCATGCTTGGCTGAGAAAGGGAAAGGTCTACAAGATGACACAGAGACTTTCCATGCAACCATCCTTGAACACAAGCCCATATTTAATGTGTGTGGAGAACAGTTCTTACATTGAGAGGTGCATGTGACTAGAATATGTATAACCCTGATTCTTGATCTCTTATCATTCCTGGGTGTTAAATGGCATCTCATCTTCATCCAGGTCTTCCTCATACTTGCCCCCATGCAAAAGGGTTACTGCTTTCTCCAGAGTGCATTCATCCCTACAATCCCAGTTAGGTCAAGTCATATACTAAAACAAAAGAAAACTCTTACATGCAAGCATCTTTGAAATACTGCAGGAGACTTTGATAACTTGCAGGCTTGGCACGCTTGTATGTGTTTAAAAAGCTGTGATACCTCATATAGTTTATTTGGTCCAAAGACTTGTTCATGCATAGGGATTTATAGACACCTGTCTTGTAGTGTTCTAGTATGTGATGAGTCTTTTAACCTACTGAGCTCATGCAATCCATGTGAAGAGAAGTATATGCACCACAGTACAAGAAAAGGCTATGAGACTTGGTTCTATTGGAGAGAGCAAAGCCTTGTGCTTATGGGAGAGATTGCAGCCACCCTTAGGTGCCCAAAAAACCAGCACAACCAGCCAAGTAAGGATGGGTGCATGGAATGTGAACATAGGTTTAGACTTCGACTGGAGCAGCAAACACATCAGTAGTTGCTTTTATAACCATTCTGGATCTGTTATGCTGGTAGGGTCAAAATCATCTTGACAGAAATTTCCTTGGGAGAGCAGTTGTCTGATTTGTGTCTGAATCTGCTCCATGCTGCCTGCGAATACCAATTTCCAGTAGAGCGGTACTAATGTTAGAGCAATTGCCTGCATCTTTGAGTGGATCCACCAAACAGCATCAGAAATCTGTAAACATTCAGATCACATATTAGCCTGTTGACTGAGGAAAGAATACAGACCACCCAAAAGGAATGAGGATATACAGAGAAGTTGATCTTCAGACAGGTTGTGGGTGCGGTGCTATGCTTGTGTTCATTGTCTTTGTCATTTTTAAAGTCAAGCTTGTCATTGTCTGGGTCATCCTGCTGATTGGCCAGATCTCCACCCTCTTCCCCATCATCCAGAATCCTCCATGTTTGAGTGCTATCAACAAACAAGGGTAACTTCACATTATTATTGACAGCCAAGGCGGCCTTCATGACAAATGTATTTCTTAGCTCAATATTGGGATATGGATTGATAAGTGCCAAAAACATGAATACCCAATGCTTTGCTCATTGCAATTGAAGGCAAAGTGGCCTGTGATAAGCATTTAGTTGATAAGCAGGCTTGAGCTAAGGTTGGATGAAGAGGGGGGGCTTTTTCCAATTCTTGTTCCCCCTCCAAATGTGAGTTGGCTGATATAACATTAGCATAGTTCTTCTGTGAAGCCCAATTCCAATAAGAGAACATGCAATATATGCATATTGATGCTCTCACCAAATTTTGCTGACATTTCTTGGTCTTCTGATGATTTATGTTAGCAGAAGTACTGCTCACAAATTGAATGAGCTGGCCTTTCCTGGTCCACTCACCATGCTACAACATTTCTTTGGGATCTGATAAAAAAATGCTCAGTGTTTGCTTCTTCAGAGTAAAGGACATCAAACCTCTCCAAGTTTCCTGGGAGGAATTGGACTTATTTCTAGATATTGTGTGTTCAGATTATTGTAAAGCTGTCCAGTAGTCAATTCTGCAATCGGCTGAGCCTGAAAGACTGCATACTGCTTTGAATCTTCCTAGAGTGGCAGGTGCTATTTCCATAGTCAAGAGAGTCCCATATCACTGTCAAAGACTCACACAGGTTGTCTCCTGCATTATCGAGATCAATATTAAGGGGAAGCTGCTTCATCTGCATAAGAGAAGGAAAATTGTCTAGCATGTAACCACTGCTTGTGCGTGAGTGGGGACACAATGGTTTCAGAGAATTGCAGAGAAGATTGGAACAAGATGGTTGGAAGATGTTGGTATCAATATAGGTGTTACTGATGGAAAAAGATCAAACACTGTGTGGCTGAGATGCTGTTGTCAAATGTAAGGATGGCATCCAGACTTACATGGGCTTGGTAAGAGGTGACCAAGTTGAAAATGTGATCATGTGAAGGCATCTTTGGTAGTAGCAGCTAAGGTTGGCTTGAGGTATTTGTTGGAGATAGATCCTGCTGTATGGCAGACATGGCCGGTTTCTGACTGGATGGATCACTGCTTGTGCTCTGATTGCTCTCATGGTCTGATCCTGGAGAACCTCCAAGAAACTGGTGCCTGAACTTTCTCTGTGCTGCCCTTGACTTCATCCAGATGACCTGACCCAGACTGAGATAGTAAGATATCTGCCTGAGATCCACATCTTTGCTCCATTCAGACTGCCATCTCAGCCACATATATTTTGGTTTTTTCTGCTTTGTAAATGATAGGTGTCAGGAAAGTGTGTGATGTCATATGCATGTCAAAGCTCTTACCACAGGTCTAGTTGTGTCCCTCAAGTTGTTAGCTTTGTCATTGGACTGCCTCATTTGCATGACTGGTGCCAGAAGAAATTCATTGGACATCTCCATCACTTGATGAATACAATTTTGAGTGCTTTCTGTACTCAGCCACCATCAGCATTATGCTTTCACTTATGCTGCATATACGTACCACTGAGATTGAAGAGATTGTTACTTGCACTTGCGTGTTCCACATGCAATGACATCTGCAAGGGCCAGAAGCTGACTTCACCCACTGTCTTTTAGCAAGTATTAGCAAGGCTCAAGGAATAGAGACTTGAATGGCTTACTGGCTCTGTTTTGGCAAGGGGGAAGAACTGAACAGTGAGCAGGAGACAAGGAATGATGGAATGGAGAGAAGCTCTTATATGCACTTCATGACATGCAGGCAAGGGTCACAATGCGTCTCCATAGAATGTAGAGAGCACACCATAGAATGCTACACAAAGTTGTACAATGCTGTACAGTGCTGGAAGACAGTGCTGATCTGCAAGAATCACCAAAGGGCCTTCTCCAACGTGTTCAACTGAAGTAAGCAACCAGATTTCATTCTCAAATGAACTTCAGGTGAAGTTACATGGACTCCAAAGACAAATACAAAGGCAACCCCTAATCAGGCATGCAGAGATACTGCAAATTGAAGCAATGTAAGCCATTGCTTTGCTTCAGGTGCAGATTATATCTGGAACTTTCAATGCACATCAGTATTGTGTCCTTTGCGGGAGTAAGGCTGCTCACAAACAGAAATCACCAAGCTCACTCATCATCTCCCTGAAATCTTCTGCAGATGTCTTCTGATATTCTCTCAGCAAATCTAGAATTTTGACATATATGTTTTGCATGGCATTGTCAGACCTGCTTGGAACAAAATCACCCGTCTTATAGCATGACAAAATGTGATGAAGCTGGGGCAGTCATCCATGAAGGCAATAGAAGACACTGTATGTGCTCACCACAGCAGAGGCATAGGCAATTAAGGAAAGGGGAGGAGGGTCAAAGTGCTCTGGGTGAAGAGCAGCATCACCAAAATCTGAGGAATTGCTGTAACACATGGCAGTGGCCAACTCCTTGATGGCAGCATGATGAAAAGGCTTTTCTGGAGAGCACTCTGCCTGCCACCAATATCAGGAACTTTTGTTTGAGATTCTATGTAGGGACTTACTGCAAGACAATCAAACTTTTGATAGATATAATTTGCATCCTGGAGTAACTGATTGATACCCTCACTGAGAGTGAGGCATGCACATGCCAAATCCTCCTGCATACAATCTTTTTTGGATTTGCTGCATTGCCTTTTCAGCTCAGTCTTGATTTTCTTTGTCATTTTGTATAGCCGGAAAACATCTGCATATGATGCTGAATTATCTTTGTGGCCTTTGTTTTGAATCTTCCCCTCAACCAGTGCTTGTGGTGTTTGATCTGACAATGGTATTAATTTGATGGCCTGAACATTGACAGCATGTGATAAATGAGAGTCTGTTGACTGGGATACGCCATGAAGTCAATTCTGGGACAAGGTGGCACTGCAAGGCCAGCATCTTGGTTTGCAGCCAATACAGCAGCCTGGACAAGTAGCTCATCATCTAATGTACTTGGGAACATGCTGCAAGTATGAAGTGCAATTCTGTACCACTTTTTTGCTGTTCGCAGAGATTGCTGCATGTCATGTTGATATGATTTAAGCTTGACACCTAGTGGATCATGGGGTCGGACAGACATGAGGCAAGTCTGATTGGTGTTGGGAGGGGTTGGTGTCAGTGTTGGAAGGGACCCAAGCTGCATGGGGTGGACTGATCAAGAATGAGCATCTTGCAAGTCATAGGATCATATGCACACTACCAGAAATATCCTCCACAGTCGCATCAGTTCCACAATTAAACTGGGTGTTGATAACTTCACATTCACTTTCTGAGTTGTTGAGGTTGCTCTTGCTAGAAGGTAGCCCCTCATACCAAAGTAAGGTAGGTGCTGAATGAGAAGCACGGCAGCTCACAGTATTGACTGACCCTTCACATTCTTTCTGCATTTGCTCCCTAGGAACAACTGAGCAATGTAGTGTCCAAGCAGTAGTAGATGCCCTCAAGTCAAATATGACCAGATTATTGAGGATTTTTTTTATGTGGGGCACTAATGGATGATTGCAGACAAATGGACAAGGGCGCAGGTTCATGTTGTTGTATTTCTGTGCTCAAAGAGTATGTATTGACGGCTGACAGTTTGCTTGTTTTCCCTGACACTTGGTCAATACCTGGCCATGTAGTTTCAGCATGAAAGTGAGGGAGACTGGAGTGTTGTTTAGCTCACTTTCATTCCCCGGACCTTCACCAGCATCCAAACATTCAGCACTGATCATAGCTAGCACCTTAATGTGACTGGTTAACATTGTCACATCCTGGAGTGATGGGGCAGTCAACCTCGCTGTGAGTATAAGGGGGCATTCCCTGTGGCAAGTGAGATGTGGATCAACATAATTGACCTCACTAACCTATTAGGACCATCCAACACTACTGGATATGTGACTGGTCTGACAGGGCACTGGTTGAATTGCAGGGGTGCATCCATGTGGACACCAGATCCAGTTTTGGGGTCCCTGAAACTGGCTTTTCAAGTGTGAAGTGCGATCCAGACCTTGGGGATCACCAGGGCAGGGATATCCCCTCCTCCTAAAGCCTGATCAAATGAGAAGTTTCTGAGGTCAGGAAATCCAAGAGATGTACATACAAAGCTGATTCCAAGAAATCTCACTCCCTGCTACAGAGACACTGATAGCATTCATAGCACTCTTCCTGCTATGGTAGCGCTTGGTGTGGCTATGAATGCTTCCGTAGACAGGAGACCCCGACATACCCCAATATCGGGGTCCTATCTATGGGTAAGAGGATGTTTTTACCGACGAAGTAGGACGCGACGCGTCGTCGGAAGCGAATGCGGAGTAAAAGAAAGTCCGAGACATTACTCCGTGTTGACTGTGCCGCGTTTTTGTTCTGTGCATCCTCATGGCCAGTCAACCAACTATGGCCAACGATGGCTCAATATCATTTATTGTCCTCTTTTATACGTTGCCAGCTCTCAATATACTCTGCGCATGGCGATGGCCTTCGAGATACGGCCTGTCCACGCCATTACTACAAGTGTCAGTGGGCGAGGACTCGCCTCTCTGTCCCTTTCACTCTTGACCACATCCTTGGCATTGCTCTCACAATTCGGCTGGTCCGCACCCCTGCTTCTATAGCTTGGCATTACTCTTACGACTGGACCGATTATCATTAACAAGTATCAGGTTGAACCTCATGTATTCCTTCATTTGCATCATCATCCTTCTTTTGGCACACTCACTGACGACTCTCGCCGCTCCCTACCCGCGACACTCCATCTCAAGGCTGCTCTCTCGAACTTCCTCTCAACACAACAATAGAATGGCTGATACGACTACTGGAGCATGTCTGCCATCAGGCAACTCCAGTTCCATCCAAGCACTGCTCGTCAATACCGGAGACAACGCGATCCTCTGCCCGAACACGACTTTCAACCTCTACGCCCCGATCAACTTCACAGCTCCAAACCAGGTTCTTACCACTCTCGGAGCACCCACAGACCACACGCGAGCTATGCTCGTCATCCAGGCCAACTTCACCGCTGCCGTTCAAGGCGGGTGCGACCAGTGCACCGGCGCGATACTCTCACATGTACAAGTGAACGGCAACCGTGCGCAGCTCGGTCGGCCCCCTGGAGGCGGAAGTGGCCTTATAGAGATGGGAGGAAACACGAACGGTCAGGTTGTCACTTTTGTGCGCAGCTTTGATCCTCGTGGGTTCAGCTGCTTGCATATGTTCGAGGGGCAGAACATGAGCTGCCGCAATGCCACCGTGGTAAACAACGACATTGGGCCGTGTGGTGAAAGCGCGGAAACCGATTTCCCGCAGCCATCACTCAGCGGCACAGGACGCTGTAAGCGTAATCTTAGTGATGTCGCTATCTGGTCTGAATGGCTTTAGCATTCGCCGACGGCGTACCCGGTACCATCTCCTCAAATGCCACATCTGGCCGATGGGCGGACGGGATCAGCATGGCCTGTGCTCATTCGCTCGTCGCAAACAACCAGATCACCGACGCCTCAGATGGCGGTATTGTCATCTTTGGCGCCTTTGGATCGACCATTCACTCAAATCACATCCTTGCTTTAAACCAGACGCTGCTCGGAGGAATCAATCTCGTCGATTCCAAGCCCAGCCAGAACTATACCGGCGTACTTGTGGTGAACAATACAGTGGAGGCGCGTGGCGAGATGATCAAAGTCGCGATTGGCTGCGGCCCGGCTGTATGGGGCGACGACCTCGTGACTCGCAACTTTGGCGCGACGGTGATAAATAATACTCTCGGTGGCGGCTATCTGGGCTACGGCGTCCTCCTTTCGGGAGTTGCGAACTGGACAGCGCACGGAAACATGGCTGCGCCAGGAGCTAACTTCAGTGCTGCGTTCACCGAAGCTTGCCATGGACTGTCGGTTGAGCCGGCAGCAGTGGTGATGAACCCGAGCACTGTGGACTGGGAGGGATCGGACGTGCAGAGCGGGACGTTTGGTGCGGCGCAATTTGCGATATGCGTCGAGAGCAAGAGGTTCGTCATGGGCTTGGAGGATGGGAACGACGAAGGTGATGATGAAGGCGATGATGATGACGATGATGACGGAGACGATAATGGAGAGGATGACGGGGATGATGACGGGGATGATGACGGGGATGGATCTCTCGATGACTGCTCCACCGCGAGCTGGGATAACCCTACGACCTCAACACTATTCTTCACGTCCAGCACGTTCAGCGCGACGGCCTGCAGTAACTCTGTGACGACACGACCAACGGGTTTGGCTACAGTTACTCAGACGAGCTCGTCAGCGACTTCACCTAGCAGTTCGGCCGGCACGAGCAGCGTTCTTCCAAGTGCGGACCGTGCCGAGCCAATGGGGGGAGGGTTTATTCCATCGCCGGCCTCGAGCTCGAGCTCGAGCTCATCTCAAACAGATTCCGCCCCTACGTCCTCTATGTCCTCTGCGTCCTCAACCCTCTCTACCTCCTCCACCGATTCTCTTGCTGGATTCTTTACGTCCGCGACAACGTTCCGCCAGTCGAGCCTCATAATTCTTCCAACGATCCTCCCCCAGCTCAGCCTAGGAACGCCCACAGCAAGCAGCTCTTCCGGATTGAATGTGGATTTCTCTGTTGGCTCCGGCGGAAGCTCCACGACTCCCTCACCCTCCATGGATTTCTCCAGATTTGTTACTGCCGCCTCCGCCCAAATCACTGGCACGACGAGCACAGTGGGTGTGGAGGACGTGGTTGTTATACCAACTTCTACTGCGGTTCATGCGGGGTGGACGCGCCCAGGGCCGGCAACACATGACGATGTGCAGATGATAGCAGATGCTCCGGCACCCTCGCCAACCCCTTCGAAAGGTGTCAAGAAGCCGTGTCCGTATAAGAGTCATCATCATAAAGTTGTGAATGCGGCAAAGGCGGTCAAGCGGTGGATAGAGGATTTGTGGAGCGGACTGTGAGGATAGGCGTTACATCTGTATCACAGCTACAAGCACAAGTATTGTTTTAATACCACTGAATTCCATTTACATACCAAAGTAGTCCACAGATATTCCAATTGCATACACGTGTTCATTCAAAGTTGTAGAGTGTGAGACCAAACGACATGTGAACTTGGTTTAGTACGTGTACTTACGGTCATAGAAATTTGGGCGTCCACTTCTGTACCATGAACAAGTGCTTGTTTGATCAAATCCGGAGGTGAATCTTTCCTGATATGGCCATGACCGCAGCATTGAAAGAAGTGTGCACGTTGATTGTGTGTGTCGACCGAAAGTGTAACTTGCAATTGAGCACAAAGAGCTGCGAACCATTGTAGACCTCTGTTAGCTGCAAGCAGCCTTGATTGTCGTACTTGAAACATCTAAGCCAAACTCTTAACGCCATCCACGCGAGAAAAACGTTATATCAGTTAGGAGAGCAAGTCCCCAAGAATGATATAAGTCGTCAAGCATATTGCTTGCAAACTTAATGAGGATCATGGAGAGCCGCCGCGGCGAGGGCTCTAAGTCTGAAACATTACTTTGATGTCGAGTCTTAGTTTAATCACTCATCAGTTGGCAATTACAACAGGGGTAATGTTCATTTGGCAGAGAGGCAGGTAGCTAATACAAAACGATGGGATAGGGGGACGGAAACACATATGTAGGTGTGGGTAGAGGCAGCGGTGGTAGACGCAAAGGAATATAGAGCGGGCAGAACAACGGAGACTAAGTCGAGGAAGCAAAGGAAGCGTGTACGTTTATCGCAACCTGGAAGGTCGGAGTCGTCAGCAGTCGTTTCCGGAAAGGCAGGACGAGAGGAAAGAGACTTACTTGAATCGGCGATCCGACATTCCAGGACGACAATTGAGTTGGCCTTGACGTAGAGATAGTTAGTTACGGGGAAGTATGATGGCATAAAGACGGAGGAAAGAGACAAACCTAAACCGGCGCCGCCAGGAAGGCCGGAATATCTTGGAAGTACAGATTTGCACCAGGGAACTCCGAGAGAACGAGATCCCAGATATACGTAAAGGGGGTGGCGTAGGTAATGTCGGAGCCGTCTGTGCCTTTGTTCGTCCCGCCGGTAAGGAGGCCGACAAACTCACCAATTCCAAGAGACGATGAGCGCACCGGAGTCACCGCTTTTAGAGAAGGTGCCAGTCTCGTTCTCGTGAAGAAAGATCGCCAGCTCCAGGGACTCCAATGTGCCAGTCGTGAAGTACTTCCGCACAAACGACATGAAGCGAGGAAGATTTCCGACGGTGGTCCCGGTAAAGAAGCCATTCTTGATAACGTGTCGAGTGCGTTCTCTGTGGGAGCCCAAGCTATTGTGGTCATAGACGGGGTCGGTCGTGAACATGCCCCTAAGAACAAGGAGCCCGTCGGTAGGATATTCAAAATCAGAGGGAACGTCAGTTCGTTGGTGCATGAGGGTCGTGAAGTCTGTCTCGCTGTACTTGGGTCCTGGAAGCGAGACGTACATGTCAGGTCAGCGAACTATATGAAATTGAGCTGGCATCGCACCGAGACTGAGGACATTCCCAATGAAATGCGTGAACTTGGATTTCTTTAGTTCCACAACGCAGACGTCTTGGGTAAAGCGGTTAGGACCAACACCGATCGGCGGAGACCAGACGATGTGACCAATGATACGGTCGCTCAGCTTGCTCCAATTCTTGCTCATGGTGACGGAGTGCTGTTTCAGGCTGGAAATCTTCCTGGCAGTTTTTCTAAGTTCGCCCTCCTGTTCCGCTAGCAAAGCCCGTGTGCCTGGGAGACCGATTCCGTTCCCCACCCTCTCCTTTAACGAAGCGATCTTCTTTCTGAGAGATTTGACTGTTTCGTTGAGGTTTCCAATACGCGCCTGGATGGCGTTCTGGTAGTTCGTGAAAGCAGGGTTCCCCATGACTACGACGTCCCTCTTGGATGCGGAGGCTGAAGGGCTAGAATTAGAAAGCCCTCAGAGTCTCAAGGGTCAGGTGGACGTACTGTTGTACCTATATGGAGCGTTTCCGTCGGCGGCTAGGAACAGGTTGTGGCGAGCCGTGATGGCGTAAAGTTTGCCGTTGTGCTGGAAGTAGGGGCCAAGTGTCCCTTACATCGTCATTTTGCAACCAGAAATGGGAATGCTGAGCGGGACTGAAACGCTGTCGATGAATTCTTCCAGAGGGTCACCGGACTCAACGGGAGGGTAGAGTGCTGGTCCATTTCCGACAATGGATCGGGCGATGGACTCTCTGAAGGCAATGTCGACCTCCTTGACTTTGAGCGCGTCGAGGAAGGCACGGATTTTTTCTGCGACCTCGAAAGCACGAAGGCCAGTGAGGCTTTCGGGAAAGACTCCAATCCATATGGTCGGGTTTGTGAAGTACTGCTCGCCGCCCTCGACGGGCTTCACGGGTGCGAATGAGTCGTAAGCATCTTCGTCATCTTCCTTCGCACCCTCCTCCCCCTCCTCTTCCACGACCTCTTCCTCCTCCTCCGAGTCGATCTCACGATCCTCCGCTTTGTTACGCCAGGTAAATCGCGCAAAATCGATGGATGAGACGCTGACGTCCTCTTCCTTAAGAAGGCGCTCGACCTTGGAACGAACGTGAGATGTACAATTACAGCGTAATGAGAAGGTCACGCACCCAGTCACAAACTGTGTCCCATAGTCCGTTCTTCGCGAATTCATGTGTTCCGGGAACGTCAACAAGTCTCATACGACGAACATACGCCTCAGGCCCAGTCGGCACTTCAAAGACGTCGGCAGAACTCCTCCAAACACGCGTAGGCCAATCCTTTGGACTAATCCCAGCATAATATAAACGGGCCTCAAGCTTCGATATTTCGTGTGTGCCGGTTTCGGCACTGGGGGGCGTAGAGAGGCTCTCCAAACTGGACCAGTTGCAGCCTGGGCCCTCAGTCCAATCACTATTGTCAGAAGATAAGGCCCTAGCGAGCTCGATCGCTTTTTGAGAGCAGTTGATGTCGAATGCGGCAGAGTTGACGTAATCATCAAGATTTCCTCGCACTGGAATGTCAAGATTCTCCGCTACCCCTAAGTAAAGAGTTCGAGTAAATTAGTACAGTCGAAGAGCTACAAATCGTATAAGAGAAAGATGCACGTTTCGGGTCCAGCAACTCGGTTCTATGTGAATCAGACATGGTACGAATAACGAGGTTTCAAGTAAGGACTTGACTGATAGAGCGAGTTGAGCAAAGCAAGTTTGTTTGAAGGAAGGGTGGAAGAGCTGCAAGGGTTGACGACTCAGGGTAAGGGTTGTTACGTAAGCGATTGCAGGGTTAGGGTTACGCAGAGCACGTGCGGTGCGCGTCCTAACACCAGTTAGACCTCAGAACGGCGACCGCGTCCTCTACCTCTCCTCCATCTTGCACCGCGCACACCATGCCAGGATCGACAAAAAGGAAACGCAGCGAAACTCTCGCGTCCAATCGGTCGCGGAGCATCACTCCTGCTGCCAATTGGTACAAGAAGACGAAAGTGAAGCCAAAGCCCGAACCCGAGCCTGCACAACCCAAGGCACAGGTCCACTGGGGGAGTTCCCTTCGCGATTCGGTCGGCGCTGATACCGCTGACCTCGACTCCGACGATAATGATAGCTTGAACACGACAGTCGAAGATGGGGCTGAAGGAGAAACGAAACGCAAAATATCTGTGGTAGATGAGGAGGAAGACGAAGGACTTGACCAGGTACGTAAGAGTCACCCTACTTAGATGCACACCTCCTGACCTTCCTTCCCCAGGTTTGCATTGCTGTAAACGCAAGTTCTCATAAGCTGGGTGCTGCAGTATATGACCCGGCAACGGGAGTACTTAGCCTGCTCGAAGATACGGAGGACAGCGCCTCCTTTGACTTGGCGATATCGTGTGCGCATATATGTGCCAGTCATCATCACCTCCGTAACTCTGACGAACATTTCCAGTGTTCGAACAAACTGCACCCCATACGGTGATAACGAGCTCCAAATCCGATGAGAAGTTCCAGACTATTGTCGAAGAACATTGTACGCAGCCATCGTATCAACTGATCGCCAAAGGTGTTGACCAGATGTGTTTCTAGGCAAAAGCAACCACATCACGTACAATTTGCGTATATCGCGCGAGTTCGCTCCTGCCCGCGGCGCCGAACGATTGCTCTCTCTTTCCATCTTTGCTGACTCGTCCACCGAATACGCGCCCTCCACAACTACGTCCTCAACATCTGGCCTGAAAGATGCCTACGACTTCATGCGGTCAAGAGTTGGAAAGGGTCGTGACCCAGAACGAAACTCATGGGAAGGCAAGCTGAGGCTGGGGAATTGGGGAAAGTCCGACGGCACCGCGTACCTATGCGTTGAGTCTACTCTTTGTAGTGAGATTTCTTGCTTAACCATAGTCCAGATGGGATCTGCTGCTGCCTTGCTGGATCATCTTGTTCGCCTCCGAGCAACGGAAGGCGACCTCGAGAATGAAGGGGTAACGGCCCTTGATATCACGGATATTCGGAGCTTTACTATGTACGAGGCCGACCGACTCTCCACTTTATTCTGACCGGGTTCTTAGGGAACGGTATATGCACATCAATGCAGACGCATTGTCGTCTCTTCAAGTCTTCAGCTCACAACAACACGCAAACAGCTACTCCGACCGGTCTAAAGAGTCACTGTCTTTGTATGGTCTGTTGCTCGTCTTATCGCCCTGAGATCTTTGCTTATGCGACTCTCCAGGTTTATTATTAGCTGCTCATACTCCCCTGACAGCTCCTCTATTACGTCGAGTGCTTCTTCGGCCCCTCACTGAACCGGATGTGATCAGAGGACGCCACGATGCAATTTCCCTGTTCTTACACCCATCTGCAGAATCAACCGTATCGAGCTTCCCTACGCGACTCAAGGGCCTTGGCGGTGCGGGTCGAGCTATGAAACTTCTGGGGCTTCGAGGTGGGCGGGCTGAGGGCGGTCCAAAAGAGTGGGGTGCCCTCGTGAAATTCGCTTACGAAGGTGCCATGTTGCGGGAAAGCGTGCTAGACTTGGTCAGCATACCAGGTGCCAAGGACGTTGAGATAGTTCGAAAGGTCGGCACTCTCTTATCGGTGGTTGACGTTGGCCTGAGTATGAACAGCTTCTGGGCTCGCTGGAAGTTGCGGCGTTCAGGGAAATGGCTACTCTCATCAACGAAACCGTGAGTTAATCAGTCAATGGGGCTTGAGTACATTCTCACAGCAGCTCCAGATTGACTGGGATGCGTCAGAGCTAGAATGCCGGGTAGTTGTTCGGCCGCGTGTGGACGAAGCACTGGACAATGTTCGGCATATTTATCACGGCCTGGACAGTTTGATGGTGAAGAACCTTTGCCTCTGTTCGAACAATCGTCTGATTGAGGCGATAGTCTCGCATTGCGCTGGAGATCAGCCGTCATGTTCCACCTCAGTTTGCATCTGAGCTGAATGTATGCTATTATCCGCAACTTGGATACCTGATTACCATTCCTCTTCGCGACGAATGGCAAGGCGAAGCAGACTTTCAAGCAATGCCTGGCTGGGCAGTCCAGTTTACAACAGAGGAAAAGGTCTATTTTAAGTCACAAGAGATGAAGGGTAAGGCGTCCTCCCAATATCTGGTGCCAAGCTAACGAGGCGCCACAGATATGGATCAGCAAATCGGAGATGTTTACACTTCAATGATGGATCGCGAAATCGAAATTATCCATTCCCTGAGAGAGCGCGTCATGGCCTTCGGCGACCAGATTCACGTTGCCCTTATGGACTGTGTTGAGCTGGACTGGTGAGCTCACGTTCCCAGTTCAGATCCCCACTGACCGTGATCTTCTATCAGCCTGCTGTGCTTCGCCAATGCAGCTCGACTATATGACTGGCATAGACCGACTATCGTAGAAGAAAACATCATTCACCTTGAGAATGCCCGACATCCTTTACAGGAGCTTTGTGTCGAGTCCTTCGTGCCAAATGGCTGTCACTTAGTCGGAGGCGTTCCAACGCCTTCGTCGACAGACGTAGCTACTAACAATGACTCAGAGAGGAACATAATGATTCTGACTGGCGCTAATGGCTGTGGCAAGGTAAATATTCTTCCTTCTTCTCCACCTCGTTTGACTGACATCTGCAGAGCGTATACCTCAAGCAGGTATGCCTGTCTACGCATTCAAGTGGATCATCTTGACTAGATCCCTCATTCGCAGACGGCGTTGATCGTGATCATGGCGCAGGTTCGTGTTCTATTATTCTTCAGACTTTCAGCCGTCCTGACTTCAGTCAGATCGGCTGGTTTGCGGCATTGTATTCACATTTGACGTTATCTCACCTTTCGGCAGCTTCGTCCCCGCCGACAAGGCGATAATTGGCATCGTAGACAAGAGTGCGTTTGTTGTGTCCATAAGCGTGCATCGCTGACGTAAACTCCAGTTTTCACGAGGTGTCAAACGAAAGAGTCGGTCTCCAAAGTTGGTTTACTCTCCTGCTTCCTGCCATCACTGAAATGCCTTTCGATGGGACTAGATGCAGTCCGCTTTCATGATTGATCTATCTCAGGTCTCTCTGGCACTTCGCAACTGTACCGCACGGAGTCTTCTGATCCTGGATGAATTCGGAAAGGGTACTAGATCTTCAGGCGTGTCTCCCGGATCCGTGCTTTTCTTATGGTGGCTGAATCCTGTTCTTCACTTCAGACGGCGCTGGCCTTTTCTGCGGCACCATTGACCATTTACTCAAACTTGGACCATCTGGTCCAAAAGTTCTGGCAGCAACTCATTTTCACGAGATCTTCAATCGGCATGGGCTCTCTGAAGACTTGCCGATTAACTATGCGCACATGCAGATTATGTTCAGCTCATCTTCTGGCACCATCATAGACACTGGAAGAAGCGATGACAGTGCTGAAAACAACTTGGACGAGCACATAACCTATCTCTATCGGTGCATCTGGAGGTCCTGTCAGGCCTGATAGTGCGGGTCTAACGTCTTCGCAGAGTAGCACCTGGTCTTGCTGAGACGTCTCATGCTGCCCGCTGTGCGATGCTTCAAGGTGTCCCCCGCCGAGTGATCGAAAGAGCCGAATATGTCACGTACGTATACAACCGCAATTGGCAGCCTAGACGGACGCATGGTAACGCTACGACTAGCCGTCTCATCTCACAGGATGACATTGATCAGCTCCTCAACGAGGATTTGACCGATGCGGAAAGACTTGAGCTCGAGGCGGCGGAGGACGTCATGAAGCGATTCGTAGCCTGGGATCTGGAGAAGTGGAACACAGATGAAGACTTGCCCGACTTGAGAGAGGAGCTTAAGATGGTGCTCAATATCCGAGAATCCTCTGCGCACCCATGACGGACATCAGAACAATCATGAACTAGTAATTATTCTAATACAGTTGTCTACAATGCTGCAGGAAAATGTGCGACTCAGCAAAGAGGAACGTGTCATACGTCCATCTGCTGAATGTAAGATGCTACCTCTTCATCACTTGTTCTTCGATTGTCAAGCATTTGAATAGCCCTCGACACTCCTATTGTCGCTTTTGTTGAGCCTGCCCGAACCCATACTCTTCCATTCACCCCAACAGCCACCTCGAAGGGGAACTTCTGGGCCAAAGCGGGTAAAAGGAAGTGCGTCGAATCGAGAAGTCTGTTATTACTCCATAAGCACATAGCATACAAACACCAAAAGTAATGGCTCACTTTCGACAAGTCCCCAGACTGCACTCCACCATAAATCCATCTTTGAGTTCACCAAACCCATCCGCCTTCCGCGTAGTCGCATCAAAACACTCCAACTCCGGGTCCATATCTCTATTGGCCAGGCTCACGCGTGCATACACAAGATTTCCCACTTTCAGTGCTGGTCGGTTTCGTTTTGTCGCGCCTTCGAAGGCGAGGGCGTCGAGTGTTGCGAGATGGGCAGAGCCAAGGTCCACACGGTAAGCTTCTGCACTTCGGTGAACAATTACGCCGATTACGCTCTCTTGAGGAGCGGGTATATACTGTATATATATCAGCAAATCATATTCGTTATCCTTAAGACTGACTGCTTACTCTTCGCGACTCCGTCTCAACCCAATGCTGTTGCTTCTTAGAATGCAAAACTCCAGGCCGATGAGCAGTAACAGGATTCCCAGGCGTGTGCAACATCACTAGTCCTGGACCGAGCTTGAGCGATTTCGGCAGTGGATCAGGCATGGGAACGACATCTCCGGGGAATACATATGACATGTCGAGATGAGTCGAAATTGGGAAGAATAACAGAAAAGTGGTCGTCCGAAAGACCCTGACGCTGGGCGCCTGGGCGCTTGTTTCTACACGGACGACCATGAATACGCCCCTTACTCAAGCATTTCCAGAGTTATCACATCTATTGTACGTTATTGTTTGCCATCAATATTACGATACATCGATACTGGGTTCTAGAGAAGAGGATGTCAAGGAGGCCATTGCCGATCCGGCATACCTTGCTGCCCTCGTCAACAGCCTGCCTGCCGCGCATCAGGCAACGAAGGACGTCGTCGACATATCAACGCACGATGAAGAGCTTGCGAGTACGTAGTACATCCACCGTTTATTGTAATTATGGATTAATGATGCTTGTAGGAGCGGGACTGGCGATGCAGGATGACCTGAATCGATTACGAGCGGAGACGCAGGCTGCGTTTGACCATGCGCAGGAGCTGAAGCGCCGATGGGCGGACGTCGACAGAGAACAACGAGAAGTATATCAAGTGAGTGCTCTCAATACCATCACACTTTCAATTTCTCATCTCTGCAGAGATACGCGCCCTCCTTTCTCCTCATGCGCCTACGACACGCAACAACCGATATCGACGTAAGCTCCGAACGACTAGCCTCCGAGTTTGTCAAGCCGCCAGAAGTGGAACATGATGCCGATACGTCCCGAGCGGTGGACACATTCGTGAAGGAATTTAGGGAGCAGAGAAAGATGTATCATAAGCGACTTATGTGGGGCGATAAGTGTGCGGATGGGAAGGTCGTTTGGAGAGATGGACGATGAGCGTCGTGTACGGTGCTGAATTGCGTGGAAGAGTGAGGTTCGATGAGATACTATTTTGTACATTACTGATATACAAACCAAGTTTACACTAACACATGATATACCAGCTGCCTTCCTCGAATGTGATCCGTCAGTACTTGGAGTACCGCACGATCAAGGCCAATAATGCCTCTGTATCATCCGTCCAAGTGGGAAGATCACTGCTCGCAAGGGCGACAAGACCGGAGGGATGATAATGCCTGCTCCAAGACCGTGCCTTCGTATACTATCAGCATCTTAATCTTGCGACGCGTGAAAGACTCACATGTGCCAATCATCGACTCCCATCATTCCTGCCACCACAACCCATAGCATGACCCAGAGCCAACCTCCAAAGCCTGACACCCGCCGGCCTGTGACATGCCTGAACAGGCGCTCCGAGCCCAAGCCAATCCCCTGCATCGAGAAGTATATCATGCTTCCCCAGCCAAGAGGTATGCCCGTCGGGAAAAGTGAAAGGGTGTGGTACGTCCCACTGATCACAAACGTGCCCACGACGAGTCCTACATGCCCCGCCATCGGCCCGAACAGACCTCTCAACGCCCACGAAACCGGATATCCGCCCATGATCATGAACATCCTCCTGAACATCTGGTGCCAGCGTTTGGCCCAGTAGTCGTGGAGGCTCGTGGAGCGCCAGGGCTGTTCGAAGATCGGAGGCCAGGAGCGCGGGTCGTGCCCCAGCAGCAGGACGGCAAAGAGGCCGAGAAGATGGTAGCAAAGTTGGAAGCCGGTGATCACCGCTGATCCTGTCATGTAGGACATGAGTACGGCTACGGCCCAGCGTTGCACAGGAGGCAAGGAGGGGAGCCAGATGGACGCAGAACCCGCATGCCGGAAGTTGGGATGCTGCTTGACGCCGACTTCGAGCGCGTCGAGCAGGAAGAGCGCGAGTAAGAACTGCTTGAACGCGTGTTTCAACCATGTGCGTTTGAGCTCTTCTCCGGTGAGGTTTGGGGATGGGAATGGAGGGACATAGGTGTCCTTCCCATGCTCCCATCCGATTCCACGCCACGAGCAGGAGAGATCAAGTGCATCGATCAACCCAGCTACCAGGCCTTGAGGAGGTCCCAGTTTCGCTGGTCGAGATACAGTGTCTTTCTCTGTCGATGCTACGCCGTTGGGTGTGGCTTTGTCCGTCGATGAGATGCCATTTGGGACCAACTTGTGCTTCGAGTGCCACTTTGTCCGATGTTTGGGCACTGCACCTGCGCTCGCCTGCGCCGCAAGTCCTCGCTCGCCAATTCTCGGGAATCCCGTGTTGTCAGTTCCGAAGTCTATGATCTGCTTTTGGTCAGTCCTTTCCAGTATCCACTCTCGTCAGCGCACCTTGCAAAGACATTCTACGCCCCACACTCCTAATGCCCAGTTCCACGGTTGCATTGGCGCCGTGTACCACCTAAAGCTTGTGATGACATAGACGCACCAGAACGCTGCGATGGGGAAAATAGCGAGTCGGTAGATGAGGGTGTGGGGTCTTCGTGCAAGGTAGGCGAGGAGAAGAACTGGAGGCCCGGTGGTCACGAGATATGGGAATGTACTGAGGGTGATGTGTATTCGTTCGGTTGGTGGCAGGAAGGGGAAGGTACTGCGGGGAGGCGGGAGGTCGGTAATGACTGATTCCATTAGAATGCAATAGCTCGAGAGATGGTATCAAAATATTGAAAATAAACCTGGATAGAAAATAAAGAGTTACAGTTGCATTGCCAGTGTTGTTAACAGTTAACAACTGTAAAATGCAGCATGATGATGCATTATATGAATGGTGACATGGACGGCGGGTTGCAACACAACATCAACCCCCGTGCCGTTCCCGACGGGCGCTTCCGGACGATCAGTCTCAGGGAGAGCGGCACCGACTCGGCCGCCGAACTATAAGAACAAATTACAATATGACACTGCACATTACTAACGACCTTCTGAGATTAGATGCAGTGCAAGAAAGTGTACAGTCTGTCGTAACAAGGATGCCAAGTCCGCCCAAGCCGCACAAACCCGATTAGGTCAACACCGGCAACTCCAGTAAGGTCAGCTTTGTCCTCGTATCCGCTTTGCTAAAGGCAATATAACCGCCTGCATGGGGGACAACATCGGTGGAATGATGATACCCGACCCAAGCCCATGTCTATACAACGCATTAGTCCAAAGCTCCCCACTCGGTCAAAAAGAACATACAAATGCCATTCCTCGGAGGCTATCATCCCCCCGCCAACGACCCACAAGATAACCCACACCCACCCTGCAACGCCTCCCACCCTCTTCCTCGTCAGGACGCGGAAGACTCGTTCTAGGGCGATCCCCACTGCCTGTAATCCGAAGTAGAGCACGCTGCCCCACCCGAGGGGGATGCCAATAGTTAACTGCCCGATCATGTGCAGTGCTCCGCTGGCGAGGAAGGCGCCGAGCAGAAGGGCGAACTCGCCTGCTGCGCTCCCGAAAATAGGGGCGATAAGTGCTTGGAGTGGCCATCCGCCTGTGACGAGGAAGGATCGGCGCAGGAGCTGGTGCCATCGTTTTGCCCATAATTCGTGTAGGTTTGTGGCGTGCCATGGTACCTCTTGCACTGGTGGCCAGGAACGCGGATCCTGACCCAGGAAAAGAACGCAGAGCAGCCCGAAGCTGTTGTATGCTGCGTGGAAACCGAAAATGACGGACATACCCGTGAAGAAGGACATGGAGAATGCGACCCCGTAACGTGAGACGGGGGCAAGAGAAGGGAGAAAGATGGATGCTGGGCCTGGGGCCTGGAAATTAGGGTGCAGCTTGATGAGTACCAGGAATGTGTCGAAGAGCAAGAAGTAGAGCGTGGATTGGAAGGCAGCATATCGTAACCAATGGCGGCGGAGTTCTGAACCTGAAAGAGAGGGGAAGGGAAAGGGAGGTACGTAGGTGCCTTCTCCATGTGCCCATCCTTGGCCTCGACAACAGCCGATGAGATCGAGGGTGTCGACCAGGTTCCCGCGCGTGGGGTAGTCGACCAATGCGACTGATTGTTCCTCTTTCTGCGGAGCGATTTCTGCGCGTTTTGAGGCATGACCATTAGAGAGATGGTTCCCGTTCCCGTTCGCAGTCCCGTTCGAAGTCCCGTTCGTCCCAGCAGCATTTGACGCTCTAGTTCTGACAAGACGTGGAAATCCCGTTGTATCGGTTCCAAACTCAACCGCCTGTCACCCTTATTAAAACTCTCTATGCTCTATCATAATGGCTCTCGCGCACCTTTGCGACGGACAGAAGACAAAGTAGCCCCAGGGCGAAGTTCCAAGGCGCCAAATCCCAGCTCATCCATCTGAACCCAACCAGAACATACAAAGCCGGTGCAACTGCAAACGGTAATATGGCTAGTCGCACAAAGAGGGTATTGGGTCGCAGAGAAAGGTAGGCGAGGAGAAAAACGGGGGCAGGTGCAAGGAGGATGAGCGGAAATGTGAATGCAGTGACTGGTATGCGTTCTTCTGGAGGCAGAAGAGGGTAATAGGAGGCGATGAGCGGTATTTGGTCCATCGTTTGTAGAGGATATAATCTCTTGTGGTATACTTCAGTCGAGGACCGAGATCTTCAGTCCTCCAGCTCTACAGTGTGGACAGTACAGTTGCAAGATGTCAGTACTAAGCGCCCTTCAATTAGACTGCGTTTCATATAAGGGTACTGGGGAATGCGTGTCCCTATTTCATTGGGGCTTCTGCATCGCCACTCGGACTTATGCGGCGTTGACGACCACCACACCTTGCTTCTTCTCTATCACCCAGTACATACACGCCCAACATGCCAATCTATGCCAACCCAAAGACAGAATACGAAGAGTCGAAGAAACTCCTGGTCAAAGCACTGAATGAGAAGCGCAAGATCGACAGCGAACTCGTCGAGCTCGAACGCGCTATCTTCACGTACGAAGGCGCCTATCTGACGGATACGGCCAACTCGGGTGGGAATATCATGCAGGGGTTTGAGAACTTCCTGAAACCGAATCATCCGAATAAGAAGAGGATCCAGGATGTGGGAGATGGTGATAGACTCTTCTCCAGCAGCAGCGCGACCTATAGGAAGGTGTGTAAACCGCTTGCCTCTGCCGGGCTGTTTGCTCAAGACTTTTCGCTCTTGAAGGCACTGTCCGACGACAAGACTCCCACACCCGCACGGACTGCGTCTCCAACCCCGAGCATAGCAGGAAGCAGAGCTGACGATGGGACTGGGAAGAAAGGTATAGGGCGTGGGAAGGCGGGTGCACTGTTTGGAAAGCGACCTCAGAAGCGGAAGCCGGAGGATATGGGCGATACAGATGGGGGCAGTGGGAGGAAGAAGAAGAGGCTGGGCGAATAGGTTCAGTATGGCTCGATACAGGTAAGAGCAGGGAAGGTTGAAGCTAGTTGAGGAGGTCGCGTTGACTGAGGTCGCGTCTCTGGTCCACAAGACGTTCCATTATTGTATCATATATTGTACTGTTACTGTACAACCAATACGACATGTAGATTCGCTGTGCTTGTTGTTGATCAAAAACGTCAAACAATCGAGACATTCTGTCACGTGACAATAACCAACGCAACCATCGAAACGCGCATCGCTCATCTTGACTCATTCCTGTACAGATTACTCTTTCATCAGCCCTGCTTTATTCCTCTGACCTCGGCCTGTTTCTTTCTCGTACGACTACTTTTGCGCACACTTTGCTCGCTTGCCCATCTACGACTATTACGAACTATCCAAAATTATGCATCCAGTATTTGAGATCCCCGAGCTGGTACTTGCGATCTACGCGCATCTGGATAAACGCCCAGACCAGCTCTGCCTCATGCTCCTCTGCGAGACGACATTCCGCATTGTCGTTGAGGAGATGTGGCGAGATCTCTACGATCATTGGCAGATCATGGACATGATCCCCAAAGATGTGAAGCTGAACGTAGCGGACGATAAGGTAGTTGTCTGCGCCACTAGCTCTGACTCATATATTAAACATTGTGCTTACAAGGTCTGGCAAATCCCGGAGGAGGTACAAGTGACCCGTCCTCTGACCGAGAAAGAGTGGTCCCGCCTTCGACTCTATCTACAACACGTTCGTCATCTCAAAGTCACCGAATCACTCGTTTTCGCGAACGAGCCGCACAAGCCCAGCTCCTTCTCCCGGCCTTTCCTGACCCTTTCCACTTACCGAGGTGAGGAACCGCTCCTGGCATCCCTGAACGATGTGGAGCTTGATATCATCTCTTGGTTTGCGCATGTGTCTGCGGAGTTCCTCATTGCTCGCCCGTTGAGGAGTATCAGCCTCGTCATGCGGGTTCAGGAGAAGGATCCCATTCTGCCGCTTGCCCAACGACTACTGGATCTTATCGCGGCTCGGAGCTCTCGCCTGGAAAGCCTGCGGCTTGAACGAGGCGAGATCGCAATGGCCGACGAATTCTATGAAGGATGGGAAGACCTGTTAGCAACCCTGATCGGTGGCCTGAAGCATAAAGCCACCAAACTGCGCAAGATCGACTTATCACCCTTCGGCACTGGCCGGCTTGTGATCCCAGCTCTTGCGAGTCTCGATGGCCTGAAGGAGCTTACGTTGACATGGGCCCAGCGCAACACCTCCCTGTCATTCCAGTTACCGAACGACTCGTTCCAGAGCCTCACAGCGCTCAAGATGAACACCGAGTGGAGTCCTCTTCTCAAGCTGCTTCCCTTTCTCGAAAACATACACTCCAACAGTATGGAACGGATTAATGTTCTTATCAATCAAGACCTCAAGGATGTGGAACAGATCAATCGCCTGGTTTCCCATCAATGGTCTAAGACACTGACCCATTATCATATGGAATGGACCCCTGTCGGCGCAGATGTCTCCAATTCCTGGGACAGGGTTCTCGGTTCCATGCTGCCTGTCCCGTTCGCTCACCTCGTCCCGTTGCTTGAATGCCACCAGTTACAAAGGCTCAGCCTTCCACTGCAATACCCATGGGATCTGACGGATGACCGTGTAGGCATGCTCGTGCGTTCCCTCCCCAACCTCTGGAGCCTTGAACTAGCGAGCAGCATCAAATGGACGCCCGCGGAGCACACACCCGCAACAACCATCCGGTGCCTGGAGCTCATCGCTGCGGGGCTGCCCTATCTGAAGTACTTGACGCTCGACATCAACCTTGCCGATCCGTCGCTCGATGACGATGACTTGAAGCGAGCCGCGAATCCCAGGATACGCAGATTCCACAGCTTCGTTGTTGGAAATGCGCCGGCCACGATCATCAAGGAGCGCACGCACAAGCTGTTCCCTGGTCTGACGAAGGTTGTGGTTGAGGGGTTGGACGTTAATAATGCCTTAACTGGGACGGCGTGGGGATATAAAGACGAGGAGGATATGTGGTAGAGTCTGTATATGCGTGTACTGAAACAATCCTTGCGTATCGTATGACTTGGCCTTGGTGTAATGTGTGGTTCGAATTGTATTCCAATGGTCGCTTGTAGCTGAAGTTTGTCGTGTGTCATTTGAAACCAAAATTTACTGAAAACCTTCCGAAGTGACGATCGTAGCTTAGATTGTATTTAGCAAGAATACCACAAATCATGGGATAGATGCTACGTATCGGTAGAAAATACAGAGCCTGAGTACCGAAGGAGAGAAGGCTGGTCAGACTCAGTCACAGGGATCCAGTTTCGCCTGTTTGGAGTGCATCATCGATGAGTTTGCAACTGAGCGCGTGCAGTGCTTTGGTCTTAGCTACGCCTTACTTGTCTCTCACCTTACAAGAAAGTATTTGGGGTGTCCTAAGCTTGAGACAGCACGATTGGGCCTGAACACACAGAGGCTGGCATGTGATCGGCCACTCAGACTCGCGGAAATGCGGAAATGAAAAATTCGAGCAGCCCACCCCCCGTGCAGGCCTGAGTCTATCTCTATATACTGTGCAACACCTTCATTGTCTCTGCAGCATACATGGCCTCTCACTATATCGTACCTGGCGTCTTCACCATCCCTGAGCTGCTGCTAGCAATCTACTTCCATCTTCACGATCCCCTCAGCCAGATATGCTTTATGCTTCTCTGCAAGGCCACATGGAGAGTCGGAGTGGGTGAGAGGTGGAAAACCATTCTAGATGCTTGGCAGATCAGGGCGCTCCTTCCTCCCGACGTGGAGATCCAAGGTCCATCTCTGTGGCTCATCCAGGTCAGTTATCCATTTGCTTGTTTCACGCTATCTCACCTTGAGAACGTTGTCAGAGGATGGAAGAGATATCTCTCTCCCGTGCGATCACCCAAAGCGAATGGGACCGTATCCACCTCTATCTCGACCATGTTCGACGGATCTCCATAGGCGACGAAAGGCTCGGACTTGACACCCAGCAGAAGCCCATCTGGGCCTCGCAGCCTCTGTGGATGCTCTCGAGCTACGATGGACTCGGGGCTACGCTTCTCTTCCCGGCTCTCCGCCACGTCTCCATCTCATTTATCTGGCCATCGACATTGCTTGCATGCCAAGTGCTGGTCACTCCTTCCCTCCGGTCTTTCTCCATACGCGCCGATGCCGGGCTAAGGGATGCGCTAAAAAGGATCGACCTCTGGACCGCTCTCGATCCATTGCTGGACCTCCTAGCTGAGAACTCCACACGCTTGGAACAGCTCACTCTGGATCTTTCCACGATGCTGGCGGACCTGATGTTCGCCGCTACGCTCGAGGACAGGCTGGTGCTGCTTGTCGCGCGCCTCCAGCAACGGGCAGGCCGACTCCGTACTCTTGCTTTCTCACCTGTGGAATCAAGAGGCAAGTTTTTGCCCGTCCTTGGCAATCTGGATGGGTTGGAAGAGCTCTCTGTCGATCTCCCTATGTGGGATGTCAGCTTATCCAGCACGCCGGCATTTCGCACCCTCAAAAGATTGCGGATGGGGCCCGCTCGTCTACCACTCTCGAATGCCTCATCATTGCTGTCAAAACTTTTCAGTCCATCCATGCAAAGCATCACGCTGACGACACCGACCTTCCCTGCACTTTCGAAGGTCATCGAGACCATCTCCTCCCGCTGGGCTGGAACGATTCAAGAGGTGTCCCTGCAAATACACCACTTCTCGCCCACTTTCCACATGGACCTGGTCGTACTCGGATGGGACGCGCTCCTTCCCCTCCTGTCCTGCTGTCACCTTACGATGCTCAGGATATGCTTGCCCAACCCCATCGACCTGACAGATGAACGGATCTCCCTCCTCGCCGATTCGCTCCCCAATCTCGAGATACTGTATCTCTACTGCAAGCGATGCCTCGCTGCTGTCGAGTACATTCCTGCTCCAACCATCCGGGCACTATTGATCCTGGCCGAGCTGGAGAATCTGAAGGAACTGATGCTCGATCTCAATCTTGGATGCGCCTCCATCGAGTTGGAAGACCTTAAAGAAGCGCAGAACCCCATGATAAATAGGTTCAAGAGCAATGTCCTAGGAGGCCCTGTTGCGACAGACGTGGTAAGGCACAGAATGGGAGTGTTGTTCCCTGCTCTAGACGTGGTGGATGTCCAGCCCGGGGAAGGCGCGGCTTTTAGCGTGCAGGGGTATGTGGAGACAGAGTGGACGAAAGAGGACATGGCCTGGTAGCTTGATTCATGTCGACATTTATATACAGATGGTGCACAGTGTATGCGTGTATACGGTGATTACACGGAGTGAATGTCTAAACTTGTTCATTAATGCCATTGTCACTCTCGGAGCCGAATGTTTATCCGCAATAAATGATATTGATCACGTGCATCACACATAGGGGCAGACGCGTCTGACCACAACCAACGCGTACGGCGACAACGACATCGTCCTCGACACCGACCACCTCGTCGTCGACACCCACAACTCCATCGTCGACAACGACCACCACCCAATGGCTCCCGCATGGCAAGATGACCTCTCCTCAGAACTCGACGTGGACTGGGACGACCCTCCCTCTCCGTCTCCATCCACTTCTTCCGCCGAAGAGGAGCAGCAACAACGCGACTGGACTTACCGTGCTGAGAGAGTGGGGGATGAGAGCCTCGGAGAGGGGGATATGAGTTTGGATGCGGATATTCCTTCAGGAGAGATTAGGGTGTCGCCTTCTGCCCAGCCTGTCCATCCTTCAGGAGGAGCAGGGGCAACAGGGACGTTGGTGATACACGACAATGCCCCGCTACCCCAAGTGAAGCAAAAGAGTCACAACCTCTTCTCTCCCTCCAAGCTAGAGAGCATATTTGCTCCTCTCTCCCAGCTCCCATCTTCCCCCGCGCCGCGTTCACAAGAACCAGAAGAAACACCAACATTCAAGAACCCTTATGCTTCCCGCCTCCCTAGCAGGCTAAACCAGGTCCACCTACCAGAGCCGGCTACACCGACCGCGTCGTCTATCCAGCACTCTCTGTCTGTGATCCAGGAGCTGTCCGTGTCGGGCAGCGTGGCGGACTTATTGGAGGCCTATGACACGCACACCCGTGAACAGGAACAAGATCGAAAGGAAGATGCAGATGAAGATGAAGATGTATACTCCGAAGCAGAAGACGCACAACAACAATCCACTTCAAGAAGAAGTCTCGCCCCCTCGCCCTCTCCCTCCCTCTCCCCGCAAAGACCACCCTTCCTCCCCCCTTCTCCCGGTTCCTCCCCTTCCCCCTCCCTGTCCCCCAAAGCCGACGAGATCCTCGAAACCGACATCCCGCACCTCGGTGCGTTTGCGGGCCGCATCCGCAGTCAGAGCTTCACCTTCTTCTCCCCCGCACCTCTCCCTCCTCGGCCAGCAGGCCCAACACCCGGACATGCGGCTGGTTCCGGTAGGCAAGGAACGAGCACAGGAGGAGAGAAACTTCGGCTCTTCCACCCAGGGGGTTACGATACTTACACCCGGGCGCATCTCTCTGGTGTACTGGACAGCATTGGCCTAGAGAGCGCGACTCCCAGCGCGGGCAGTGGGGGGTCGACTCCTAGCACGGGAGGGAGGGGTGAGCCGGCACAGAAGAGGATGAGAATGATGTTCCCGAGAGGGGAGCTGGATCTGGAGCTGCCTAACGGGCGCGGGCAGGGAGGTGTGGCTGATGCGATAGGTGTGGAGCAGGGGGCGGGGACGGGCAGCGCGAGGAAGGACTATGTACTGGAGAGCGATGCCTTTATGCGTGCTTTGAGGGAAAAGGCTCGAGGGGAAGACGGTGCGTTCCCAATTCTGTTCATCCTTCTCTCCCCCTAGTGCCCTGACATACGTGCGCAGATACGAGCTCAACGAACCTCTCTGACCCTACGCCTGAACAGAGGCTAGTGAGGGAAAGTACGAGGGTGAATGCATTTCGCTCCAGCTTGGAAGAGGGAACGATACCCACTCTGCCTTCAAGGATGGACAGCGTGCCTGTTCCCCAGCCGCAACCGCAATCGCGACGTCCATCCTCGGCATCCACACGCCGCACAAGCGCCGATCAACCCCCTCCCGAGGTGTCCCCAAGACAAGCAAATGCCTACCTGCCCTTGCCCGGTCCTTCTCAGGTCGACCTAAACCGATACCTCTCCACGCACTCTAACTCCAATTCCAACTCTGGGTCCCGCACGGGCTCTGTCCCCGGCAGGACTGTCAGTGGCTCATCGAGGTCCTCTGGCAGGTCGGGGAGTACGATCCCCAGTATGCAGAAGCATGCCGGGCCTCCTTCTCCCTCTCCCCCTTCGCCCCCACAACCGGCGCCAGGGAGGGAAATGCCCGGAAACTCGACGCCTCATCATCCTCAACTTCGGCTTTTGCGCCCCGAGGACGTAGAGCAACTGTCCGACAGAGTAGGGATGATGAAGTTTGACCGGGAGGGGGGAAGATGGGTGCGCAGGCGGAGCTTGGGCCTCAGTGGGGTGAGGGAGGAGAGCGAGAGTGAGGATGTCTTTGAGGGTATTGAGGATTTAGGGGAGGAGCAGGTAGAGCTAGAGCAGGAGGAGCAAGACGACCTGGAGGCAGAGGCAGAAGATGGGGATGGCATGGGAGACGAACTTTCGGAGCAGGAGTATGAGGGACATGAGCAGAGTATGTGGCTGCATGAAGAGCCGGACCTCGAGCAAGAACAGGGAGAAGAAGAACACGAGCTAGAGCAAGAGCAAGAGCAAGGGCAAGAAGTCCAGCCAACCGAGCCCCCTCCCCCTCTCCTAGCCCTCCCATCCGTCCTCATTCCGCCCACAACGCCCGCCCTCTCGCGTACCAGCAGCCTCCCCATGCCCCGCTCCGCGCTCAAGTCTGGCAGTAAGCATAATACGTTTGCTACTCCCGGGTCCGCTGCTCGGGACCCGTTTGGAAGCGCGAGGAGCGCGCCGAGGAGCGTGAGTTTCTCAGATGGGAGGACGGTGGGCCAGATAGTGGGCCTGGGGAGGAGGGGGAAGACGGGTGTGCAGGCAGAGGGGGAAGGAGAAAGTGCGCTGGGTAGTAGTGGAGACGAGCAGGAGGTCGCGCATACGGGGAGTGGGGCTACGACGGTGGGCAGCATGAGGACGCGGAGGATCCAGGGCTTGTTAGAGGATTTTAGGGAGATGAGTGAGTTTTCTACTTTGGACTGGGGCGATCTGGCACTGACTATGTGGATAGCCTTGGAAGCCGACGCTCCCCCCGACCCCGAGGAGGAAGACAATCCCTTCTCAGAGCCATCCGTCGCGCGCACCTCTTCCCGCCAAAGTCAGTCCACCGACCACTCCGATGCCGCCTTCCCCGTACCCAGGCGCAAGTCTTCCCGCTCCTTCATCGCCCAGGGGAATGCGACCTTCCTCACCGAGTGCTCCTTCGAGGTTGCTCACGACGCGCTTATCAAGCATATCACTGATGCCGAGCCGTACCTCGTCCATTGGGAGAGGCTGAAGAGAATAGACCTGAGCGGGAAGGGGATCGATAGTGTTGCCAGGTTAAAGGAGTTCTTGCCTCTTATTGAGCAGGTGGATTTGTGAGCTTCTCCTCTCATCTTCGACCTTCAGGCGGGACTGATGTGGGATAGGAACAATAACCGGATCTCATGGCTCACCGGCCTGCCGTCGACCGTGTTGAGGTTATCGATCGCCTCGAATGCGTAGGTGTATTCCTATGCTAAACGAGCATCTACTCATTCAGTGACAGGCTTACCGGTCTGGCAGCGTACAACCACATACCAAGACTACAGTATCTGAACATAAGTCACAACCAAGTGGAAACATTCCAGTGTACGTTACTCCTTACCTTAAGAGCGCGTCTTGACACGAGGATCAGTACTCAATGGACTCGTCAACTTGCGCGAACTGCACGCGGATTATAATTGCCTTACGTCGCTTGACGGCCTGGAGTCCATCTCCCTGCGCGTTCTTACCGTACGAGGTAACGACATTCGCAATGTGGACATGCGGATGACGCAATGGTGTGTTTCCTGGCCATCATGCCCTCCAAGCGTCGCTAACAGCCAGCGTCGTAGGCATGATCTGGAGATTCTGGATCTGAGCCAGAATAGGATTTGCGACATCCAGGGGGTTGATATCCTCCAGTCGCTCGTGACGCTGAACCTTGGTAAGGATTGCATAAGAATACACGTGCCTAAATCAAATTAACTTGTTTAGATGGCAACCGACTAGAGTACTTCTCAGTTCTTGGCTCCCGGCTTCCGGCTCTCCGAGCCCTCCGACTGAGCGACAACCGACTGACTACGCTTAACGTCTTCGGTCTGGATTCACTACGCACACTTTACGCAGACAACAACAAACTGTCCGAGGTGATTGGGCTGGAAGACTGCCACACTGTACACAACTTGAGTCTTCGTAACCAGAGCCAGAAGCTGTATGTCCGACGTTTCACCCTTGCATTAGATTCACTGACGCATAGAGTAGCCAGATCACTTCCCGTGATATGCCAGATGTCAAGCGACTTTATCTATCAGGCAAGACTCTCCCACAATGAGACTGGTAAAAGGCTAACATGATTACTAGGCAACCCTCTTCCAACACAGTTCTTCTGTTGCCCATTGCCGAACCTTATCTACGCCGAACTGAGCTCATGTCAGCTCGCCACACTCCCCGTGCTGCGTCAAATGATGCCTCATATTATGACCCTTGTCCTCAACTGGAATCATTTCCGCCATCTAGACTTCCTGGCGGACCTTCGGCACCTGCAACGTGTTGTAGCTGTTGGGTGCCGTGTTGAAACTCTGGAGATGGACCCCATTTTGGGGGGATTGCGAGAACTGCGAGAACTCGACTTGCGCATGAACACATTCACCCTCGGTTGGTATCTTCCTGTCAAGACCGAAGATGATCGCAAACACAGGCAACAGGCCACTACTGGCGGCAAGACCAGCGAACATGACCTGCAGTCGTCTTCAATAACAACACCGGAAGATCTCGACAAGAAGTATCGAAGGGGTCTCCCCGATGAGCTATACGTGCCTAGGGCTATGTGGAGGGGTCTTGCAATGGAATGTTGTCCAACTATTGATCGCCTCGACGGTCTGGATATCAACGACAAGGAAAGGATAAAGATCAGGAAACTGCTGGTGCAGCTCAGGCAATCAGGTTTAGTATTGGATCGTCCTGGAGAGTCAATGTAACAATTGTCATTCTTACATAACTTATTTCTTACATTACGGCTCGTACCTATAGGCTTTGATACCCTTCATCAATATACCTCTGCGGACCGCCGGCATTGGCTTGGTACGCCTTATCACCCCGAAAGAGTGTCACCTGAGAAGACCAGGGATCCCCGTCACCAAGTCCCGGTCACAAGGGACGAGAAACACCGGTTGCGACATTCGGCTCCCGGTCGCTGCAAACTTTCGGTGGGTCCGTAATACGTTATGAATTTGAACCTTGCCTCTTCGTGGAACACTACCGGGGCAGGCTAGGCTCGTCGCAATATACCGAAAGATTTGGCCCGCTTTCTTCCGCCACCTGCATCCTCCTCCAAGGTGGCATGGGGTCAGGGGCTAGGTCAGTCTTGAACACTGCTCTCTATCCGAGCTCTCCGAGTGGCTCAAAGTATGTCTCTGTTTTCAGTCCGTCCACATTCTCTTTTCTTTCATTTGCCCCTTTCTCAGCACATGGAGAGACTACAACGAGGTCCATCACGATTGTTCGAGAATTAGATATCTATAAGTGGGTATGCTGACCGAATAGGGTCAGTATGTTATCCGTGTGCCTCCTAACTGATTAACTCCGCAACCAAATGGTGTTTAGCCGAAAACGTGTTTTGAATGGTACGAAAGGCGACTGAGTTTGCCACCCTGACAACTCTATTAACGAATTTAGTCATGAAATTGGACGTAAGCAAATCAGCTGAATGGCGCAAGATGGCAACACCTTAAAAAATGGACAAACCAAGGCCCCAAAAGAAGGACCGGTTAAACATCCGCACGGACGGCACCGCTGATGCCGAATTCCCAGCACTCTGCCACAAGCCAGTGCCGCCCGGAACCGAACAAGACACACAGAGCTGTATCAGACAGGGCCGGGCCATCCAATGGGCTCACATTCTCTGCGGTGTTTGAGAAACTCGGTCCGAAAGCTTCCCGGTGAATACCTGCTACAAGCCTTCTGCCATTTGATACACACGACGACCGGGCATCAACGCGGTTATACGCACGTATGTACGCGTCTCTAGCCGCGAAGTGGCTGCCTGTGAAATGAGAAACTGTAAGGTTGCGCTCCACGGTCCATGGGTGTTGTGCAAACCTTAGTTTGCAACACGTGTGTCGACTTCTCGACTGTCTCGCGGATCCCGGCACGATTCGGCGGTGAAGAGAAGGTCACTTGATGGCTCGAGAGACATACCAGTCCCGAAAGTAATAATATAAGACACCCCGAGGTATGTGATCCACCAGATCCGTCCAGTCGCAGAGTCAGCCAGTAGTAACTGATAACAAGGGAGACTTTGCCACAATTCCGGCGCAGAGAGATATATCACGGAGGACGCACATGTGGCTGAGATGACCCTGGGACCAAAGTTGGGCTACCAATTGATGGATTTACCCTTATCGCGGGGGGAGTCGGGATAAACAGCGCAAAACGTGCGACCTCCGGGGCAAGACAGAATCCGTAATTCCGATGGTTTGTGGGTGAGGGCATTCCCTGCGAGCCCGAACAACATAATCACGCGGCCCAGACGGAAATAGCCAAGTAAGGCTTGGCCGTGGTTGCACCGACCCCGCATCATTTCGGCGGCGCGGATGGCGATGATAGACTCTCAGCTTCCGTCTTCTCACCGCCTGACGCGCATTCTATGGAAGGGAGTCTTTGATACCGTCTGATTGCGGATTGGCCCATGAGACCAACCAATTCGCCTCCCATCTAGATTGTTAGAGAGGTCAGGCGGTTTAAACCCAAAGGTATGCGGTACAGAGTAATGATCCCTGCCCAGATGAAGAATTAAATTTCTACAGCGTGATTAACAGGCAACTCGTGGTCTGGTCGAACCGTTCGTGCCCGGACCGGCATCCTTGCTGCGGCACCCCGAGAAAGAATGGCGATCGCACGAGACCGGCTGAAACTCTGAGCTCCCGCATCTGCTAACGCCGGGGAAAGAGCAGGAGCAGTTCATCACGAAATGGAGATTGGTGCTCGGCTTGCGTCGGCGATCCTGGACCTTGCGAAGTTGGGCACAAACTGAGGAAGAAAGAAAGTAAAGTATTGTACTTGCGATTCACAACGTGGTCTGAAGTCACAGGAACCAGGCACAAGTGGCCACTTAATCCGGAGGAATGCTGAGAAACTGTTGTCCTTCTGTGGTGTGCCACAAGGACCCCGAAGCGTCATCCGACTCTTTCGGTGAGACTGTCTTCAGGGATCAATATCAAGTTCCCCGCAAGACCCCATTCGTTATCCAAGAGGGTCAGGGATAACGGTGATATCGTACAGAGGAAGACCCGTCCAAATCCAGCAAGACCACCTCTTGATACGGGAGAATTCGCACCCTTTTCTACCAGGAACTCGGACGAACAGGGGCCTATCGCCAAGGGAACCGTGCAAGCGCCCAACGCCTGGGAAAGTTTTCGAAGGCTGGGGAATGTCATGAACGATCAATGGAGACAAGGATGGCTACAATGATAAATGTATGGGCACCCGGCTTTTCATCGTGAGAGTTGATGATGCTAAGCGACTCCGTGTTAGACTCGATTTGTTCCCGGGCCTTCTTTGCTATTGCTTTGCTTTCGGGGGTACATGTTTGGGCTCTGAGACTGTGTGGCACTGGCCCAGCGGGTCCACGAGAAAATCGGGTCGCTGAGGTTAAATTCCCTCCGCCCATGCAGCGAAAACCCCGTCTGTCAGGCATCGATTCCACGGGTTGCTCGTCATCCTCTTCCGGGTTCATCTTAAGCCGTCCTTTCGGGCGCGCTTAACATGTCAGACGGCCGTCAGAGCCCTGTCGTCCCTCTGCCATCCAAGGCGTTCCCTCGCATCAGTATTCTGTACGTGACTTTCCACCCGTATTCAGCGAACTGTTCAGTCATCATCAAACATTATTGTCATTATTTCTGAAACTCCTGGCGCTTAACAGGTCCGAAACGCGTTCTGTGTATTCCTCGCCGGTGGGCGTCTATCACTCTCCGGATAGTGTGTACGTATAAGGATCTTATTGTTTACTTTCTACATGTTTACAAACATATCTAGGCCGGAGCTGATGTTTACGAACCCCGAAGAGCTCTCATCACCGAGCGAACGCACCCCAGTATCACCAACAGCCTACCTGCCTCAGCACAGTCTCCATCAGCCGCCTCTTTTAGGTGATCTTCCTCACATTGCTGATGGAGATTCTGTCAAAGCAGAAGATCCGATGGCTAGTGGGTTTCGACAATCCGGAACTTTCGAACCCAGTATCCTTCCTTCCCCAGATGGGGAGCCTGGAGAGTGGCCTCCTGGATCGCAACTCCCGAGCCTTGATATTCGACGCGTGTCTCAAACAGCACAACAACTGCCGCCTATCACCACTCTTTCCTCGACCAGACCAGATTTTGAACGGAAGACGCCCTCCATCTACATCAGCGCCGCACCCAGCGCCTGGAATCACAATGCCCTCTACTCGACAGCTCATGCGTCCGGATCAGTTTCCAGTATCGCTTCGCATTACACAAGTAATTCCTCTTACGACAGCTGGGAGGCCTCGCCAATTGCTGGACCTGTAGGACATTCGTACTCCGACAGTGCACTTGACATACGTGGACCCGGTCATACGGGCGATCGGATTGCATCGTCCCCCGGAGGACCATATAGCCTTCATACTTCGACCTCCAGCTCTGTAGCCAGTCAGAGTAACTTCTCAGATTCACTCCCCCTTCCAGATGGCTCGCCATCTCTGGGAGAATCTGGCACGGCAGGTTCCACGCCACAACCTGACCTCAACAGAGAAAGCATTGTGCCTGCATCAGGTGCTGCACAGAGCACTGCGAGATCCCCTCGATCACCGAGAGGCTCGTTGTCTTCACGATCCGGTAGGAAGTCGTCCGCATCTAATTCGCCCAACGATGTGCTATCAATCGACTCACTTTCTACCGACGACAGTGGTGCTAAGGCTAAAAGGCGTGGAAAGCTCCCTAGGGAGGTAACCGAGTACCTGAAGGAGTGGTTGATGAAACATGCGGAACATCCGTACCCCACAGAAGAAGAGAAGAAGGAAATGTGCAGAAATACAGGGCTTCATATGACACAATTATCGAACTGGTTCATAAATGTGCGTGATGTAGCAGAGCTCTGACAATCTTCCTTACTGATACAGTTCTGACCTACTTACAGGCACGTAGGCGCATCCTAGCCCCCAACCGAAGCTTGCGAGGATATCAACACTCCATATCGCAAGCTGGCGGACCGAGTCAGCCGTCTGCCGTGTCCACCGCAAGGCCACTTCCCGATCAAGCCTATGGACATGCCTCCACGTATTCGCCTTCTCAGTATTCAGCGTTCGAATCCCCATATCAGGACCGATCTCCATATGGGACACATCTATCGCATCATCCGGATACAGGTGGTTACAACGATCCACAATCACTTGGACACGGCTTGTCGAGGTCACAGTCCTTTGCTGGCGTACCCACATATGGTCAGCCGCTGTACTATCCCGCTCCGACGGTCCCTACAACGAATCATGCGCCATACTCTGCACTGAGTGGTGTAGGTCCCGCCTTGCCAGGGGACTCCTCCCCCACCACTTCACCGCCAGGAACTGGTGTTGGTGCACCGATGCAATACGCTGGCCCCGGTAGCCTGCCGCCACAACAAGCTCTCAGGATTCCACATGATCTGGGACTTTCCGGTCTTTACTCTCCACATACGCACGGAAACCCTCGTTATTATGATCGGGATGATGTCAGCGACTACAATCACCCAAAGTAATTCTCGTTCAAAGATCCCAACCCCTGTGTCCCTACTGGCACATGGCAAACTACAGTGGATCTGCTTCTTTCCTTTGAATCAAACCACCAAATGGCTCTGTATAACTATGGAACACGATGTTGATTGGTATCTTCTTTCGCCTTCCTGGGTATCTGTAGCATTGAAGAATCTTGTGTCAAATATCCGGTCTCAAGATTGGAATCTATTTGCCAAATTGGCTCAGCGGACTGTCCAAAGTCGAAAACGACCCTGTATTGATAGCACATGAAGCGCTGTGTAAGACAGTTATGATTAGTTAATCGCTAGTCCAACTGTACAAATAATCTGTCAATCTAATCTTGTCTAACGAGTCCTGCATTCGATGTTTCTGATCTCCTTCGCGATCGTCTAAGGGCCTTTGCGTCCATTCGCCTTGACACTTTTGTAGGCGACACAACAGGGGAAATCACGCCAAGACGCGATGTCAATATCGGAAGCCTAGTGCATGCTGTCTAGCAACGCGGCTATCTCAACACAATCTGAACCTCATGATTTCATAGCACAAGTCAAAGGATGGGACATCTGATCTTGAACTCGCACACTGGATACACGAGGTTACCTCGTGGTGCCACAAGTTGGGGGCCAGAGCCACCGCTGGCGCCTGGCAGCGAACTCGAGAAGTTCTTGTGACCGGGGCTTGGTGCAAAACACGACAAAGGTTGAACACTCGAGTTCAGGATGTGTGACGTGTTTTCTCATGTTTCGGCAACATCCGGAGAGGAGTATGTAAGTCCGGAAAGTCAGGTATATATCGACACTCTGACAAGACTAGAGCGTGCGTAAGACCGCCTCTGCTGCTCCTGATACGAGTTTCTAGTTGTACATAAGAGGCACGCAAGAAGACGGGGTCTACTTCGACGGCCCCGACTGCAAGATAAACGCAAGTTCCATCACCGAATAGCGGTTATAGCCAGACTGCACATGAAGGAAATCATGGGTATTGTCCGACATAGAACATTCGTGTGTCCAATGTGGATGTCTTCCCCCAGAGGAGGGGGTTGTGCGTCATACCGCTTCCATAGCAACTCAAGTAAACAGACGATATAGTGGGATTACAGCCACGGATATACAGAGGATTCCTGGGAACCCAACCATCTGCACAGAAGGGGGGTACCGGCGGTGTTGCGGCGCTCGACCTTTCCAGGACGCACAGCTGACCCAACAAGGAGATGAAGAATCGATGGGAAACGTCGAAGCTGTTTCAACATCTCCTATGAAAACGCTTGCTCAGATAACAAGCAGATAGACGCTGCCAGCTCATGCGGGGAAACGAACGAAAGATGCGCGCCCTCTGTTGCATTAAGATTGCCATCAGGAAGCCTCTCGTGATACTGGGAATGTCCAAAAGAAAAAGAAGGCGGCCAACCTAAGATCTTCGCTGCCCGCGGGGGCGAGCAGCGTGCACAATCAATCAAGGGGCACTGCACTTCTCGAAGGCTCGAGTCGTGGAGACACTGATGGTGAAAAAAAAGTTAGGCTGCAGGGGGAATAGCGCTCTCGTCTCGTGTCTTTCGAACTAACAACTTAGGAAATTGTGGTCCCAACTAGACTATCACAAGTCCAGGCTGGAAGGAGATTTCCCCATGGAGAGCGCTTAGTAATACCCTGATTCGTAGCGAATCCAACATCGTGCGATGCGCGATTCACGGGCCGCTCAACCTGCTGACCAACGTCTCAGTCCACACCGTAACTGTCTCCCACCCACCCCGACCACGACCGTCCTCACCGAGTGTACGACCCCCTTAACGTCCATGGGTCTCCAAGATCGGCGGTCAGGAACTGAATTCCACAGCGCAGAAACCTGAGACAGATGCCGTGAAAGTATATGGGAAGGGTACGGTGTCTCACGCTTTGGTCGTCGGGAGCTAGTGAGTGGAGGGGAAGGTGCGGCTATCTGAATATTATTATCTTCTGGAGGTGTTTGTCAACAGAGTTTAACCATGCGAAAAGCAAGACAGAAACCCGTACCCGTACCCGCAGGGATCGGGAGGTTTCTGGGAACCGAAACCGAATGAGTTGAGCAGAGGGCGAAGGCCCGCACTGTGCCGAGTACGCCGAGAATCGAGGGTTGCAGCCCGGCGGTCGTCGGCGGTACAGATTCGAAGCGGCCGAGCGGGGCGCCGGTATTCGCTTCAGTGCTCGATATTATATTACATTAATCTTGAGGAGGCGAATAATGTTGTGTGATGGAGGAACTGGGCTGGGGGGTGAGGAGGCTGCAGAGCAGGCGAGGGGAAGGAGGAGAAGCAGGAGCTCGAGGGATTGCATGGCGTGATAAGAACCCTCACACGTCCCTACAAGAGTTCAGGGACTAGGTTTTCTGATTGTGATACGTAAAATGTGATGTCGAAAAGTATTCGACTGAGTATGTGAGGTTGCCTGATCGTCCAGAAGCCTATAATACCAATGTCAAGGAGCGGTGGTGTGCTGCGAACCAAGCAGGAGGGTGGAAAAGTGAACCCGCTCGATTCGAACTTCGATATGTAGGATCGGACACGAGTGTGATGTACGATGTACGCGTGGGTGACTTGAGGATGGAGATTCGCGGGGGAAGCTGTGGTACGTGTGCGTGTGCTGGAAGGGACGTCGTTTGGGGATGGTGAGAGAGAACAGGAGGAACGACGGGCCGACTCGGGTGGAAAGTCGGTCGTTCTAGTATGGAGAAGCTGGTGTGCTGTAACGTTTGACCGACCATGCACCTTTAAGGAGCCACAAGTGAGTGGTTTCGGAATTGAACAGCTCGAGCGCCTGGAGAGAAGGAAGAGCGGAAGAACGAAATGTGGATTAGTCCTTGGACAAGAACACGACCGCCCGAACAGGGAATGAATACGTACTGCCGCCATAGGGTGAGTGGAAAACGCTCAGAAGTGTTGACAACATGCACACTACAGTATGGAATGGTAAGATGTTCCTTCCCTCTTAGAAGACAACTGAGAACTGAGAATGTAAGAACGCAGAAGAAGACAACTGAGAACGAACGTAGAACCGAGGGAACGGTGCATATGCAACACGGCGGGGTTAGGTCGGCGCATCTACGCCTAGTAGGGATAGAAGCACGGGGATTGGAGTACTGCCCGACTTGAAGAGGAACTTGATTGTATAAGAGGGGGAGAGGGAGTGAAAGGAATGATTTGGTATACAGGGATGGGATGGGGAATGCGAAGCACTGAAGCATACGAGAGAAAAATGCGTCAGTCTTAGATGTGTGAAGCTGGGAAACGCGTCCTCCAGACGTCTTCGACGTGCCACAGTCCAGTCAAATAAAACGAAGCAAGTGGGATAGAAGGAAGGGTGTTACTGTTATACGAAGTTGGTGGACAGGTGTAGAAGAATATCATCTACACCCGCAGTAAAATTTTACATCGATTCGCAATAATGTTGTCAAAGAGTTCTTCGGGCGTTGTCGCTTTCCCCTTTGACGTCGGATGCCCATCAATCGGTCTAGCCCAGAGTTAGGCTTCTGTTCGAGTATTGGAGGCATATATCCTCCTCTTCAGCTCCTCTTCAGAGCGGGGTGGGATATCTGCGTCCTCTATATTTTCACGTCCAAGAACAGTACTTGTCCACCTAAAGAGAGAAGCTGGACAAGAAGCAAGAAGTACTCGAAACAAGAAGCGGGCAGACGCGGGGCGTGGGCGGAGAGAAGCAACGTTCGACTTGCTGGTCTTACTCACGACTTTTGCCTCATTCATGTGTGCATTGTACATTGCACATATCTTTATCATTCTTCATCTCATCTTAACATCAATTATTGTCCGCTTTAACGCCTCTGATCAAAGTAAGCGAATATCGGATCTAAGGGCAATAGGAGGTTAAAGGGGAATAACATTCCAATTGTATAGTACGCGTGCCCAATTGTTTGTACGCGTCCAATCAACAACAACAACATTATTCATTCAACAAGGTATGTACCCGCAGTCAACAAACTTTCATTCCATCAATTCACAAATTAAAGGTTAACGACGACGACGACGACCACCCACGCCGACAACGACAACGCCACCAACATCAACATCGGCCATCTCAACAACGTCCATGGCGGCAACGTTCGCCTCACTCGGACGGGGATCCTCCCTCCCACGGTCAACAACACCCAGTTCGACATCCCTACGCGTCCGCAAACCAGCGCGCTCTCCGTCCCCTTCACCATCAGTATCCCCCTCCTTCTCTCCCAACCCCAAACCAGAGGAATACGTGATAGCCCTACACGCGTACACCCCACCTCAAGGGATGACAACGTGCATCTCCTTCCAAGCGGGGGATATCATCCTCGTGCACACCAAGGACTCTGGAGGGTGGTGGGATGGCTCTCTAGGTTCAGGACCGGACGAGGGGAAGGGGAAGAGAGGCTGGTTTCCAAGTAACTATGTTAGTGGGATGGACCCTCCTGTTTGGGGGGACAGAGCAAGTTGGGCAGGGAGCAGCAGTGCGTCCAAGGTGTGTCCCTCTCTCTCCCTTCGACGTCGACTAACGACGCGCAGAGTCAGCCCGACACGTCCATCTCCGCTCGTGCACCGTCTGTGAGAGCGCTGACGCCAACCCAGCCGTCCCCCTCAACACGTTCACGCGGTCGGATCCCAACCTTCACCTCCGTACCTCCAGAACGCAAGCCCGGCACGCTCTCCCCTCCTCTTTCCTCACGCAACCCCTTCCCCCCACCTCCAAAACCCAAACACTCCCCGCAATCCAGTATCTCCACTGCGGCGGGGAGTGACCTCTCCCGCGCACGCTCCCAAACGTCGTTCACCAGTTCGGCCCCTTCCGCGCACTCCCATTCCAGACCTACGCTCTCCTCACTCTCCCTCTCCCCCTCCTCCCCCGCTCCAAGCCCAGCAGCGCTCTCCCCCTCCTCAAGACCAGGCACACTCGACGCTGTCCAGAAATCCGTGCTGCTGCTCACACGCGCGGCTCGCTCAGGCCGGAAAGCACACTACGGGTCTGCAGCAGCTTGCGTGATTTCTTCTGTTCGGACGGTGCTTACTGCTGCTGAGTGCTTGAGTCGCAGCAGTGGGCAGCTGGAACGATGGCCCGAGCTGAGGGAGAGGAGGAAGGAGGTCCTGGGTTTGCTGAGCGGGGTCGTGAAGCGTGCCAAACTGCTCGGGCCACCTCAACCTCCGAGCGCAGCGCAGGATAAAGACGCACCTGAAGAGCTGAACAACCAGGAACTGGACCCGGAAACGGAGAAGAAAGAACTGGAGAAGATGCTAGAGCTCGCGGAGGAGGTCGTGCTCCGCCTCAGGGCGCTGGTGGACACGGCCCTAAAGTGCGGGATTGACGTGCCTGGGGCTGAGGCCGCTGGGTCTGCGGAGCAGGACATGCCCACCCCTGTACCAGCTTCTGAGCCTCTACATCCACCGTCCCCCGCCCCTGTGCCATCACCGATACCGGCACCAACGATTCCTCGAACAGTGGAAACAGACATCGAAGGGCATGTCCGCGCGCCCGTTAAACCCCGCGTCCAGGCCGCGATCGCCGCCCACCGCGCGCGTTCCCTCGCCGACCTGCGTGCCAAGCGTGCGCGGGAAGAGCCCGAGCCCAAAGAGGAGCTGAGCAAGTCCGAAGGCCCTGGGCCTGCATTAAGGAAGAGGGGAAGAGGAGGGAGCGAGAGTTCTAGCGGGGGGCACCAGTCGAGCCAGAGCGGGAGTATGGCTTCCCTCTCTTCTGTGGCTTCGGCCCGTGATCCCGCTGCTCAGCTCGCACTCGCTTCCTCTACCGGGTCGGGGGGTTCCATCACTCTCACCCCGGGGGAGATGACGATGCTGTTGAAGCATACGCAGGACGCGAGCGTGTCTCTCTTCGCTGCGCTTATTGGGCATGTACAGACCTACTCGTCCCACGGCCATGCGGCGAGTCACGCCAGGCTCGTCGAGGTCGCTGCTGGGGCTGTGGGCAAGCTCAGGGAGGCGATGTGGATCGTTGATGCTGTTGCTAACCACTTAGCCGGCAAGGGGAGGGATAAGGGCGTCGAGAGGCTGGTGAATGCTCGTAGGGGTTTGTGGCGCCTCGCTGGGGAAGTGGTGGATGCTGCTGCTGGGTTGACGAGGGAGTCTACACCTAGTCCTGAGGGGGAGTCGGCCGCTGAGGAGGAGAAGAAAGAACGGCTAACGAAGAGAGGGTTCGAGGCTCTGCGAGCGGTAGGCGACTGCGTCGTTGCGGTCAAGATGGGCCTCGCAGGGGTTGGACCTGCGGAAGGCGTCAGGCTCGAAGAGCTCGCTCCGGTCGAAGCTTTCATCCAGGGCGGTGTGGTCAGCGCTCTCCCTGGGAGGGACGGGCCTGGGTCGTCCATAGGTCCTGGGGGAAGGCCTGGCACTGCTTCGGGAAGAGGGAAAGACACGCTCGATGCGTTGGCTATCAAGGCTGCGCGGTTGCTGAGCTTGAGGGAGGAGTACCTCGATGAAGACGAAGAGGAGGAGGAGGAAGAGCATGGGCAGACGCCTGTACCGGACTTCCTTAACCAGGACACGCTCCGCCCTAAGCAACTGCAGAAGGACGTCGTCTCTTCAGCTTTGTCCGGGGCGGCAACTGAGCCTGAACCCGAACTCGAAGGCAGCCAGTCTCCCACAAGCTCTGTACCCACGATAACGCACTCCCATTCCCAGTCTTTGTCGCTCTCTATCCACCCGCCAGCACCGCTCCGTATCATCACCGGCTTTGGGATCGCCCCCTCCCACGGACCCATCTCCCCTGAAAGTGGCCGTCTTTCCGAAGATGCGCTCAATGACCTCAACATCCCCCTCCGCTCGCCGACAGCGTTCATCGATCCGGCCCGGCATCAGCTCCAGCTTCCCCTGATGCCTTCTTTCACTTCCTCTGTGGAGGACACACTCGAGAGCGGCGACTTGGCGTTCCAGCCGCAGCCGAAGTTATCCCCTGGTCATGTGAATGACTGGATAATAAAGGACGACGATGAGCCTGCCGACGTCCTCCTCAACCCGGATGAAACAGTCATCGGTGGTACACTACCTGCCTTGGTCAAGCGGATGACGCCGCATGTCGTCACTCCTGAGTTGTCGTTCTCCTCTTCGTTCTTCATGACCTTCCGCCTGTTCACGACGCCCTTGGACTTGGCTGACTGCCTCGTCAAGCGCTGGGACGTGAAGCTGCCCACCGCACCTGGTGGAAGGGCAATGACCAAGATCGAGATGCAAGTATGGCACGATCGGATGCTTGTGCCAATCCGACTTAGGATCCTCAACTTTGTCAAGAACTGGCTCGAGTCCCACTGGCAGGCGGGGACAGATGCGCCAGCATTAGTCCACCTTCAGTTTTTTGTTGACCAAGTCCCGGACGGTATTCTCAAAGCGGCGTCGCGGAAAATCGGGGATCTGATTTCCACTCGACGTTTGAGACCGGAGTCCATACACAACAAGTACGCCGCGGTCACCATCTCACAGGCCACCGCACCTCGTAGTCTCGACCGAACAAAGTCGTTCGACCGTATGCGGTCTGCCACTCCCCTTCCCTTCGGAAATGGTGCTGCCTCGTACGCTTCTGCTAATCCTCCCCCCGCACCCATGGTGGGCAGAAGTCTCTACTCGACTCTCCGTGCAGGCACGTTCTCTGCTATCAACGTGACGGACTTTGACCCTCTCGAGTTGGCCCGCCAGCTGAGCGTCATGGAGAACAAGCTATACATAGCGATCCAACCACAGGAACTTCTCCAGCTTGGAAAGTCGGGCGCTCCTCCTGCTGTCAACGTCAAGGCAATCACAACTCTCAGCACGGCGATCACCGGCTTGGTGACCGAAAGCGTGCTTAGCGAGTATGATATAAAGAAGCGGACAAACTTGCTGAAGTATTACATCAAAGTTGCAGAGGTACGAGCTGCATCGATCGCCGAGGACTTGCCTGACTTTCCTCTCAGAGGGCTCTTGAGCTGAAGAATTTCAGTCTCCTGTTCTCGATCTTGGCGGCGCTAACCAGTTCCACCGTTTTGCGGCTGAATAAGACTTGGGCCGTAGGTCACATGGACATGAAACACGGCCAGACTCTGACGCATTTCTAGGGATTGAATTCTAAGTACAGAACGAAGCTTGAAGAGCTTCGTAAGGTCACCGACTACACTCGGAACTACGGTGAATATCGAAGCCGACTCCGGGAAACTGAACCGGCCGCTATTCCCTTCCTTGGTGTCTACCTCACAGATATTACATTCTGCAATGGCGGAAATCCTTCCCATCGTCCATCTCCAGTTCGAAGCGATGTGCAGTTGATCAATTTCAACAAGTATCGCAAATTGGCGCGCATCGTTTTCGACATGCAGCGCTTCCAAAAAGCATATAACCTTCTGGAAATCAACGAGGCACAACACTTCTTGCAATTCGCCCTCCGGGAGTCAAGGACTTCAGGAGATCATAAGGATCTGTACCGACGTAGCTTGTTGATCGAGCCTCGCGAGAGTAGCGCCGAGCCAGCCTCCGCTGATACCGTGAAGAGCCGGACCGACATCTTTGGATGGGCTGCTCGCTCACTTGGACAGACCAACACGGCAAATACAGTTGCTGCATGACCTGTTATGCCTCTTGTGGACATCAGGCTGTTCCTTGGTTGTTTGTACTCGATATGTTCGTTCCTTGCTGGCATACTTTCGTTCAAAATGTACATATATCATGATCAAACGCATTTTCTCCTCATCTTACTTGCTCTGTTCTGATACACGTGTTCTCTCCTCGGACGCTTCTTCCAAGTATCATGTAGTTCTACCGAAATCGCATTGCATTCATAATAGACATTCATCGTGTACTTTGTCTCTGAACTCGATTAGGCGGTGCCCCGAAGCGAAAGTCGGACCCCCTGATGGCCCACCTTATCGGCCGCTTGCTATTCGGCGGCTGTTTGACTGCTTGGCGGAATCGTGGTCCTGTTGACCACATCCCGAGGATGTCTCCATTGACCTTCCTTCTCGCTATTTAACGGTAACGCACGACCTTGGCCTAGTTTCCGGTGTTTCTCAACTCGTTCCACACTGGAATGCCTTGGCCTGGAGTGACACGGAGAAAATCCCGCTCCGAAGGAAAACGCCTGACCATTCTTGGGCGCTCGGTTCTGCTCCTGGGATCTCTACTCGCGTTCAACGGATTGTGCTGGGTACTAGCTGGAATCCTTTTTGGAAGGAAAGAAAGCACCAGGGAAGTGTTGAGTCTTTGTGTTTTGGCCTGGGTTCGTTTGTTTCTGCTTCATTCTGGGCTCACGGCTGACCAGGTCAACAGACATACGGTCTGCGACATGGTAATTGCCAGCGTTAAACGTTGATACTTCTCTGACTTGCGCGTCGGTATCAGCCCTTGATAGTGATCATATATCGGCCATAGGTGGGCCATCTTCGGTTTGCTCCCCTCTCGTCTCTCAAATTAGGAAACAGACAATGCAACCCGTGGGTTATTGGCGTTGGGCCAGCAGCCAGTCACTTGTGGGTTCTTCTTCTCTCTCGGACACAGCACGATCGTCATTGCAGTGGTATGGAAGTTGATCATCATGACTGTGTGTTTCTTATATTGGTCAGAATGTGGCGATCGCTATAAGTACCACTGTCTTCGAGCATCTGGATGGCGTTGGCAATGTCGGAGGAATTGTTGGGACGGCTGTCTCTGCTTCTTTCCTCTTTCTACTGGCGACCGCGAATTCAATCATCCTATATACAACTCTAAGACGCAAGAGAGCTGTCTGTGTTATTGCTTATCGTGTTCACCCACAATGCTTACGCATCTCAGCTGAACAAGCTGCGGGCCGAGCGTGAACGCCAGATAGCTGCTGGACTGCCAGTAGAACCACTCGAGCACGATATCGAACCCATTCAGAATCGCACGTTGATGATGCGCATCCTTGGGCCCGTCATGCGAGTTGTCGACAAGCCGTGGAAGATGTATCCTGTGGGTGTCCTCTTTGGATTTGGCTTCGATACAGCTTCCACGATCGCCTTGCTAGCCGTCTCTGCGATCGCAAAGTCGGCGGCGCAGGGTAATATCGTCATCCTTCCGGTACGTTCCATCATCCCAGATGAATCTGGTGCTGACTATTGTGGAAAGTTTCTATTCACAGCCGGAATGACTCTTGTGGACTCGATCGACTCTGTACTGATGCTTTATTCCTATGCGCTTCCAAGTCGACACACTGCGGAAGGCGCACTCGCGTTTTTTGAGCGGAAAGAGGATCAAGCCCAGGATCTCTCACAACCACAACAGGAGTCCATAGATCCTATTTCATTGTCAGAGAAGAAAGGAGAGGAATTTGTCACGCCGCTGGTTACCGAGGCACCACCTGGAGGGGACGAGATCGTCGCTCCGACACCTGCACAAGTGATGAACACACACTTAGAGCACAATAAGGCGACGACACTCTCTTCTTTGAGCATTATCCTGACTCTGTTGTCCATTCTTGTTGCTTTCAGGTATGACTCATATCCACATCACAGTTGCGAGACGTGATGTTTGGTTTAGCATCTCCCTTATCGAGATCATGGGATTGATTGGGGACAACTGCGGGCCATGCCAGGACGCCGCTAACGCTCCGGACGGAGGTGGACTGGCAGGCTCATGGTGGAGGGCATGGGACGCCGCAAATGACGCTTCGGGATACATCGGAGCATCGATCGTGGGTGTATTCGTCTGTATTGTCTTGGTGTATTTCGGTGGGAAATGGGCGTACCAACGTTCGACGAGAAAGGCCGCAGGCCAATCAAGGGATATTTAACACAATGTAGCATTGTCTCCTGGAACAGTACGAGCAAAAGAAAGCAGAGCTGAATGGAATACCACTGTAACAAACCAGGGGCACTATACAAAGTACATCAGGTCGTTCTTCTTCTTGCTCTGCACCTCTGCGATACCGGAATGGAAGTGCTCGTGGTTGAGCTGCGTCGCGCCTTCCCTCAGTGCAATCATACCCGCTTCGACGCAAACAGCCTTAAGCTGAGCGCCGTTGAACTCGTCCGTGCTCCGTGCAAGCTCTTCAAAGTTGACGTCGGAGCCGACGGCCATCTTACGTGAGTGGATCTCGAGGATACGCGCCCGGGCTGTCTCGTTCGGGAGAGGGAACTCGATCTTGCGGTCAAGACGGCCAGAACGCAGCAGCGCGGGGTCGAGGATGTCGATACGGTTGGTAGCGGCGATGACTTTGATCCGCTCGTCGGATGAGAACCCGTCGAGCTGGTTGAGCAGCTCCAACATCGTCCGCTGCACTTCACGATCACCAGACTTGTCGCTGTCGAATCGCTTTGTTCCGATGGCATCCAACTCATCGATAAAGATGATTGCGGGGGCCTTCTCCTTCGCGAGCTCGAACGCATCACGAACAAGTTTGGCACCGTCACCAATGAACATCTGGACAAGCATATCAGTTAGTTATTGCTTATATATGCGTCTGTAAAGTACGTACCTGCACCAAAGAAGGACCTGCCAGCTTCAGATAACATGCGTTCGTCTGCGCAGCACAAGCCCTAGCCAGCAGCGTCTTTCCGGTTCCCGGAGGGCCGTACATCAGCACACCCTTTGGTGGCGTAATTCCCAGCGTCTTGAACTTCTCCGCATGCTTCATCGGTAGGACGATCGCCTCAACAAGCTCCTCGATCTGCTTGTCCAACCCTCCGATATCCGTGTACTGTTCTGTCGGCCGTTCGTCGACTTCCATGGCTTTGACACGGCTGTCGTATTCTGCGGGGAGGGTGGCGAGAACGAGATAGGAGTCTTTGTTCACGCCGATCAGGTCACCGGGCTTGAGCTGAGAATGAGGAACCAGGCCGATAAGAGGGAGGAAGATAGTCTTGCGCATACAAGTCAGTTTATGTTCCATAAGGTGAGAAAAGAGGGGTCACCTGTCGTGTACTTGTCTTGATAACCGCGCAATGTCCTTTCCTTTGACTGTCCGCATCCTGCGCCGCTCCGTCCTCCTCGCCCTCTGGGTCCATCTCCAATATCTCAACGACGTTGCCAACGAGATACGGCAAGACCTTATTCTGCTTAATCTTGTCTCCATTCTCCTTGATCTTCTCACGCATGGTCGATTGTTCGTGCTGTAACCTCTGAGTCTCAGAGCGCATTACCTGCACACAGTCTCAGCATCATCGCTCGATCTACTATGAGAATAGACAAACCTTGATATCATTCTCAATCAACCGCATCCGGGTCATAATCTCCTCCGGTGTAGCAGCTCTAATATCCTCCGGTATGTCCTCCCACATCTCTACCGGTGGGGCAGCAGGCGCGTCGGTCTCCATAGGTGCCGCATCTACTGGCGATGCTGCGGTGTTCGCTGTCGCCTGCACCTGGGATTTCTTAGGATTCTGCGGTGGCTCTTGGGGAGGAGGAGCAGATGACATCTTTGGTTCGTCAGGAGGTGAAAAGGAGAGAAAGCAGAAGGAGAAAGAGAACGTATATGCGCTGACAGAGTGATGAGAGTACAGATGGGTTGCTCAAGAGATGAGTGAAGGACGCGTAAGGCGCGGAAGCAACCCACTCCGGACAAACCCTTTCGGCTCCGATGGGATAAACTCATTCGGCTCCGAGCGGTGCCGAAACCCTTCGCCGACAATTCGCGCAAAACCGCCACAATATTACGAGCTCATTACGTTCGTTGTCACAGTTTCAGATCACGTTCATAACGCAGGCTGATGTCTATATGTATTCATAGATTCACTTGTTGGAAGACGACTGAGCTAGACGTTTGTTCTCTCCAACCCGCTGCTTGTCCAGACAGCTCAGAGCCTACCAGCGCTGTACATCCGCTCTTGTTCCTCGTGACACGATTCTTCCGTTGATCGCCGTTCGATCTCTGACGACATCTCTCCTGAAGCCTATCACGATCAAACCCTAGCTGTTGACTTCTTTTCCATGGAGCATGCCTCTCCAACCCATATCACCTCCACGCCCAACTACGGCAGCACATCCTCGCAAGAACCGATAGCAGGTCCTAGCAATCCCCAAGGCGCGATAGACCATGTCACCAGCAGTGCTCCTACTGATGGTCAGCCCGAGGAAGCAAGTGGGCTCCGCAGACGAAGGAAGCTCAGAGAGGTGCTGGAGCAGTACAACCCCCAGAAGACGTTGAAGAACACTGGCAGCGTTGGTGCGTCTCTACTCTTCACCACTTAACCCGACACTGACGCGTGTTGAATTTTCCTTGAAATGCGTGCTCACAGCACGCGATCATCTGGCACTTGAACGCACCTGGCTTGCATGGACCCGCACATCCCTGTCCATCGCTAGCACTGGCGTAGCCCTAGTGCAGCTCTTCGCTCTCAGCTCACAAAACTCCGGTAATACCAACCCTGTCGGGCAGAAAATCATGCGCGTCGCGAAACCCCTGGGTGCGGTCGTGATCGCTTTCGCGTTCCTGACGCTCGTTGTTGGTGAGCCCCGTGATATTAAGAGGTGAGAGATGTTGATGGGAAACATAGGGAGCGCGAGATTCTTCCGAGTGCAGTACGCTCTGACCCAAAACACGTTCCCACCGGCAAGATGGAGCCCTCTGGCAATGTCTGCAATCATGATGTGCATTGTGGTAGCGGTCTTTGCTGTTGTTGTCACGTTGACCAGGTGAGAGAAGGGGACGTTAGTATTACATAGAGTTTAGAGCGTGTGACTGCTATCGTGTATGCTCTGACAGCAGACCTTGGACAATCTGCCGTTTATTACAACTGTATTACTACTCTCTTGCATTTCCATCCAAGTTATACCAAGTCAAATAACTCCTGTCAGACAGGATCTCAATATGATGAGGCAGCAAGCCGCCCATAATGATATTAGATCTTCGAAAGTATTATCCATCTTGTATATCGTACAGAGCAGATATGATACAGTTGTTCTTTCACACCATTTAGTCATTCGACGAAGAACTCTTTTGTGCCTCACTCTCGCTGGTCTGAAGTGGCCTCTTTGGCGGCTTACTAGCCTGCTCCGATGCAGCAGAGCTGTTCATGCTCTGATGTGTCTGAGCGCAATCGGTCAGCATGAGGAGGGAGGGAAAGAGATATAGACAAGCTCACCTCGTTCTCTATGCCCCTCTTCGCCTGATTAGGATCCGCCGTATGTGGTGAGAACGCAGAATCGCTCTTCGCGATCTCATCGGTCTATTCAATCTTGTCAACTCCCTCCCCGGTATAGTATATAGGATCAAGCGACTCACACTAGGTCCCTGCGGACTCGTCTGTTCATCCTTCGCGGAGGGTGCACTCTCCTCCCGTGTCACGCCGCTGGAAGAGAACGTTCGTGTGTGAGAGAAAGTCTGCATCCGTGTCATCCCTGCGAATGGACCAGCTTGGGGTGGTGGCGCTCCGAGCTGGGTGCGGGAGAGGAGTACGATTGTGCGCGATATTTGACGAAATGTGACCGTGGTCATGGTAGAATGGGAGGAGATGCAGTAAATAGTTCTGAGGAGATGGAGTGCATACTGAGATTGGCGTTATATGCGCAGCGCTGGACGCCGTTGACCTTTGTCTTGGGAGGAGCAAAAGCCATGACGTCATCGAAGGTGGATCGGAAGGTGACGCAGCCAGGGGCGTCACGTGCCCCTTTTCATATCTCTTTATAGCTTCCTTCTATCTTGTCTCAAACCACAACGCGTCTTTGCGATACGAAGGGTACACATCTATCTTTGACGAATTTACTCGGTCGCCAAAAAGAGAGTTCCCAATACTTTTGGGGGTGTGGTCGTGAATCGGTTGCATCTATCTCATTCTGGGTTGGGATTTGTGAATTACATATTGAATACGATACATGCAAGATATATCACTCACATACAATAGAAATATTCTACCAGTCGGAGTCCCGTACATCAGAATCGAAAGTTGATGAGGTGCCAACTACATAAGTTGCGATCCTCAGAGAACCAGACGATATTCTCACATTTTGCATGCTTGGAAACAGGATCTTAAAGCGTCTGCGTACAAGGCTATCAGAAGCTGGTCCTCCTATAACATGGCTCTGTGCGCAAGCTATTGGTCGAACATTGGCCGCTGAAGCGATTAGATCGTCTTTCAGAGCTGGATCGGCGATGTTGCAGTCTAATTTGAGAAACTTGAGATCCGGTAACCCTGCTGCGATTGTTGCCAGGGATCGTACGGTCGCCTTGGGCATGTACTGGGCATGACCATATGCTCGGCCACTGCCGAGGGTCAACTTCTGCAACCTCGGCAACGCTTGGACAATCTGGGTCACTCGATCATCGGTCAGATCGAGGGACAGGGAAGATCGAACTTGAGACTACGGAGTCGGTGACACTGGAGCATGGGCTCCACATGAATCGATTCGAAGGGGTGGACGATCCGATCCGGCACGGGCTGAATATTTTGCAGCAATTGTGGGGACAGAGGTTCTCGAGATATCGAGATCATGTCGAACCGAATGAGCGTAGACGACCATCTACCTGAAGCCAGGGAAGCGATTTTTCCGAGTTGCTCGTCCGTAAAGCTGCCATGCAGGAGAATACTTTCCAGTGTCTCTGAAGATATGCTCGACAGGAGATTGTATACGTCGAAAATCATGACCAGATTTGCCAAGAGGATGTCTTTGAGAGTGGCAAAAGCACCCTCGGGCAATGTCAATATTGACGACATGCTGCCTGGGAAAAGTAGACGGAAAGATTCCAGACCCTTCATTCTTGCCAATGCATTGATAACCGGTTCCTGGGCTTGGGTGTAAGCCAGAGACAACTTGCGGAACCTGGGCGCCGTTTGCTCAAGACCTGTAATCAATTGGACCAAAGTGGATTGATGACCGTTGATCTTCGTGCAGAATAGTTCAACTTCAAGCTGGTAAAGGACAAAGAAGCAGCGGCAGTAATTTCCTGATATAGCTTCAATAGCTTCCGTGAGGCATCACATCGCATCCACCGACTCCATCTCCTGGGCGTTCCCAGCTTGTCCAACACCTCATTTCGACAATGCTGCCCACTGTCGCACGTCCGCTCATACGACGAACCATTCCTTCTCTGGCCGCTGCAGCTGGAGCTGTACGACACGAGTCTAACTCGGTCGTCCAGAAGACCGAGGCTATCAAGGAGCATTCGGAGCATGTCAAGGATGCGATATTCAAGAACGCTGATCGGGAGGTGACCACAGCAGAGGTCATTAGTGGGGCTCCGCGTGCGTGATGTTATTTCATGAGTCGCGTATGTACCTATTGACGTGGATGTGCCCTCTCTTGTCGCTTGCTGTGCTCAGCGGAGCTACAATACCGTTCAGTCCGTATCTTCAAGCCCACGAGGAACACGATGCAGTCCGCGGCCTCGGGAAGCTCTAAATGGCGTATCGACTGGGACACTCTACCCGCAGGAGGCAGATGGGAGAATAGGTTGATGGGATGGGCAAGTTCGGCGGACTATATGCAGGGAACGAGGCTCAGCTTTAGGACGAAGGAGGAGGCAATCCATTTTGTTGAGAAGCAGGGTACGTCCTCGGAAAATCATATGTTATGCGGATTACTGACTTGTAGCGCAGGATGGGACTATTTCGTGCAGGAGGAACACGTCAAACGTATCCCTCCGAAGGCATACGCGGAGAACTTTGTGCATATCCCAGGCAAGCTCCGGATCGCGAGGACGAAATAGTTGGTTATATGCGGTTGACCATATCCCGAAGTTGAGCAAAAACATTGTAGAAATAATACCATATTGTTAAATCCGGGAACCCGAGATCGACTCACTGTATCCACTAAGAAAACACCCATTCAGTCGAAGAAGAACCTCACGCTCGGGGCCTCCCTTCCATGATTCCACACTTCCGTAGCCGCGTTCCTATCTGCATTCCCACTGAGAATATTAACTGCCCCCGGACCGACGGTATAATCCGTGCTTGGGTCCTCTTGGCTGATTTGCGGTCGTATTGGAGGAGGACCCATCGCGGCCTCTCGTTCTCTAAGGAAGATCTTGAGCCTCGTCAGGTGCGCAGGAGTAAAGGCGGTGGTCGATGGTGCAGGACCGTGTGGGATAGGAGATGGCTGGTTGGGAGAAGGCGACGTTGGTGTTAGCGGGGTTTGTGGAGAAGTAGAGAGCGAGTGGATCGCCTGGGCCGGCTGGGAAGAGAGCAGATCTAGCAGTCGATGGGCAACTTCCTGCAGATCAAACACACGTGCACCAAACTGCCTGCACCAGCGTCCTTCTTGTCCGAGCTCTTCGCCGATATCTCTCGCAGTTCGTCGAGGTGGCTCGGCGGGAGCCTGTCGCCCATTGCGGTTCTCGTAACCGTTGGAAGTTGATGCGGGTTTTGACCATTCAGTTTCTTGGATGACAGATACACCTCCATGCTCAGGGAAAGCAGTCAGAAGCGCGGCGAGATAGAGCGAAGCAAGGGCGATGATGTGTGGCGGGTGTTCAAGTGGAGAAACCGTTCGATGGCTGTCAATTGCGAGTTTGTATGCCAATTTTGTCAATTCTTTGCTCGCTTTATAACAGACGGTCAGAGCGCTGCAAATGGAATGGAAAGCAATCGTACCTCCTAATGCACGGCCGGCTTTGATCACGTAGGAGTGGGGTGTATGCACCTTGAAGTTGAAGCAGATGGTCTCAAGCACGAGTCGCTCCACAGCTACAAGACGCAGCTTGTCAATATCCAAGTTCTGCGGAATGTTTCGGTACAAACAGCATCGTCAACTCATACGATACACGGACCTTTGGATTGATCTCCATCTCTCCTCCCTTTGCTCTTGCTTTCTCTGCTTCCTCGGGGAACCGCACATGATAGCTGGCCACGATGATATCTCTGGGCTTCTTGAGCGTGTCGTGTACTTTTGTGCTAACGTACAGGCACGCGTGTGCTACGTCCCAGTAGGCGAAATCCTTCATTGGGAAGAAGAGGTGGAACCTATGAAAGAGCGACTGTGCCGTGCCAATGGTGCGATGTGGGCTGGGACAATCTCAGTCCTGGAGGCGATAGGAACACAGGAGAGTGCTTACAATCCCAGACGGGATCCAATCACTTCTATCAAGTTGCATGCTTCGCGTCTCGTCTTTTCCTCCAGGTTATACGACAGCTTCCCTCGCTGCTTGTCACTCAAGAATGCTATTTCGCGTGGAGTGAAGTACGGGTGGTATCGCTTGCTCTTGAAGAGTGGGGCTGATGTAGATGTGCCTGCCTCTCTCCTATCCATCTCGGAGATCTGAGAGTATCCGGACATCAAGCAGTTGTGAAGAGCACAAGCGAATTGCAGAGGTAAGTCTGAACAGGAGATGGTGAAAGGGTCCGGGCGCTTCATCACGGCCTAAGGGCTAATTCACCAACGCAGATTTCAGCCACCATCTGGTCCCCCTTGTCCTGCACGGCTTGACTGCTTCGTCTCCTGTAAATGAATTGTGCACTATCGCTTCTGTGTTCCGCATCTCCGAGGTTGCTAAGCATCGTTGCGTCACGTCAACCAACCGACGGAATATCTCATGCCTACCCTGCCCAACCTTATTGCTTGCTCCAAGAGATGTGGCCCATTGCGGCATGTTGGCTATGTCTTTGTTGAGGAGAATTCTTGGTCTTGCGCTCGCGTGGCTGGGGGGTCTCTCTGTACACGGGCCCCTTTAGTGTCTCTTGCTCTGCTCCCTCTCGACGCTCGTTCTGAGCAAGGCTCCTCCTCCTCACACTCTTTTGAAGCCCAAGCCCACGCTCGTTGCAACAGACATCCCCTGACTACCACTGCCGCTTTCCCTGATATCCTTACCAACCATGCTTGCCGCTTTAATAGCACTCCATGCCTTGTTATCCCTTGTATCCGCCGATGATGTCGTTGGAAGGACGTACAAACTCAAAGACCAGTATGTCGGTCCTTCCTTCCTGGACGGCTTCGACCATTGGCCTTACTCCGACCCTACCCATGGACGGGTGAACTACGTGGATCAGGCTACTGCGATCGTCAACAACCTCACCTTCGCTGAAGGCAAGACGTTCGTCATGCGCGCGGACGACACCACCGTTCTGGACCCGAACGGGCCGGGGAGGAACAGTGTGAGGATCCAGAGCAAGAACATGTACAGCGTGGCGGTGATGGTCATGGACATCCGCCACATGCCGAATGTGAGCTCCAATAACATATTTGGTGGTATACCTTCTGAACGACGAATAGGGCTGCGCTACTTGGCCGGCTTGGTGGACTTGCGGGAACAACTGGCCCTATGGTGGGGAGATCGACATCATCGAATACGTGAACGGTCAGTCCCCGAATCATATGACGCTCCACACGAGCCCGGGATGCACTCAGCCGCAATCGCGAACGATGACCGGGTGAGATCTTTTGCACAAGCGATGTATGGGTGCGATTACTGACTGGTTCGCAGGACAACCACGTCCACAGACTGTGATGCCAACGTCAACTATAACGAAGGCTGTGGCGTGCAATCCGGAAACTCTGCTTCTGCTGGCAGTGGGTTCAACAGCATCGGTGGTGGGTGGTATGCAATGGAGCGGACCACATCCTCCATCTCCATCTGGTTCTGGCCACGCAACTCCCGCACCGTGCCTACCGTCGTCAAGGGAGGGGCGAGGGCAGTCAACACGAAATTGTTTGGCACACCGGATGCGACATTCGTCAACAATCAATGTGATTTTAACAGCCATTTCCAGCCGCACAACATCATCTTTGACTTGACGCTGTGTGGTGACTGGGCGGGCAACAACTACCCTGCGAGCTGTCCCAGCAATTGCGTCGGTCAGTCCCCCCCGCACGGGATTTTGTGCTTCCCTTCATAACTCACGCCTCCCAGATTATGTCAACAACAATCCAGCAGCTTTTTCTGATGCATACTGGGATATTGCCGCCCTAAGGATATACGAGTAGATATGCGCAAACATCTCATACCCCATATATTTGACGAGAACATCGCTGTATCTACCACGACCCACCCCTCGTTGAACACGAATCGATAGGCCTCGGTTGCAGACACATTGTCCTTGACTCGATCTCCTCTACAGCTATACTCCGGGCTAATCGAAAGCGTCCGTTTGATGCGCGGTTTGATAAAAGAACAACACGTAGAAAAAACAGCGACGATTTCAGGAAAGTACAGAGTTTAGCGTATGTTTTTGAAGATAAGGGCAAGCGAGAAAAGGCATATATCACCCAGATGACTACCTATGCGCAGAACGAGAAAGAGGAAAAGACGACGCAATGAACGTGGCGTTGTTATGATCGGACCAGAACGCTGAGACGGAGATGTGAAACGATGATCGCTGATTCAGATCAGTCTACCACAAGCAGTGGTGTTGCACTTGATGCATGTGGCGACGGGGATCCTCTTCAGCTCCAACGACCATGCCATAAGCCATCAGGATGGCAGCATGGTCGGTAAATAGAGGAAAGAGAGAAGTTCCAGACTGGTATACAGGTATACAGAGCTATGACGTGCGAGGTCATAGCCAGCCTTCAGCCTCGTAGACGGGCTTCCACACATGCCCGTGGATCTCGACGAGCCTGCCCAGTCGTCGGCCAAGCTCGCGCATTTCGCCACACAGGTAGTCCATGCCCATCCCTGCATCAGACAGCAGGCTGTGCAGGTCCGCATCTGGTTCTTGCTTGCTTGCTGGTAACGAGAGCCTGAGACTGGTAAGGGTCGCAGCCGATAACGCACGGGATAGGGTGGCTATGGCAAAGCTGCGCGCTCGTGTGCCCAGCAACGTGTGCCCGGTCGGCGTCGGGCGCAGTGCACAGAAAAAGAATCGTTCATCCGCCACGAGTTCGCGTTCGAGCGGGACCGGCCGCTTGTGAGGCGACAGGGTGGACGGATAACGTGCGTCGTCAGCTCGTGTCCGGACCAGGAGAAGCGCAGAACGGATGCCTTCAATGTACGCTGCTCTGTCCGTGACGCTTTCGGATGACGGCGCGCCTAGTCGAAGTGGACCGACAGATAATATCTGCTGCTTCAGTTCCAGATAGTCGAGCACAGGCTTACGTCTCCGGTAGTTCTTCGGTACCGGGAGATGGGCGAGTGTGCGATAATGATAGAATAGGATCGAGAGCGCAAAAGTATCTTGCAGTAAAGTCGAGAGCGAGTTGATGAAAGGTTCGGAAAGGCGCAGCGTTTCCGGCAGAGGTGAGGGAGGTGAGCTCAGTGCGTGAGCGAGAAGGAAATGAGTTAGGCTATGAGCGAGACGATGCCAGGCGTGTTGAGGAGGATGAGGGGAGGACGGAAGGGTGGTGAGCCATATGTGGGTATTGGGCATCAGAGCACGCAGGTTCTTTGGTCGGGTTGAGCGAGCAGCGATGAGCGTCTCGTAAAGGTAGCGAGTCTCGTACGAAGGGGCTTCGTGGAGAAAGTGCTCCACCAAGCGCGGCCTTTCGAAATTTGCTAGATCCATTTTCATGAGCTCACCCAGATCGAGCAAGCTCCTCAGCACCCAGACAACATCGCCTCTCTGTGCAGCTTCCACCAACCGGCTGACCATCTCATCCCGAATCGGTGCGCAGTTCTGCACGATGACGCTGGTGATTTGACGGAAGTACTCTGGGAGGTCCAAGTCGTTGTACGGCGCCTCTGGAAGTGGTGGTAGAGGGTCCTGCTCTGTTTGTTCAAGTTGGCACTGTTTTCCAGGATGCGGCAACCAGGCCGGATTCTCGGGAGGGCACAACGCGGAGAGGAGCACGGCACGACATTCGGAGATCAGAAGTGGGAGACGAGCAGGTATGCTGAGAGAGGGTCCAACGACGCGATGCCCACTGAGCATGCCGATGAACGACTGGGAGTCGTGCTCCCGTAGAATCTGGCAACAACACGGCTGCGGCGCTCCAGAAGCGGGGTCGAACGCCGTGCAGGTGCACCCTGTGGCTACTTCACGCGCGACAGCAGTCCAATACGCGTCCATGAGTATTCTTTGTGCGTAGCTCGGACCAGGACGCAGAAACGGCAAATCAGGATCTAGGAGAAGATCGTGACCTGTAGCAAAACGTTAATCCGGTTAAGCGCGCAGAGGAACGTGATACTCACGAAACTGCGGGTTGCTTGCGAGAGACGAGAAATCCCACTGGCGGACGGTTTCCACGTTTGTGAGGGGCCGCAAAGGGGGGAGACGCATCTGCGGAACAGACTCCTGCTCAACCTCGACCTCCTTCGGTGGCCTGACGGGTGATTCGATGATATATTCGTCCATGTAGTCCACATCGCTGTCGTAATCTGCGTTGACCTGGGTGAGGCTGCTGGCAGAAAGAGGAGGCGAATACGATGCGGTTTGGGACCGAAGGGGAAACTCGAGGCTTCTTCGGCCATGGGAGGACGAGACGGGGAGAGACATCGCTCGTCGATGAGCTGCACGAGGACGGCGCGCTTTGTCCGGTGGAGGAGTCGGCAGACGCAGTCTCTGTTTCTTTGTGGGCCGTTCCTCTACGATCACGGGCACTGGAGAATGGGAACGAGAAAGTACCGACGCCTTTCGCTTGAGCGAGGGCGACGGTACGGGAAGAGAGTCCATCTTTAAAAGAAAAAGGAAGCGTGTATGAAGGTGTAAAGAGAAAAGGGGGTTGATAAATGAGCGGGCAGAGCCGAGTTATATTGTGTGTGACGATCGCCCTACCACCGTGATGATGATAAGCCCGAGTGATTGATGATCTATGACACAGTGTTTCCTCACCTGTTGCCCTTATTCCACGATGTCCGCAACCTCTTAGTCGTTGAGCACTGATGAGGGAGGGACGGTGGAGGTGAAAGGGGAGACGACGAGGAGAGGATGGAGGACGAGGACGGGAGCGGAGAGAGTGAGAGTGAGGCGCGGCCAGGTAACAGCGCAATGTGCAATGTAACGGGAGCAAGTCTCCGCCTCGTGGCTTCCATGCAGAAACACGTCACTCTTCTTACCTCTTAATGAATACAAAATAATTATACAATTTTAAATTTATTCGTGCATCGTTGGTATACTTTTACTTCTGTGGAATACTTGTGACTCAAATTGGAGACTCGCACGGGTACTCGAACGAAGCAACACGGGGTAATCCTTTTGTCCCTGGGCTATCCCTAGGCCCGAGCATTCGTGTGGGGCCATAAGCTCCAGTTGGAGAAACGCCACAGCGGAACGCCTGCCCGTAACATACCCTATTCAATGTGCTCGTGATCGCACAAGGGCTGTGGCCGGTCCACCCTAGGCTTTACCAGCAACTGTTGTCCAGCCCAACACTGTTCCCCAATCCGCTCTCATGCGCTGGACGACCAATCTTTTGTCACCTCTTTGCAAGCTCACGTCCTCTAAATAGCCCACATCTTCCAAGAAGCCTTCTCGTAGCCGGGTTCGCACCGGCAAATGTGTTTGGCCGTACGTGCGAAGCGAAGACAACGACAGAACCAGCAAGCCTTGAGTGAGTGGTGGCAACGGTTCTGGCGCCAGGAGCAGATGCTCGACTCGGCGAAGAGATAGCCACGCTTCTTCTCGCTTACGTTCACCGCCATATCGTCCGCGGCCACGACCAGAATACCAGAGACTGGACAACCATGACCCTGAAAAATACAGGATCGTGATGCTTGGTGCCACACCGACGAAGGCGAATGTCAGTTCTTGAGACTTGAGCAGCTTATCAATTCCTGAAAGAGCGACGTCCACGTCGACCTTGAGCTTCTGCACTTGAATGAGCAGAGTCCGTATAAGCGTACCACCGATGGCGGAACGAAGTGGGGCTTTGATGTCTTCCTCATATATGCGCAGAACCGCTGTAAGATCACCAGCTCGGATGGATGACCCTAGTTCTGCTTGCTGTTCCGGGGTATATTTGAGCTTGTCAGCTGCCAAAGAAACTGCCATACGTTCTAGGCTCTACAGGACGATTAGCTAGACTATAGGACTTTGATATGGGCGACTTACATCAAGATCAGACTTGACGCCTTCCGGGCTGACAACCTTGACCTCGCCCTCACCAGTCCGGATGGTCTTCAGGATATCCATAATCGGCTCGATCACCCAGCTGATTAAGAATACTCGGACAGTTTCTTTCGCGTCCAATATCCAACCCCAGATCTGCTCACGGCTCACATAAAGAGAACGCGCAGCAACATACGCGATCAGAGGGAGGAAAACGAGTCGAGGCCACAGTTGTGTCCATCTGGATGGCGGAGCATGGTGTGCCATACTTGCATCATGTTTCTCAGAGGAAAGCTTGAGGCTGTCCAAAGCTGCAAGAAGATGGTAGGCGTATGATGACGGGGTCGTGTCGATGGGTTCCTTCAGCTCAACGTGTCCAGGCAGGGCTGCAGAAAGATCGCGTACAGCATTGGCAAATTGATCAGTGCCTGGTTGACAATCTTTGAGTCGGTCGAACACGCCAAGCAGTCGACCGACAGCTTCGGCTCGATCATCTCGGCCCTGGAACAAATGGGTTTTGTGATATCTGCATTCCAAGCGGGCGAGATGAAGTGGATCGAGGAGTGCTGTGAGAGGTGTAGGGGAAGGTGATGGCGGAAGTTGGAACAGGTGTGCGACGATCGGGTGGAGATGGACTGGACTCGGCGAGCGAGGCGGTGGCGGGAGATGACGCGTGGAGTGTAGTAGCGACAGTATGGGATGAGGTTGCCGAAGGAGAACAATAATGAGGTTGTACAAGCGGATGGGTAATGCTATGGAAAGGGTCGATATATGCGCGTGGATGCGAGTGGATCAGATTACATACTTTCGAACAAGTACCAGCCAGCTCCCGCGCCTACTCTCTCAGCGCGACCCCACCATTCTGCTGCACTTTCATCTCGTGCTGCCTCATGCATCAACCGAACCATGCACTCTTCGTACGTCCGCACAACAAGGCGTTGTATCAGCACCCACTCCAACCCATGGTCCTCAGCTGATGTTTCTTTGTCCCCTAATGCTTGAAAGGCATGCAGAGCTTGCTCAAGGGCAGGTAAAGATGGATGATTGGTTTGAATTGAAGCAAGAACAGAGATGATATGTCGTGATCGGGTTGTTTGGGGTACTGGAACATCGGGAAGAGACGCGTTGAGGAGCGGGGCAACCTGGAGGGTCACGAACGTTGGATGATGATGATCTGGTCTGCTGATGAACGGGTAGGTGATGAGAGAGGATGCCCGGGATAGATATGCCTTGTAATCCGGAGCCATGTTCATCGACGCACGGATGAGGACCACGGAAACCAGCTTGACGGTGTCGTTTTATAAAAGTGCGTCCCCCGTGGCCGACGTCATCCACCCGCTTCATGCGAAAGGCACGTGATACAGGTAACCATCGCTGGCGGATGAATACTCGGTTCCGAAGGACATAGGTGCGATGTTGACCTTGTTGATGTCGTTGTCGTTGTCATTGATGTTGTCGCTGCCGACCTCGCGGGGTAGATGAAACGCGCTCTGGTAGATTACGCGGACGACGACGACGACGACGATGACAATCACCGGGCGCAACAACCAAAGCCCCGAAAACAGAAGTGCGTCTCTCCCACCCTCCCCTCTCTCAACTCACATAGAACAGGAAACTTCCTTCCCTCTCCGAGACGTTCCTCCCCTCAATGCCAGTAGACGAACCACACAAACACCAAGGTCGAACCCGCACGACGCCTTTCGTCCAAGGTCAATACTGCGCCCATGTCTATATACCACGTGCGTCTTCCTTGTTAGCGAGCTTGATGGGTGCAGGCTGATGAGAACTGTGCAGTGGAAGTTGGTGAGTTGGAGGAGGGGTTTAGATATTTGATGAAACGGGCGAAAGGGTTGTGTCCAACCCTGCATTCTTTGCTTGACCCGCCTGCTCCTCCTCCCACCGACTCCCTTGAACCGAGCAATCCCCTCGAGAGCCAGGATACCGACTCCGCCATACAAGAACTGCACATCTCCCTCACCCGCCCTATCTTCTTGCGCTCTTCCGAGCGTGCCGCTTTTCTCGCCTCCGTCCGTTCCCTGCTCTCATCTCACAAGTCGTACGCCTTCCTCTTATATAGTTAGAGGAGATTGCTGAAGGAGAACAGGTTCGAACTATCGTTGGCGACATTGGCTGGGCTCGAGAATGACCATCGAACTAGAGGGTTTTTGGTAGCTGAGGTTGGGGCTGGGTTTGCGGAGGTATGCTGATTTCTTCTTCCCCTTCTCCGCGTCACTGCCCGCTCTATGCCCTCCCTCCTTTCTGTTCCACTTCCTCGCCCGTCTTTCCCCCTTCCATCCTACCCCGCTAACCATCTGGTAGTTACAAGCTCTCACCACATCCCTCGAACCTGCCATCACCGCCCTCAGGCAAGAAACCTACTACTCTGAACCGAGGTATCACGTTTCCCTAGGATGGGCACTCCTCGGCCCTTCTACGCCTTCCTCTGCGTTATCTCCTAGTGGGGACGAGCAGTTGGGTGCTAACCTCCACACTACCAATTCTGCTCCGAAACAACCTCAGAAGGAATCGAACGAGTTGAGTGATCATCCCACGCAAAACGGAACCCTTGCCAAAGTGCCAGTATTCCCAACGATTCCCCGCCTCCCGCCCACGCTCATTCCTACCCTACAAGCCGAATACGGGAACCTGATCAGGCAAGCCATCCCGGTAGGGGAGGTAAGAGTGCGAATAGGGAAGGAAGAGGTACGGGTGAGACTGAAGTAACTGGTTTTGGTTGTCCTGGCCTGAAACGCGTCTTTCTTGATGGCACGCAGCTGTTCGCTTACACCAGCGCGTAGCAAACTACACGACCCGAAAGGCCACCACTTTGTAGCGGGGTGGACAGAGCAAGGCTTAAGAGGTGTATGGCACCACCACTAAGGAAATCAGCTAGGGGCCAGCAGAAACACCAGCGTCACCACTTATGATAGGAACCATAAGCTGTGACGTTGATTCGTCAGTTTATTCTCACATCTACACATGCATGGAGTTCTGTAATTCTTCAGGTGTTATACCCGATATCACATTCTAGATATATACAGGGGGTTGGTATCTATGGGATTGGTATGTATCTTAAGACATCAAAGGAACAGAATATGTTACCCCTTTCACACAATAATCCCTAGCATTGAGATACGGGCGGTTGCATCCTCAAACATCCGAAGCTAAAGATCCCCCCCCTCCTCTTACGTCTCCAGCAACTTTGCAGGCCACGCAGCCACTTTCCTTTTCTCACCTCCTTCCACGCTAAACTGTCCTGGGCCGAGTCCACCGGGCACTATAAGCACGACCCCAAGGCTCGGGAACAACCTCCTCACTCTCTCCTTGATCACTTCAATTGAAGAATGGCCGCCGAGGATGTCGCTGCGGAACTGTTTTATTCTTGGATTTGCGGCCTTTTGGATGTCTTCAGAGGTGAGGGAGAGACAACCGAGATTCACGTCCAGCGATAAGTCCGTGAGATTCTCCAAACAGGCCAGGACAGCCAGAGAATGAACAGTCGCCGTGGGTATGTATTCTGATGGCCCAAGACACCTCGTGCAGTGGATATGCAGGATGCGCAGATGAGGTAGCGCCCCTGCCAAGAGAGAGACCCGAGAATCTGTCAGCTCCACGGGGTTTCCGAGGTCGATTTCGAGCACTTTGAGATTCCTGCACGCCAGGAGGGGGGTGAGGGCCGACCATTCTAACGTAAGATGGGGGTGCAACAGGGGTGGCTGATAAAGGACTTCGAGAGAAATTTCTTGGATCGTCTCGGACCACTGAGAGGAGATCGTCTCTATTACATCCACTAGCTCGGGGAAGGCACTAATGCCGAGAGTGACGGCTTCCATAGATGAGGAGAGTGCGGTCAATAATCGAGGTAGTGGTGATTGTGAAAGCGTGTACGTGATCGATGTAAGTCGAAAGGATCTCAGAGTCTGAAACGCAGCTCTCGTTGGAAGGTGGATAACTTCGATAGGAGCGTAGTATCTTCTCAGGCTGGGATTGAGCGTGAGATGGTGTAGCTGGGGCATGTCGCCAAGCGCCAGTAAAAGGTTGCGATCCAAAGTCACTGGGCCAAGAGAAATGGTCCGCAGTCGAGATGCGCGCCTCTAGAGTCTCCCAAGAAGTGAAAGGAGCCTTGTGTCCAGGGTGGCAGTGAATGTGCCGTCGTCGTTTGTGCAATATAGATCGACCTCAAGGTTTTCCAGGTATGTACAATTCTCGGCGAGGACATCCAAAAAGGAGTCAAGGTGCATCCAAAGGGTGGTAGACATAATGCCTTCGGGCAGGCCGCACAGATCGGCCTGTATGGAGACAGACTGTAGTTGGGGAACCAACAGCATCCGGCATGCCAGCAAGGCCGATGGCCAGATAAGCGAGATGGAGACGTGGCGGAGAGCTGGTAGGAGCAGTTCAGTGCCGTTGTATGTCGAAAGCTTCCATAGGAAGCTCCACGTCAACAACATCCCAGTGTCTCGTCCCAGGTTGTCGAGCGAGTCGTACATTCCCCGGGTGTGGATCCGCCGAAGGTATTGCAGATGAAGTCGGATCCGGTCCCATTCTCCTTTGCCGATCTTGCGAGAGAGAGAGACGTCTTCTTCCTTCTGTCAAAGTATCCCAGGTGAGATAATGGGCCAGCAGAAAAAAGAGAGAACTGACCTTGACGGCCACCGGAACCCGGCCTCTGATCTCCACGTCGGGAGGGAAGAGTGCCCTCAGCTGCCAGTCTTCTATCCAGTTCTCTGCTACACCAACTCTCCAAGTGCATCTGCCCAACAGCATAAAACACGCCTTGCTCTTGTGGTCATGGAGATGGGAGAAAATCTCCAGGACCAGCTCAGGAGTATTGAGCACGCGCGTTGCCGCAGTGGCCTGAGAGGCCATGTCGACAGGCTTCATGCTAGTGACGTCCAAAGCCATGTCCAGAAGGGGCCTGAGTGAGAGTTGGTGGAAGAGTCAGCTCGAATTTTTTTCTTTTCGCATCCGCACTTCCGTGGCCCGTGCAACCTCAGACCCCCTGACACTGTCTCAAGTTTAGGGCCAACCGCAAGTGATTTCTAGCACCCAGAGACGTACTTTACACATGCGAAAATCAGTTTTGACCACAATGCCACATACAAACAGCCCTAAACGTGCCGGTATCATATACTACATAGATTTCAAAAAATGTAATCATTGGAGAAGATGTGATTGGATAACATGCCTACTTGTCTTCGGGGGGCAAGCCCAACATTTGTCTAAGCATCACTGCCGCAGCTAGAGCATCCACGCGACCCTTCGACTGTCTCATCACCTCCCCAACCAGTCGCTTGATTACTCGAGTGTTGCCTTTCCTCGCTGAGTCGGCGTCCAAAGGCAGCTTGTCAACGGCAGCCTGGCAGATATGTTGCAAACCATCAGTGCCGGTAGAGCGCAAGCCTAGACGATCAACAACATCCGTCAATGGTTCGCGCGTCGGTTCGGCAAGAATATGTCGGAGAAGCGCCTTGCCGGACGTGGCTATGGAACGCGATTATTCGGACATATGACCTGCGGGACGAACTAAAACTTACCAGTAATACCTCCCACGTCCACCATGTCAATAATTTCACCCAACTGGTCCGCTGGGAGCCTTTCTGTAGTGAAGGTTTCCTTACGATAGGCGAGACTTCCTAGGAGCTCGTTGACCATCCTTGCTCGACAGTCAAAATTGGGCTTGTGAGACAAATCACCCTTGCTCACCAATTCGCGACAACTTTTGGATCACGATCCATTGTAACATCTAGGAAATATGACAGTGCATTGTTTTCTTTCAGTTCTCCATCAAAAGGCACGTCCGATCCAGCCCTCAAGTTCATCAACACTTTTGCGTCTCGTTCAGGGATTTCGTATATGCTCAACAGAATATGCCGAAGTTTCTGCGGTGTGGGTGGCGTAGTATATTCGATGGTTCTGATATAATCCTTCTTGTGTATTAGGCATGTCTTGCAGATCAGACTAGCTGCGTACCTCGGTCAAAATCAGAGGTGGAAGATTAGGATCTGGCATGTAGCGGTAGTCTGGTGCATCCTCCTTGCTGCGCAGCGTGAATGTCTCGGCGCGGTCCTCATCGAATCCCCGCGTTTCTTGAGCCACTGTCTGCCCGGAAGACAAGAGCACAATTTGCCGCCGTACTTCTGAATCTGCTCCACGTGTGAGAAAGGACACGGGATAGTGAAAGCACCACGAACTGATCGCAATCTGTAAGCCCTTGATCGTATTGAGGTTTTTAATCTCGCAACGCGTGCCAAACGGTTCCCCTGGTTTGTGTACCGAGACGTTAACGTCGCACCGAAGTGACCCCTCCGTTTCGAGTCAGTTTCATACATGAAAATGCGTGCAGGAGGGAATAGATCACCTCTTCCATATTGCCGTTACTCGCACCGATAGCACGAAGGAGAGCGCGCAGCTCAGTAACATAAGCCCCAGCCTGTTCTGGGCTCCTATGATCAATTAAGGAAGGGCAAATGATAAGAGTCATAGAATATACCTCATATCGGGCTCAGACACGATTTCCATCAAAGGGGCACCGGCCCGGTTCAGATCTATGAGCGTGACGCCGGGTTGAGTTGTAGACTTCGCAGTGTCCTGATGACAAAGTGAGCAAATGCAGAGTGTATGGCGCAACAGTAAATACCTGCTCCAGTTGGATCTGGTTTATTCGTATGTCCTTCGTCTTCGTGCATTTCTTCTTATCTGTATGTGTGACGCTGAGCTTCCCTCCAGTAGCGAGTGGTGCTGTATGTTGTGAACAAGATGTCAAGAACAGAAACGATAGCAGACTAACAGTAGTGTTGCGTGATTTGGTAGCCAGACGGAAGGTCGGCATAAAAATAGTGTTTTCGATCAAACGATGATCGCTCGTGGATGTCAGAACCTAGAGCCACTGCCGTCCGGACACCTAAGTCTACGCAAGCCTTGTTCAAGATCTAAGCAGAGAAACGGTTGAGAAACGATCGAATCCGGGCAGGGCACATCATACTGGCAGCGTTCCAGGAAAGGCGGCGTCAAACAAAGAGACATGAGAGTTGGGAGGAGCGTCAACATCCGTTACAGTGTCCGAAAATAACTTTCGTCGTGCTCGTATTTGTGCATGGACCTCGATCCCAATTACAGGCTGCCATCCTGGCCAGCGCTCGTCAGTGCCCTCCTCTTTGCCCTCCTGTAAGCCTAGATTGTCTGGTACATCGTTTCTAGATTTCAAGAACGCTGGGTAGTTTTTGGTAGTGACTGGAGTCGAACTCCCCCATCCTATCCGTTGCTCGTTATCCTCGAGAATTGAGAACAGACGCGTTCTTCTAGGAAAGCGCCTAATCACCCGTGAGGCGCGGGTCAGCATACAAGCGACACAATTAATGGATATTTAGTCTCAAGCAGTATGATGCCATAAGGTTGTAAGGCAAGTCGCGTGTCGCCAGATAGGAGACGGTGTCGGTCAAGAATGTGACAGAGAATCGGAATGCAGTTCCATCGCCAGTCAGCAGCTCGTTCATCACACGCGTGAGTCCTCCTCGCCACCGTTCTCACTGCCTTTCTCTCACGACGCTTCCACCACTTTGTCATGTCGAACTCACTGCAAGAACCCGCTGCACCTACCAAGGAAGAGCAGGACAAGGTACCTATTTACCACGACCTGTCATATCATGCAAATCTGACCCAGGCTCTACAGATACGTCTGAAACGGCTCGCTAAGCTGTCGTCTGCTCCGACCTCCTCATCACCCTCTCCAGCACCTGGTCCTTCTGGCAGCAGTGGCAATGCGACGCCTTCTATCCAATCAACGATACCAATTGTGAAGCCCACCCCTGTGGCGACGCCCAATCCTATACCCGCTGTACGCCCAAAGGCGCCTCCACCAGCGGCTACTACCCCATCTCCTGCACCGAGACCCATCAAGCCCAAGGTCAAGGGGCCAGATAAGCTGGATCTCGTATCCTGGGAGCACGAAACCACTGGAACAGTGCTCAATGTGACGTTCAATGTTGGTTATATCTGGTGATAAAGAACGATAAGATCTGATGTCCGTCGTTTTAGGTGGAGGAAACAAGGAGGTCGAACTGGAGTGTCGTCTGGCTGAAGGATCTCATGAATGAGATCCAGGAGAGCGATCCCTGTGCGCACAAAGTGATACATCGGATCACGGTTACTGACGGTGTCTGCATAGCTGGTCCGAGACCTCCACGACTTACGGTTGCGAGCGGGGATCAGCTCCTCATCGCGAGGCTCTCACTGGACCCCTCAGCCATGAGCGATGACACTGATGCAATTACTATACTCCAAAATTTACCGAAAGACGAGACAGTATTTGAGTATCTCATTGGCGCCTGGAAGCGAGCGAATAGCGCTCGGAGTGCGTTGCTGCGAAGGGTGAGTAGCCTCAACGTCTACAGATAACGATTGCTAAAGGCTTCTGTAGAATTACGAACCTTCGGTTGTTGCAGCAGCATTGGAGCTGTTGGAAGAGTTGAAGCGGCTTATTGTCTCTTATGCTGGTTTCAACCTGCAGGATCCAACCGGCATGTTCCCAGAACCCGAAGGGTCTGTGTACGCGTCATCTTCTGAGCCGTTTCTAACTTCAATGCAGGAAACATGTGGGTGCCATTGAGCTCGTGCACCCGCTATTACAGCTCAATGCATTACCACTCAATGCACCACCGACCGCACTGTCGCCTGCTGACTTAGAAGGATTCGTGATCGACTTAGCAAAGCGATTCGAAGGGGATGGTTTGGAGGAAATCATGGGTCCCGTCATAGGCGGCGTGATGAATGTTCTGAAAGATTATCAAGTCGAGATGCCAAATATTATGGGAGATCAATGGAGGCAGGTGACTGCGGCACTGGAGGCATTGGTAGCAGTCAAGCCTGTTGCGAGCATGGTGCGTTCCGAGCGTTCACCAGATGAAATTAACATTGACACGGATGGTTAGATTCCGCGCCTAGTTGACTGGGATCCTTCTCAAGCACCTCCTAACCTCTGGGAACTGGTATCCCTCCTTGGTCCATTGTTGCGTTTGAGCGTTTTCCCCCGAGAATGGGTACGTCTAGCCTGTGTCCTCTGCGTGACATGCCATCCTAACGGAGTTTACAGGCTAAAATTTACAAAGAGTTCTTCCCCGACCCCATGAAAATGAGCCGAACCGCGGCCGAAACCGCAAATTCTTCACTGCGGAATACGCTGCATGCTTTACACAGCAGTTTATTCAATATCTTCAACGTTCTCGTCAGGGCCAGTCCGCAATCGAGAGATGCCACCCTCTCCATGTTCTCACATGTGCTCAATACCAACTGGCGGCGAGCCGGCCTTCGTGTGAGTAGCATTTTTACGGCAAGACATGTTCCGCGCATGCTAACAATAATGTAGGTGCGACCTGAGACTGTTGCCTCCGACAGTCTGTTTGTGAATATCCAGGCCGTGTTGCATAAGTTCGCCGAGCCATTCATTGATGCTAACTATACCAAGGCAAGCAGCGCTCTCTTCATGAGACTTGAAACACGACCCTGACAATCGTACAGATCGATCGCATCGATCCTTTATACTTCGCTAAGTCCAAACTGGTCGATGTTAGCGGTCAGACCAAGCTGTTAGCGTCGTCAGAAGAGGAGAAGGAGATCGTTACCAAAGCTCTGTCTAGAAACGGCATGTGGTCACTCGCATATTTCGGTTGTGGCGTATTAACGGTCTGACAGACGCCGCTCCAAACTTCATTTCTGATATCTTCTTCATCTTATCTGCATATAATCATCTTGGATACATTCGCTGCCTAGGGTGGCATGAAGAGCTGAATCGGGCTGCGGGTGAAGTCGAGAGAGAATTGGATCGCTTCAAGTCAGACACCCGTTGGCAGGGGGTAAGCAACGACCTCACCAGAACCGTATTACCTCTAATTGTCCTTGGTTCTTAGTCACCAATGCAAGGGCAGGTCCAGCAGATGGTCGACAAGCTCACCAAAGACTTGAACGAGTATCAATCGCAGATTCTTGCATACCAAGTGCAGCTGTTTGATCCTGAAATGGTCAACGCATTGATATCCTACTCGAGCCTGGTGACGCAATGGATTATTCGACTCGTTGATCCTGCCAAGCAACATCCTGCTGTCCCTGTGAAGTGAGTATGCTACATATGACCAGAAATTGTGCTGATGACTATTCAAGGCTTCCCCTGCCAGAGACAGTCCCCGATATCTTCAAGATTCTTCCAGAGTACCTGATTGAAGATGTCGCAGATTTCTTTGCCGCCATCTTGCGGTATGTTCATTGCTGTCACGTATCCTTCACCGAAACTAATCATTTGGTAAAGTATTGTTCCCCATCTTCTTGAATTTGCAGGACGGCGAGAAATTCTTGTGCTTGCCCTCACTTTCCTATCATCGCCCTGGTACATCCGCAATCCCTACCTCAAGTCGAAATTAGTGGCCGTTCTCGCTTATGGATCCATGAACCTTGGCGGCGGCAGACGCGGTCCTCTCGCCGATCTTCTCAACACGCATCCTATGGCGTTAGAGCACCTGATGCCCGCACTAATGGCGTATTATGTTGGTACGTTCGAAGATCCGTGTCTTACATGCGTGCGTGGGATTCACTGCGTTCACGTCAGATTGTGAAAGCACCGGCACTCATACGCAGTTCTACGACAAATTTGAAATTCGCCGCAATATAACAATCGTTTTCAATGCAGTCTGGGAGAATCCTGCTCATCGTGCCGCCCTAAAGAGGGAGTCGCAGTACGTAGGATGTCTTTGCATTGTTGATGTTAGTAATTGGCATACAGACACGAGGAGACGTTCACTCGCTTCATCAATCTCCTTCGGAACGATGTCACATTCCTCCTTGATGAATCGTTAGGAAAGCTCCATTCGATCCAGGAGTTGCAGGCAGAAATGGAAGACCAAGCTGCTTGGGCAGCTCAACCTGCGGAGACACGGAGAGATCGCGAATCCCAGCTTCGACAGCTAGAGGGCTCTGCCACCAGCTACTTCTCATTGGGTCGCTCGACCGTGGATCTTCTGAAGAAGTTCACAGCAGAGGCACCACAAGCATTCATGATTCCGGAAATTGTCGATCGACTTGCTCTTATGCTTGATGACAATCTTGGCAAAATGGTTGGACCAAGGATGAGCGAGTTGCGCGTGAAAGATCCAGATCGTTATCGATTCAAACCAAGGGAGCTTCTTAGCGACTTATTGACGGTCTACATGAACTTGAGCATGGGGCCGGAGTTTATCCAAGCAGTCGCTAAAGATCTTGGTTATTATCGCAAGGAATCTTTCGAGCATGCACTCGCCATCTGTCGAGGTAGAGCTCTCAAACCAGAATCTGAGATCGAGAAGCTGCGCTTGTTCGTTATCAAGGTTGAAGAGACAAAGGCACTCCTCGAAGGCGACGAAGAAGAGTTGGGTGATATACCTGATGAGTTCACTGGTACGTCGTTTGTGTCTATGAGGAGTGCATTCAAGTTGAACTGAGCGACATCATTAGATCCTCTTCTTTACACCCTCATGCGGGACCCTGTCATTTTGCCATCTTCAAGAGCGGTTGTCGACCTTACGACGATCAAAGCGCATCTTCTATCAGATCCTTCTGATCCTTTCAATCGGGTTAAACTGTCGATTGAGGAGGTTGTACCCGGTGAGCTCCCTTTGACTAGCATTTTCAATATTGTCTAACACATTTCAGACACGGAACTGAAGGCACGGATTGACGCATGGCTCGCTTCACGCAAGAAGGGAGATGCACTAACCAAGCCACAAGATGATATTGTCGATCTCAGCAATACGGGCGGCGTGGATATGTGAGGGCATGGCGGTATACGCTGTAGTCATTAGGTCATTTGTATCATATCATGCCAAGTGAAAGAATGTGATGCCTATTGCTACAGGATGTGATCACTTGAACGTCATTGACCGACTTCCAGACTTCGGGTCGGTCCGGGGTTTGCGTGGCTTCTTGAAGTCGGTGTTTTGGATGGTCTGCTTCGGCCCTTTGTTCTTCTTCGACTTCTTGGGCTTTTTCTCCAGGGTCGCCGGATCGACTTCCAACAAGTTGGGAAGGGCTGAGTAGTCAAAGCCGCCATTGCCGTCTGATGCGTCGGGAAATTGATCTTCGGGTAGCTCATCTGACCCCGGCGCAGTGGTTGCAGAAGCTGTTGCCTGAACAATCTCATCGATTTGCAAGGCTCGCTTCCTCTTCTTGTTCTGCTTTTGCCCAACCACTACAATAGTGTTCCGATCGTCTACGACCTCTTGTGTTTGCCGTGCCGACCTGGGAACGAAAGGTATTTCGGCAGTCGCACCCGCCAACACAGGCTCTGGTTCGGGGTTGGCTTGAGGCGGTGCGACATTGACACTAGGAAAGAGAAAGAGGCCACTGTGTATCTTCTGTCTTGCAGCCTGGAAGTCGGTATCTTTCTGCAACGAAGGAGATAAGGTATTGCCAAAGAAGGTGCTTGATCGAGATACTAGTGCAGGTGCAGGCTCTACTTCAGTTGTAGGCAGGGTAGCACCAAACAGGGTCAACGAGGACGCCACATTCTTCCCTACGGATGAGGGTGAGAAAATAAGTAGCTGCGTCAGTTCGTGCGACTTACTATCCGCCGTACCCCAAATATCGATGCTAGGCAGGCGCACAGGCGCTTCCTCAACAGCAATCCCCATCTCCACGTCTTCGGCGGACTGAAGCATTGCAAACCGGTTGCTCGGGTCTGTCTTCCCACTTGCATTCACGTCAATCTCCATCTTCTTCATCTCCGCCTCTACCGCCTTCTCCTGGCGTTCCCTTTCCCTTTCCTTCTCCAGATCCAGTGTTGCCCTGATCAGTTCTGCAAGTTCTTCCACTCTCGACATGGCAAGAACCGTTGCTCCCACTAAACACTTCACCGTGCCTTTCATGTCCCGGGGACAGTTCTCTGCGAGTGCAAACATCTGCGGATTCGTGAGGACATAGCGCAAGCCTTCGTCTTCCTCCCGAGCGACACGATCTCGCCAGGCATAGACAGCCTTGAACACCGCCAACTTCGATCCCATGAAATGCTTGTTCCACTTTCTTGTCAGGTTTTGCCAACCACCGGGGCCATTGCCAGCCGGGTCGTACCGTTCCGGTTCCCAGACTTGGAGCGCAGTATCCTTGCTCAGGTCAAACACCTTCTCCACTAGATCTGGTCCTCCCTCAACGCGCTTGAGGAGGTCATTCCGCACCTGGTCGTACACGTATAATAGGAAATGCGTGTCAGACCGAGCGTAGTCCATCATCTCCTGTGGCAGGGGTCGGATGCGCCAGTCCGCCAGTTGGAAGCGTTTGTCTGCTTTGAACTCGCAGTATAAATCGAGTAGAAAAGCGAGACTGAAGGCAGGGAAATTCAGGGCTTTGGACGCGTAGTACGTGTCGAAGAGGTTGACGATATACAGGTTGAAGTCTCGTTGTAACCAGTTGATGTCCATGGTCGCTCCGTGGAAGACCTACAATTATGTGAGGGCGCATATATCACCCTCGGGAGACTCATACCTTGACGATGTTCGAATCTGCAAATACCTCATTAAGCACCTCTAGCTCTTCTCTCAGCGCTAATGTATCCACTACCCAATCCGCTTCCCGTGTGCTAAGCTGCATCAAGCAAACGATGCCTCGATAGCTCCTGTAATCATGGTGTTCCAAATCGACCGCGATTTCTTTAGCAGCCTTGAGCTTCTCGAGCATTTGTGCAAGCCGGTCAGGAGTGCCGACCCATTCGAAGGGTGTGTCCTCGAAAGACTTCGGTACTTGCGGAACGGAGGTGACCAGGGCGTTGGAGGGGGGCTGAGCGCGCAGTATCTCGTACGCATATGGGCCAACCGTGTCCTTAACACGCTCCAACAGCTCTCTTTCCTCCGGGGTCTGGGCACTCCAGCCAAGTGGGACAAGAGCATGCGGCTTAGACTGGAGATGAGGGCGCCAGGAGGCTGGTGGGAAGTTGTTGGGCGGGTGGGCGAAGGAAAGTTGCGGTTTGGGAATCCGGGCGTTGAGGATCGAGGGATCCAGTTTTCCTGTAGAAGATATGACGGGATCGCGCTGAAATTATGCACAGAGGAGAAGACAAACACGCATATACTGTCAGCGCCTGCCTATAGGAGAGAAGAAGCATATATGCGTACCAATTTGGGCTTTTTTACTCTGCTCTCAGGCGCCTTCACTACCACCATAGGTGCTTTTGATCTCCCCATAAGCTGATCCAAGGCAATATCTGCCCGCTCAAGTAACCCATCCGTGACGTCTACCACATCTTCAAAGTTGTCTTCTACGTCTTCACGGTTCAAGAGTCTGAGGTTGCTGGTCCGTCCTTTCCCCTTTGCCTTTCCGGCGTCTATCCCAGTGCTGCCCTCTGCCTCTGCCTCTTTGATGTCAACGAACCTTATCAACTCCCCAACTAATGCGAGGACTCTTTCAGAGACCCGATCGACTTCCCGTGCGAACTTGCGATCCAGAGAACGGTGAAAGTCGACATCCTGCGGCAAAGAGGAAGCGGCGCGCGACGCGAGGGCGATGGAGCTAAGAAGACGGGTGTGGTAGGTCGGGAAGGAAGTGCGAGGGGAGGGAATAGGCGCAGTCTCTGGGGAAGAGGAGGACATGATGGGTATATGGATCCAGGACGACGCGTGTGACAAGGTTCCAGTGACTGGCGTACTGAAAGCTCTGACGACCCGTTCAGGGACTGGAGGTGACTTCACGTTAGTGGCAGTGGACAATCAAAATCAAAATTGCCTTTCACAAATGAAGAATATACTTTGTAGAATTGTAGAATATAAAACAGCATTCATGATACCCATACCGTTTCATGTAAACCACGTCACTATCAACTGAAATTGGTATTTGTGGGACAACCACTGACATTTGAATGCTTGCTCATCAGAGTCTCACTGGTTGCCATTTCTTCCTCACATGGAACATACAATGCAAGTCCTTCGGAACAGGGAACCGTGATGTCAGATGAGTATGTTCATCATAAGGCATTGTCATACTGCATAATGCCTAGCAAACAACGCCCTGTCAATCTACTCAGGCCCGGGCAGCCTCGATCCTCTTCCTCGCTACCTGCCTCCGGTTCAGGCCCTTAAACTGGAGAACAGCGCCCTCCTTCTCCTCCCTCTCTACCTCCTCCCCAGCAGCATGCAAAAACACCTCGATGTGCACCGGGTGGCCCTGGTAGGGGTTAATCCGACCATGGGCACGGTAAGTGCGCCTGCGGGTTTTGGGAGCCTGTTGCACAACGATGGACTTGATGGTCAGGTCGGCGAGGTCGAGGGACTTGGCATCGGCGTTGGACTCGGCATTCTTCAGGAGGGAGAGCATGAATTTGCATGACTTTTCCGGCCAGCGACCTAGAAACGCGATGAAATTAACAGTCAATTTGCGGAGTTCTGACAGGAGACAGGGAGGGACGCACCCTGCGTAGCCTTAAACTGCTTCGCCTGGCTCTCCCGGCCAACGCCACCCGCAAACCGACGGAAAGGGATGATCTGCTTGTGCTCCTGCACGTCGGCGAGGTACGAGTAAGCTTTCGTGAGCTTGAGGCCTGCGAAACCCGAAGGCGCTCAATCAGCGCTGTTGCATTAATCAGGTTAAGACAAGCACGCACCAGTCAGAGCAGCAGCAACCTCCCGCATGTTCTTGAAGTGCGTGCGGAGGTACTCGCCCCGTGCGCGAGCATCTATTCAAACCCCCCAAACCGGTCAGCACCTCCTCCCATTCCACACAACCGACGCACAGCGATCCGGGTTTTCGACAACAGCAGCGGCGGCGTAACGCACTACGATCTCATCAGTCTCCGGCGCTATTGCACAAAAGAGCACCCGCACCCATTTTGAGTCGGGTCGAGTTGAGGGGTTGTCGAGTGTGTCGTGCCTTCCTTGTCGTCGAGTGAGCAGGGACCACACTTCGGCGGGAAGGAGGATTTGATCCCGCTGTGGCTGGGAACTGTACAGTACCAGTTGAGGGCAGGCTCTGTTTAGGCCCTGGGTGGCAGTGCAACGATTCTTACGTTAGAGGGTGAAACAAACCCTTGCTAATGTCGATGATTCACTGTTGACATCAACATGACGCATCCGTCAAGGCTGACTTAGAGCAATATAATGACAAGATAAGGGATGAGACAACGTCTGTAGCATGAGCAGATTCCGACACTCGTCGCAAATCACAAAGATAGACCCGTCATTCCGTTCATTATTATCTTGCAATCGTGGCAAAAGATAGTACAAAACTTCCAGAGATCAGATGAAAAAGAAAAATCAGATCATCTATCACCCTCGCGCCCCACCAAACCAAACGACGACCGCTCTAGCGAGGGGCTCCACAAACGGCACGGCCACAACTGGCCAGGTAGACTACATACGGAGATGAGAGACAGGGGGGGTACAGGTATGTTGAGCGTTCGGGTCGTTCTTTTCGTACCCAGAGATTACATGAGCCACGCCCAGAAACGCTCGAGCCAGTTCTTGGGCGGGGGCTCGTCGTAGCAGTCAGCGAGGATCTCGTCCAGCCCGGTGTAGAAGTCCATCTCGCTCGCACGCCGGGTCGGGCAGCGCATGTAGATCTTTGCACCAACGTAGAGGACGGGGAAGAGCATGAGCGGGAGGTAGTTGGTGACGAAGTTGGCGGTGGACCATTGACCTGTGAGGAAGACGGACCAGCCGGAGAAGAAGCAGATCACGATCGTGGAGATGGCGACGTACCAGCCGAGGTATGGCTGGAGCCAACCACGGTAAGGCAGCGTCTTGCGGTCAATGCCCTGCGCCTTCATCCCGGCGTAGAATCGGATGTAAGTGACGGAGATACCGAACCAGGTCATCAGCCCCGCAATGGACGTCATGTTTGCGAACCAGCCGAAGACCTTGCCGGCGTTGGTCGAAATGGCCATGAAGGCGAGGAGACCGAAGAGCACGCAAAAGATAATCGAGACGTACGGCAGACCACCACGAGTCGTGCGTGCAAAGATGCGGGGCGCATTGCCGGCGAGGGCGAGACCGTACAGCGCGCGAGAAGAAGTGAAGAGATCGGAACTTGCGGCGGACCAGGCGGATGTCAACAGGCAGGCATTGATCAGCGATGGCAGCCCGTTGATACCGGCGGTCTTGATGGCAATGACGAAGGGAGATTTTGCGGCGTTTGAAGTGGCAAGGTTGAGGTCCGGGTTGGTGTAAGGCACGAGAAGACCGATGAAGAACGTGCCGAGGATATAGAAGAGCAGAATACGGATGTAGACACGGCGGATGGCCTTTGGCAGGTTCTTGCGCGGGTTCTTTGCCTCGCCAGCGGCGATGGCGACAATCTCAGTGCCGATGAAGGAGAAGGCAGCTTGGGTCATGACCGACCACCAGGCGAGGAAGCGGCCCTCGGCCCCAGGGATGTTGGCATACTGATTGAAGGGACCAGGGTTCTTCCAGTAACGGAAGCCAAGACGATCATGGTTCGGTCCACCGCCAAGATCGAGAACGAGACCGAGGATCTACGGGAATAAGTATGTCACTGAGATCATGAAAGGAAGCACGTACAATCAGGCCGGAGATAGTGAGCACCTTGATTGAGGCGAACCAGAACTCGCACTCGCCGTACACCCCCGCACCAAACATGTTAATGGTGAAGACAACGATAAGGCATATAGTGACCCATACGGCGTTGCTGATGACGCAATGAGCATTTGTCATGTGTCAGTATGACAGCAACTTACTTGACAGCAGTTGTCCAATAGTTGATCAAGACGGCCGCGGCTGATAACTCTGCTGGCTATTTCCACCTGTCAGTCTTCTAATTCGCCAACAAAAGGGTTTCACATACTAGGATAATAACCCAGTTGTACCAATAATTCCAGCCCATAGTAAAACTCATCGCAGAGTCCACAAAGCGCTCAGCCAGCATGATGTGCCCACCCGGAACGGGCAGGTACGCAATCATCTCACCGAGACAGATCATGACCGAGTATGTGATAGTGCCAACAACGACGTATCCGAGGAGGAGACCGACGGGGCCTCCAGAAGCAAGGGAACCAGCGGTACCAAGGAAAAGACCTGTGCCGATGACACCACCGATACTGGATATGTATTATAAGCAAGGGGTTCCCTGCTGAGCTGCTGGTGAGAGGAGGTACCTGATCATTGCAATATGCCTGTTCTTGAGCTGGCGTTTAAGCCCACCACCGCCTACGGCTCCTGGTGCGCCATCGTACTCCCCACTCTCAGCGAGGGGAGCTGCTTCCTTCTCATAACCGTCTGGGTTGTAGGGTTTCTTCTCCATGTCAGCCATTGTGAACTGTTATGTAATGTTCACTGGTTGGGTGTACCAGCGAAGGGGGGTGGTAGAAGGGATGAGAAGGGAATGGAGCAGGGGCAGCCCAGTGCAGGCTTTATACGTCTGTTTGGGGGGAAGGCAATGCGGTTCTTGGCGTGCCTCAAAATCCCCTGTCTTCCTCATCCTATTCTAGGAATTCCCGCCGTATTGGGCGTGTCCGAGACTGGAGAAGCGAAGGAGTGAACCATGCGGTAGGTTCGGCCATGCGGAGAACAGAAGCTCATTTCGCGCGTGAGAGACTGAGAGAAGACCGCGAAAAATAGAGTTAGACCCCAACGGAAGCAAATGACAAAGTAAAGTCATCTGCTTCCGACGCTCTTCGCCGCATCGGGCGTCATCGGTGTGTCGTGTGAAGAGTACCCCACTCGCCGGTTATCAACTCTTCACCCATTCAACCCTTATCTCCGGTCTTTCCCGCAGCGCCCCCATTGGCTGACATGAGGCGCCCACAATCACACCGCCTCCATTCACCAAGTGGCAGTGATAAGCATCCCCTACCTCGTCACACATGTACCACTCACCCCGTAATTGGTAACAATCATTGAATTACCCGGCCAGACCAATTGAACTGTCAAGCCTTAAAAACTGAAATGTTCTGTCAACAGCATATCATACTGGAATGTGGAAACAGACCACCCCAGAAGTGCAACAATCAATCCACCAGGGACGATAACCGCAATCGCAATTCCCGCTCATTGCTATCACCCCACCAAATGACAGCGGCACCAGCACCTCGCCGCCGCCGCCGCCGGGAATACCAGGCGTTCTCCATCCTGCGGCTCGGACAATTGTCGCGCCTCCCGCCGCCCGGATTCGGCCTTCCACACTCACCAGGGACGTCCCACGCCTAGGTGAGAGAGAAGAGATAGGAACCAACTCAAAATAGCAGTCCATATCTCCACCCTTCCCGACTCAGGGTAGCGAAGCTGCGAGCCACACAGCGCCTCCCTCGCACCTTCCCTCTGACCGACAACGAATCGGCTCAGCCCGTATGCAGATAAGCCCAACTGTCAACTGTCAACTGTCAACTTCCACATCGGTTGTAAGTGTTCTGCAATATCGGTTGTTTCGCCGCGGTTCGACAGCCTCTACCCGACGGCCCGGCGCTTCGACCTCCCAACGGTGAGTCACGGAGCGGCATCGTAGTCGCCCCGACTCGCCAGCACATGTGCGGGACTGGGAGCACGTTGTCTTTCTTTCACGGGTGCTTCCGCACGTGTAACCGACGTTCCTCGTCTCCCCGACATCCGTTATCATCAGAGGATCAACAGAGTCCACTTCGGGATAATCAGCAGGATTTCGCACTAGACTGCGGCAGACTGTGCTGGTGCACTTCTCCCGACCGCCTCGGGAATCGGTGCGACAACGACCCATTACCCAGCCTGTCAGCAGCGTCAACACCCTCCAACCCTCATCGCAAGGCATTGTATTCATTCCCGGGGCTCTACAACTTCCGGAACAGCGCAAGTCTCTAGCGTAACGCAAATTTTCGGGGACCGCTCTGGGATGCGGTAGCGGCAACCTTAGCCGGAAACCTTATGGTCCCTGGTCACGTGCCCAACTGGACGCGCTCACGAGACCTGAATGAGCGGTTGATGCACGCGCTCACTGCACTCGTCGATGTTTGTGGGAAGCACGTTCTGCTTTGTCCATTCACCCTGGTCCATGCAGTCCTGTGATCCCAACACTTACGGCAGTGCCCTTAATATCGCACGACTCCGGAATAACCGGCAGAAGCTTCTGCTGCCATGCGGTCAGGAACAGATGCAGGAGCGATACGGGAGTGCGGGGCCCCGCGTGGAGATCTGGGATGATTTAGACAATCAGGCGAGAACGTGGAGAGATGTAGAGTTGCCGGACACTCTAGAGACAAACATGCTGGTGAGTCTTCAAATTACATTACATGGAATGCTCTTTCCTCTCGTTTCAGGCTATACAACACAACGAACTCCTTCCCAGTCAGTCTCACTTCCCAAACGCAGGATCCCTGGACTCCTCCTCCCACTCATCCGCAAGCTCAATCCACTCCCTCGCCACCCTCCGAGCAGCGCCAATCGCCCCCGCGCCAATAGGCAGCCTCAGCGGGATCTTCTCCCTCTGCATAACGTCATATATCAACTCGATGGCCTTCTCCGCCTGGCCAGGGTGGATCACAGCGTGCTCGGCTGCCGTCGCGGGCCCACCGGCGTATGCGGCGGGGATGGACAGCTGCAGGCTAGGGTTGGGATCTAGGATGGGAGGGGTGAACCATCCGGGCTCGGTGATGCACAGCTAGAGGGTTGAGCACGTGTTCTTGTGCGAGGAGAGGGACAGTGCCTGGATGTTCCACTCTGGTTTAAGCTCTTTCGACATGCCGACGGTTACAGCCTCAACCGCTAGGAGCACCTCGTATCAGTCCCCAAGATCCTGCTCAACGAACACATACCTTGCTTGCTGTAATACGCGTCAGCTCAGTGTCAGACCCGGTAAACGCACGAACCTAGCCGCATAATGCGCAAACAGCGGGCCAGCCACGATCCCTGAACTCGAACTGACGACGACCATCTTCCCCCCTCTCTTCGGCCCGTTCACCTCCCTGAAGAACCTCACCGCCTCCTTGGTCACGTTCGTACTACCCCAGAAGTTGACGTCGAATACCTTTCTTGCGGTCGCTTCCGGTACGCTTTCCACCACACCGCGCAACAGGAGGCCAGCGTTGTTGAACACGACGTCCACGCGGCCGAACGTTTCCCGCGCCTCAGAGAAGGCGGCCAGGATCTCAGACTCGTTGTTCACGTCCAGGTACAGGTTGAGCAGGGAACCGCGGTACGCCTCCTCGAGGGGCTTGAGCGCAGAAGGGTCGATAGACGTCGCCACGCATTTCCCGCCTCGGCGGAGGACGAGCTCAATCATGAGTTTCCCAAACCCCGAGTTGGCGCCCGTCACTTTCTCGTAGGTCAGCCGTTGCAGGGAGGGTGCTGAGGAAGGACGCACCGAGCCAGACTTGAGCTTCGGACATCGGATTTGTATGCAGGTTCGCTATGGTCTAGTACTATTACATCAAACGATCTACAACCCTCTTGCGTGGTTATATACCCACCGTTCAAGAAGCACCCAATCCCGCTCCTGCCCGAGGTCCAGCCCACATCGTCCACATCCATCGGCCCAAGGGGATGCAGGTCAAGTACTGACGAGCCAGTCACGTCCATTGTGCTATTTACGGCCCGAGATATACGAGGGGCAAGGATTGTCGGCGGGGATTGTCGGCGTTGAGTGCCGAGCTGCACGGAGCTCCGGTGTCGGAGATGACGTCAATACGAACCGTTCTAGTCCAGTCCAAGGCAGAATCGCATCTATTTCTGTCCTAGAAATACTCTACTCTACATACACAACCGTTTATGTCCCAATACAGCGAACAACCAAGAGGTTCACACCAACGTCAACACCAACGCTGCTAGTGTCCGCCCCTGGAGGGAGGCGCTACGCTGTTCTCTTTGTGTATCTCCACACCCGGTGCACCTCCCATGCTATTCTTTATCCATCCATATAACAAGAACTGGCCTATTCCAGTCAAGTCCACATGAGAACATAACCACATCCGCAAGATAGCAACCCAGATCCCGTCAGCTCCATTCGCTAACACGGCAAGAAACACGCACCCGAAACCAGCCCAGCAGTCATTATCATCCTCGGCCCCAGTCCGGCGAAGAGCCCCGCTGGCCCTGCCTCCCTCGCCAGTGTCGCAAGACGGTAGAGCATGCTCCCCTTCGGTCCGTGTCCTTTGTTAATCTGACTGAGTAACGTATCCGCCGGCTGCGTCCCATGGCCGTCAGGGTAACTACGGAAGTGAGGGGAAGGTGCATACGTGTGACAGGATAGCGGCTGCGAAGCCGGCTGTAATGCCCGAACCGAGGGCGATCGCGAACTTTGATGTGCCGGAGAGGGTGTTGCGCGTTTCTTCGGAAAGCCGGCGGTAGACTGCCTCGTGGCAGAACTCATTCACTGTGAACTGGCCGATAGCGTAGGGGATCTGCCTAGGCACGATGCACAATCACGTTAGTTGTCGAAGTCACATATTATAGCGCGATGAAATGGAATGCGTATACGCACTTGAACAATATGGGCAAGAAACCCGCGTATAGCGTGCCCAGCCCACCTTCGGCAGCGAGCTTGGTAAAGCCCGATACAAGGCCCGTAGCATACCCTCGCTCGCTGACCATACGAATCCGGGTCGCCTCAAGTGGAGTGAGGAGGATATCAGCAAAAAACCTGATTATCCGTCAGTCTGATCCCTGCACCACTGCGAAGATATCCATAGGGAATGCACGCACTCAGCAACACTCGACGCGCCCAAGTAGATCGCCGTCCTATACTTGACAGCCTCCTCCCTACTCCCCACCGCATCTGTGAACGTCTTTTTCCAGAACTCATACCCCGAGAACTTCGCTCCTCCTTGGATAAGGTACCCTACCGCCGTAGGCCCGAAGCCCGTAAGGAGAGCGGCGGGCCCTTCGGCAGCGACGATCTTCCTCCCGCCGGAGAGGAGGGAATGTCCCTTGAGGGCGGGGTCGATCTGGATACGCGTTTTGATCACGTCGATCGCTAGGCGGATGAGTATGTGACGCTAAGGGCGCGGGGGGACATACGGGTCATCCCTCCGTGTGTGATCCTGGACTCGATCAGCTGCGTTTCCTGCGCTCAAGACGAGACTCACGTGCAACATAGTGCCCCTTCAGATGGTCAGCATTGAGAGGGGGAGGACGTCAGATACGCACCAGCAGTGAAGAAGATCCCATAGTCCTTTAGGGTGAAGGTCGGTGTCAGAGGCTGCTCAGCTCCGGCAAGTGCAGCCTGTGTCTGACTAGCTTGTTTTGCGATTGCGGACATGTTGGAAGCTTACACCTTGGTATGAAGTGAGCTGAGGGGACGGGGAGGAGGACGCGCGAGACGACGAGCAGAGTGCAAGGACTGACGATAGGACGATGAGGTCAAGTGTATGCGCCCACGCTTGACTGACACTAGCCCATTGGCGGAAGTGATCTCTCCACCGGATGGGACGCGCCCATGACGTCATCAACAGAGAAAGCACATGTTCGTGGGAGCTTTATTCGGGGGAATCGGCAACTCTGGTGTTATCACCGATATAGGGAGAAGGAGGGATGGACATCATACATATCATGCTTTCCTACAGATCCCGCTGCAGTCTAGCTAGTCATACATTTCTACTACATCGAGAAAGTGCGAGTATATCACAATGCCGGGTATCGTGCACTCAGGGTAACCTCACCGCCAAAAAAAATGAAAGATGTACTGGAGCAGGTAAAAGCAGAGAAGAGAGAAGAAAGGGAACCGGAAGAGAAATGGTTACCAAAATGGACTGTTCCTCACCTCGTTCATCGCAAAACAGGAAGGAAAAGGGTTAATCATGCACCCGCGGATCGTCAAACCCAGTCACCTTAACCTGAGGCTCCATCCACACGCCCCTCTGTTGCTCCTCCTCCACCCCCTCGCCTTCTTCCTCTCCCTCCAACCCCAACCCCAGCTCTTCATCGTCACTAATACTTCTTGTCCTCCCTCTGCTCCTCAGGCTGTCCCTCGGTCTTGGTGCGGCCTGCTCTACCTCCGCTGGCCCGACTTGCTGTAGGGAGGAAGCGGCCTTGCGCAGCGCGGCGACCGTCTTCGGATCGAATCGGACTTCGAACAGGTCCAGAACATACTTCCTCACCGAGAACCGATACGAATGCGTCGAGATTAGGTGCAGCACTCGATAGAGGAGGGTGATGCTACTGAACAGCTTATGATGGCGCGTCTTGAGCAGCGCAAGAGTGTGCGAAGCTTTGTTCGCAGTCATCGAGTTGCCCAGGTTGGCAATGGCCAGGAGTACGTCATTTTCGACGGGCGCTGTAGGCGGACGCAACATCCGCGGCTCCATGTAGATCCGTAATGGCGGCTCCCAGAGGGGGATCTATAAAGCACGTTAGCTTCATCATCACAGATATCCGGGGGGAAAGGGCATACATCAAGGAATCGCTCCATCTTCTCCCCCTGGGCGATGGGCAAGCATATGCCAGTCGGCTCTCCCATAGGCGTCTTGGTTGCCTCCCACCCGTACTCGTACAAGATCTCCGCGCCCTCCGAGGTGCATGACAGGAGCCCGAGAACGAAGTACGCCGTTCCGCGTACGGAGAGCACTGCAGACTGCTCCACGATATCGATGATGTTCTGTAGGATATCTTCTTCCTCTATGAACTGGAAGCCGTAGTGGTGAGAGCCGATGTTCCCCTATACAACATTAGCATGCGCTCGACCCTTAGTGGGAGAACACGCACCACTGCCCATAACACACTTTTCAGCTTCGTGATCAGTTCCCTGTCTTCATCTTCCAGTCCATACTGTCTTATCACCTGTGCAAAGTCCGCAAAGTGACCTTTTTCATGGATGATCTGGCAGCCCAGCTCAGTCTTTGCCATCTCTCCATAAAAGTGTGGTGGGGCCATGCCGTCGAAGCTGTATTTGGTCAGTCGGGACTCTACAAGCGGGAAAATGAACGGACTCAGGGTTGAGGAACTCCTCAGTATCCTCCTGCCCCAGCGCTTTGGCCAAGAACGCCTCCACCTGGATCACGTACTGCAAGTTCCTCTCCTGGAACCAGCCGTCCATCTCCCGATCGACATAGCGTGCCTCACGCAGGTACCTGAACCCCGCCTGGTTGGACATGAACCTCAGCAGCAGTGGATGACCGAGTTCGCCCAAGTGCTCCAGGGTTGGTCGCATACGCACGACCATCTGCAAGACCTCGGAGGACTGACACGCTTCTTGCAGATATTCGACGGCTTGTTCACACACTTCTACAGCAGGGTCGTATAGTTGCGTGAGAAGCAGGCGAAGGGTCCACTCGTGCGGTTCGTCACTGTTTTGGATGAGCTTGCCAAGGTGTTCCGTTGCGTACTTTCGGATATGCTGATAGCAAGATCAGCGAAATATTTTGTGTCCGCCAACGCATACTCACCTTGTAGCTCGATGTCAGCGCCTTCGATAACACAATCCTCGGATGCCCGTCCCTTGAATAGTCCAAATGCTCGATCATACCCTTGATAAGGTCTTCTCTGCTCTTGAGTTCGCTCAAGTGGTAGAAAGCAGTGAATATCCGGAATCGCTGGAGGAGCTCGATGCCTTCCGAGAACTGACTGAGCGTGCCGAGCATCTCAAAGTATCCGTATGTGAGCGTATCTTCTACGCGCTTCTTTGAGAAGATGGGATCACTTGACGGTGCGCCGTTGAACTGGTGCCTGAGTGAGTGCACATGACTGAGGTGTGGTCGGCACGACTCACAGGGTCAAGCTGAGCGAAGCACTCCATCAGCTCTAATAAGAGCTTATCCTCAGTCAGCATCCTCTGCCCCTCCGAATGGCTCATGAGCACTCTCAAGAACTTGCATCCAAGCTTAACCCATCTTTCGTTCGGTTTCGTACTTCTCAAATCTGAGAACCGATGTGCAAAAGGGTGAAAGAACGGTAAAAGCCGGCGACAAAACTTGCTTGTCTTCAGCACCTCCTCCAGCCGTTTAGAGCTGCTTAACGCGCCATCCATGACCTCGAGCAGGAGGTCGACATTCCATCTCACAGAGTCACGCGACGTCGTCACGCCCGTATCAACAATCATCGTCGCAAAGGTCTTGTCGTCCACCGCAGCAGCCATCGTCTTGCGCGTCTGCTCGGCTTGCCGCTGCCCGCGGCGGATGGCATCGTCTACCGAGTTGGAACGATTTCGGTTCGTTTGAGGTTGGGCCTGAAGACGCAACCGGTTCCGATCCAGACTATCCAGAGAAGCTAGCGTATCGATACCAATGTTACGCTGATCGTTGTCTTTGAAGCTAGTCGTCATGGCGAACAGTGCCGGGAGTGACTGACTCCCCCATCAGCCTTCCTGCATCCAATGACTGCAAGTCCACTCACCAAGATGGTGCTAGACACCCTCCCCGGTAGTACGCGACTAACGATCTGCAGCACCTCATCCATCAAGAGAGCTGCCCTTCTCGCAACGCCCTCGTTGCCTCCTTTCTCTTGTATGACTACCGCGAGCGCGTCCAGGAGGCCGGCTTCGATGAAGATGGAGACGAGGAGGGCGACAAATTGATCTGAGAGATCGAGTCTCGCGTTGAGAGGTTCGAGAGCAGGATTCGGGCCTTTTGGGGCACCGAGTGCCCCCCGGCCGTATACTATTCGGTGATAAGTATTCTCTTCCCACAGAGAAACGGACAGAAGGAACAGCACTTACGTGTCAGTCTCCTCCCTTGTAAGAACTCGCCATGCCATTTCGCACCCCTGATTCTCAGAAGCTCGAAGAAGAAATCGATAAGTATCTCTCGACTTTCGGGGATAGGAAAGCGTAGGGTGTTAACAAGCGTGGCGATGGCGCGCCGGTCGTTGAGCGAAAAGTAAAGCAGCCCTGCCCAGGTACGGAGCATGCTGGAGATGGTCTTGCTGCAAGCGCGTAGGCGGGCGGTGTTGATCGACTGACGGGTCCCATACACTTCTGAGAACACGGAGAACACGGACTTCTATGGTGTCAGCCACTTCCTTCCTGGCCACGAGGACCGGACCTACCTCCAGATCGCTTCCAAGTCTAAAATATCCTCTTGTCCTGGGCCGATCGATCAAATACAAGAACACGCCCGCCAAAGCCGGTCCAACCTCGGCCCCCTCCGCCAGTGCCTGGAGAAGAACTCTCATCCCTCCCGACAAGCAGACAGCATCAATGTCAACCAGTACAAGCTCAGCAAGTGTCTCCAGCCCCGTGAGGCGGAGCGCGTCTTCTGAGGAGTCGCACATGGCTATGAACGCGCGGAGAAGAGGTTCGGAGATAGGCGGCGCAGGTGGGGGAGGAGAGGGGTTGCTGTTGGAGTTTTGGGGTTGGGGCTCGGACCGGAGAGTGAGGAAAAGTCGGATAAGCTTGAGCACTTGCTCTTTTTCTTCTACGTGTTTGTTGTCTCTTGAAAGAGTTCTGCGTGTCGTTAGCACTTCCGTCAGTGGAGATGGAGGTAATAGGCCGCACTTAATCATATACCAATCCAGCCCCTCGTCCTTCAGCACTCCAAGTGCCGTAGCATCCACAATGGTAAACCGTAGCAACCTGAACACGGCCATCCTGAGGTCTTTGCTGCATGCATCAGCCAGACATGGCATCACTCTGTACACATGGAATGCTCAGGACCATATTCATGTGGGAGGACGAAGACATACGCTTGTGCGAACTCAGAAATGTCGAGCTCGTATCGTACCCTCACGTTCACCCTCAGAATTTCAGTCAGTCGTCCTACGCACGCCAACCTCGCTCCCTCCGCTACCGTTATCCCGCTCCCACCCCCAGCATCATCAAGCCTGCCCAGCTCAGCCAACTGGCCCACCAGCCCGCGAGAAGAAGCCAAAGCGCCCTTAAAGTCCTCCATCTCTCCCTGAAGTGTTAGTGACGTACTCGCACTCCCTCGTCGCTGCTTTTCTCCTGCCCATGGTCCCCCTCCGATCGAGCTCGCGGAAGACCCAGCTCCGGAGGAAGCAGAAGCGAAGAACGCGCGTTTGCCTTTACCCGGTTCGGACGAGCTAGTCCCCCTCCTAGAGCCAGGAATACGAGTGGCACCAGTTGATGGACCACCTTGTGCTTGTGGTGCTCCTCCTGCGGCCCCATTGCCTGAGACAGCCTCCGTAACTCCCCTCTGCAGCTGTGCCATAGCCCTGACCAGCAACTGTATCCTCCCCTCCGCACTAAACAGCTCCCTCTCAACACTTTGTAAGTGTTTGTTCGCGCCACTTCCGTTCTTTGCACCTGATTCTGCCGCAGAGGACGCCACGACCGCGAGTAGGTTCTGCGCCCCGTCCTTGATCTTGCGTTGTTTGTCGAGCTCTTTTTGAAGCTCTTCTAGCTGCTGGGTTGGATCAAGGCCTTCTAGAGAGGGTAAGAGGGAGAGACTCGGTGTAGGGCTGGAGATGGAGGGTCTTGAACCAGGTGTTGGAGAGGGTGCCTCTGCACGAGAGGACGTGCCGAGGGATAGAAGGTTCGCCCCCACGCCTACGATAGCGCCCGCCAGGTTGGTAGCTCCTGCGGTGAGGGTAGTGCCCGCTGTCGAAAGGGCATAAGGAGGTGGAATGGATGGACCGGAGGGCGGGATGGGCGAATGTGCCCGGCGGACGTCGGCGACGCTAGGCATCGTTGGTAATGCTGACGGGATCGCCGGCGTTGATGATTCTTTGTGTGACGCGTAAACTGCTCGTCGCAGTCGACGTCAATGTCGCCAGAGATGGTGGACGTCGAGGAGAGAGTTGCGACTATGTTAATCTCTGCAGTTCGGTGTAGGCAAGTGTTGGTCCTCGACGTCTGAGCGCCTTTGCCCTTCGCCGCCCAACGCGCATGCAACGCGCATTCCAATACAAAACACGTGGGAATTAATCCGTCTCCGAAACTCACAAGCCAATATGACAGGGTATCTGTAGCCTTCGACTTATTTGCTGGATTTCACGATAACATCTGGCAAACACCAGGCAACCTAGACATGGTATTTGATATTACTTCACTTGGATCTGAAGCTCTTATGCCAAAGCAATTCAATTTCCCCCAAGTCAGAGATTGTACACTGGACTTCTCTAACAACACAAGCAAACATATGTAAGTGCTCAACTGGATTTGAGCAGTTAGACAAAGGCAATAATAATGGTTGTGTGAGGATAGTTAAGGAAGTGATATAGGAGGGAGAACAAATATAGAGGAGTGGACTCAGTTGCAGGGCTAAATGCGACCACAGCATGGCTATCAACCCACAGCTGCAGTGCCTTAGCAGTCATATGCTTTCCCATCCTGTGATTGGCCATCCTGTGGACAGGTCTGCTGCATCCAAGGGGGACCACAGCACTGATTGAACAGTAGGTGATGGCACATGCATTGCTCAGGGCTGAGCAGTCAACTGACATTACCATGGTCATGAAGGGAGGGCACAAAGGTGGGCCTGAGATTGCAGCATCCACCTGTCCAGCATGCTGCCTCTCCACTGTTCCATCACCATGCTCAATTCCTGCAATCGGCTGTCCCAAGAACAGGCCCAGCACATCTGATGGTGGATCACATGTTGATCAGCAAGGCATTGAGCAAACTCATGAGAGTGCAGGGGAGAAGTGCAGTGAGCCAACAATGTGAGTGCACTACATGGTGCACAGATTAGCAGAGCCAGACAGGGGAGCAGCCACCACATAGGCAGCTGACACAGTCCCTGAACTGGTGATTGGCCACCCTGAGAACAGGCCTGCTCAACCCCAGAGGTGGATTGCAGCATTGATCAAGCCAATATGGGTTTGTATGGCCATCCTCACAAGTAAGGTAGGGAGCAAGTGTGGATACCACAAGTGCAGGAAAGCATTAGAGAGAGCAAAGTGAAGCCAGAGTGCCAGTGGATGTAGTTTGAGAAAGGGGAAACAGCAGAGCCTGTCAAGTTCACCACCTGCTACAGATGCAATTCTTGCTCCTGGGCATGCCTCTTGCAGTATTGGAACTGTACAGTTTGTGGCTGACCCCTACCTGAAGCTGCAATTTTGGTACCAAGATGTGACACTTGTTCCTCTGCCTCCATTCATCATGACCACCTCATATGCTTCCTGATTGAGGACTTTGTGTACCTAAGTTGGTCATGGCACTGGTCTCTGTCATCTGGCCATCTCTGCTTGCAAAGCATTTGTTGCATTGAAACAACAATATCCTCCTAGTCAATCTTATCCTTACCTACCCCAGATATTGTGGCTATGGCACCCAACATTGCCATTGGTATTGATCTTGGCACTACATATACTAGTGTTGTGATATATCAGAATGGCTACTCTGAGACACTCAAAAGCACAGAAGGGGAGCTCAGTTTCCTGTCAGTCATGTCCTATGACAGTGACCAGATATTTGTTGGCACACCCACTAAAGAACTGCAAGAAAACAATCCCTCCAACACAATCTATGATTCATTGGCAAGCAACCAGATGACAATGGGGTACAAGAAGATGCACATTCTGTCACATATAAAGTGCTGACAGATGGATCACACCTGGAGTTCAAGATTGATGGGCCAAATGGATAAAAGAAGAAGTTAGTGCCAGAGCAAGTGTCTGTGCAGGTGTTGATGAAAGCAAAGAGAGATGCTGAGGCAAAATTGGGCTTTCCTGTCAAAGATGCCATGATCACTATTCCCACCTACTTCAATGATACACAACATCAAGCCACCAAGGATGCTGGCACAATTGCTGGCCTGAATGTTCTTAGAATCATGTCAAAGCCCATGGCTGCCACTCTTGTTTACAGCATGAAGTTGCCTCCCAAGAAAAATGGTCAATTTATCCTAGTTTACAACTTGGACAGAGGGATCTTTGACTCCACACTTATGTGGATGTGTGGGGATGATCATGACATGCAAGGAACTGGAGGGCATGGCCACCTGGGTGGTCACAACTTTGACCATGCAATTGCAAAATATATCATGGCAGAATTTGTGCAAGTTAATGGGCTGGATATTGAATCAGTGCTCGAAAATAAGCCAGTGCTCTCCAAGCTCCACCTCCACACCAAACTGGTGAAGTGTCAGCTGAAGCAAGGCACCCTTGCTTGCATTGTCATCCATGACCTTTACCAAGGCAAAACTTGGAAAGGCATGCTCAGCAGGGCAAAGATGAAAAATCTTATTGATGCCTACCTCACAACAAGCATGTCTATCCTGGAGGGTATCATCATTGCTGCAAGAGAGGCAGCTAAGCTTCCCAAGAAGGGTGATCCAGATGCAGTCATACTCTCTGGTGGTTTGACAAAGCTGGTAAAAGTCCAATCACTCCTCAATGAATGTTTCCCTGGATGAGTCCTCCCTTTGTCCCTCAGCCCTGATTCTGTGGTGGCACAAGGAGCAGCAATTCAAGCATCTATGCTCTTGTTGGATGCAAAACAGAGGGCAGCACTTCCTATTCTGCATGATGTAAATCCTTTGAGTCTTGGTGTTGAGGTGCTTGGCAGTGCTTTCAGTGTCATCATTCCCTAGAACAGCAAACTTTCTGCATCCAAGAAATGAGGTAGGTATAGCAATGCCAAAGCCAGTCAATCCAACTTGGAGATCACTGTCTACAAAGGCAAATGAACAAATATTAGTAGTGTTATCACTATTAATAGCATAACTATATTACTAGTCTTATGAGTGTTGCCAGTGTTAATAGCATTACTGGGATTACTACACAGCACCCTAATCTCTGCCTGGTTACCATAGGATGCATCAGGGTCAGGATCCTTCTGGGTGCACTGCTGCTCTCCGCCTGAATGCCATACGGATAGCAGAGGTCACTGTACCACTGAAGTCCAGGTGGTGGATTCTGTAGGTTATTAGTGATATCTTTGTACCATTATTAATATCAGATTATTATTAATAATAGCATGGTCAACTATTATATATTTAATATTATTAATAGGGCAGAGGAGACGCAATTGTCAACAACAACACAAAGAAACCCTCCTTCCTGACTTCACAACTCTTACCCCACTCTAATACACTTCAAAGCTCACCATCATCACATCCAATTTGTTCAAGCTTGTGCTATTAATACAAATGTGTTCTACAGAATTCAGGCCTGCTTCTTGATGGCCTTACCCCAAGGGGTGAAGGACCAAGCCCAAGCAATACCAGCACCAATAGTGTGAGGGCACACTATAATCAACAGAGGCTGCCCAGACATAGTAGAGATCAAAGTCAAGTGGAGAGAGGAAGTTGTTGTCAAGGGGTGGGGATAAGGTGCTGATGAGGTGACAGAGGTATATTCTGCAGAGTACTATCTCTATTGAAGTACAGTGGAGATTCCTCAGAGACCAGATATGAGGATATCATTGTCTAAACAGGTGGGTATTTATACTAAAGAGAAGGAGGAAAATGTCTAGTCATAGTGAGTCATGGCCAGTCATCTCTGGCCAGTCATGGCCAGTCATAGGCCTTGTCACTATGAGTTGCTGGCTGGTGGCTAGTCATCAGCTGTCATGCTGTGCAATGCCACACAGTCCTACCACAGCCAGTCCACAGGCCACATGGCACTGGCATAGCTGGTGTCAGGTTGACACAGCATGAGTAATCATGCCTGAGTAAGCTGTAGTCAAAGCAAATAAGACATCCCCTGACAGATAGAAGAAAAGAGTCCCATTTTATGCAACACTGTGTACATATAGTCAGTATATCATATGGCAACAAGAGGAGAAGCAGGACGTACCATAGCCCACTGCGCCAGTCACTGCAATGATGAAGGCAATGGCAAACCAGCCTTTGACCAGCTTGAGCCACTGACCCTTGGCATGCCTGCAAATGCCAGTGCAGGTATGTGTCAAGCAGGGACCAGGCAACACTGCAGACAGCTGAGGCAGCATCCAGCATGTTCTTGCTGGTTGTCAGGCACCCAGCACAGCAGACATCAGTGATGCCTTCTCCAGTCTGCACTCCCAGCAGACACTGCTGCTGTCAGGGCACCAGCTCATTGCTTGGTCAAGAGACATGACTAAGCCTTTATGAGATGGAAGTAGCTGGTATACATTGGCATGTGCTGGAACCTGTTGGAAGGATTGGATGGTCAGGTGACCTGCTGTGCATGGCTGTGCATGACCTCATATGACCTGATCACCTGACTAGGCTGAGTAAGCAAGATGTTCTAGCAGGTTCCACCACAGAGGTATAAATATAAGGCCTACTCTGCCTGGGGACTGTCTCTTCAGACTTGGTCTCTTAGGATCATCCACAGGTACCTATACTGTAGAT